CCCACACACTGGCGCTGTAGTTGAAAACAGGTTGAACATAGCTGTCAAACAATTTAGTAAACACTTCATGACTTAAACCACCCATGTTGTTGAACTTGGCTAGCACAGCCCCAAGGGCTCTATTTGCTGATTTACAAATTTCAGTCACTGTTTTTTTGTAGTTACAATGCTCATTCAACCACATGCCAAGATACCTGTATTCCATACAGTAATCAATATTGATTTCACCACAAGTAAACTGGTAAGTTCCCATAGGGATAGATACAGGTCTGCAATGCATAATCTTTGTCTTATCTTTGTTTACTCCAAGTTTCCAATGTTTAGACCAGTCAGCGAGACCATTAAGAAGCTTCTGCATGTTATATTCATCCGGAGCTATGAGCACAATATCATCAGCATACAGAAATAGTGAAATGATCAAGTTATCAATATTAATACCACATTTCAGGTCACTGATTTTATCTCCCAAGTCATTTATGAACATTGAAAATAATGTTGGCGACAAACAGCAGGCTTGTTTCACACCCATGGAGACATCAAACCAATCAGTTCTTTCTGTATTGACCTTTACACAACATTTCACTCCTTGGTACTGAGACTGAATGGCATTCAGTATAATTCCTTGAATTCCAAATTGTTGTTTCAGTTTGAACCATAGTAAATTTCTTTGTACAGAGTCAAAAGCCTTTTTCATATCAATGAAACACACAAATGTTGAGAGCCTCGACATCTTTCTGTTGTATAATATTTTCGTTAAGGACTGTAAATGGTCTTGACAGGATCGTCTCTTACGGAATCCATTCTGCAGTTCTGTTAAATAACTGTTGGTTTCTAACCAGTTACTGATTCTGTTATTAATAACTTTTGCATATATTTTATATGGTACACATAGTAATGTAATGCCTCTGTAATTTGTTGGTACTCTCGGGTCACCCTTTCCAGATTTTGGAATTGGATTAATAATTCCTGTTTTCCAAAGTTCAGGCACAAGTCCAGTTTTAAACATAATGTTAAACATTTTGTGTAATAAATTCACACTCACTGAGTTTTGTTCAGTTTAGTATGCTTAACAGCTTCACAAACTTCTTGTTCACTTATGGTTTGATTAAGAACTACAGAGTCTACAGCAGTTGGGATTGTATTCAACTCTTCATTGTAAAGGTGATTAATGTTGTTTATAATGTTAGTAGAGTTGTCCTCCCTTGGATTATATATAGTGCAGAAATCATCTCTCCACTTTTCCATCACATCTTTGTGGTCAACCAAAAGTGTGTCATCATCATTTAATACTATATTCGAGATCAATGGTCTCCTTTCATTTTGTATTCCCAGCTTTCCAATATTTTTCCAGAATAGTGTAGGATTATTCAGTGACTTGGTTAATTTTTCCTGCTTTTGTTTCTGATAAGTTCTTTTGTGTTTCCGGTGACATTTATCAAATTGTTTTCTAACTTGACAGAATTCTTCTCTTAAATGTCTCCTAAAAGTACTGGAACCTTTACATTTTGTCCATAATTTCTCTTTCCTGCAAGCAAGATTCCATAGTGTCTGTAGCTCCTCACACCATTATGCTTTCTTTCTTGATTTATTAGTCTTGTGTTGTTCTCTATTGTGATATATCGTCCTGTGATCTAGTTTAGTGTTCATTTCTTTCAAGGGCTTTTAGGAATATATCATACATATCATTAATGTCTCTTTGTTGTGTATTACACTCCTCAAGGTTTTTAATCCATGCATGAAGAGAATTCACCGTTTCATTGTTCAACATAAAATCTTGTGGCACCTTGCTCACATCATATCTAATGTAAGGTTCATTTGGTGTAGGTATAGTATTCTGTTTAGAGTCTTTATTTCCAGTAGCCACATCCAGATTGACTTGAAGTTGCCAGGTTATCACAGAGTGATCTGGTAATGAGATAGGTGGTGAAAGATTATGTCTGTTTATTATGTCTGTGATGATGTGATCTTATGTACTTGGAAATCTCCAACAAAATTCAATTGTTCATAGGGTGTTTAAACATAATCCACGACAGATCTACCTTGACCACTGATGTATGTGTAATCGTGATATCCAACTCTTCAATTTAGCATGCACAATCCACTTCCTGACATAAAGTTAATCATACTTTCTCCATTGGAATTGACACAGGGATCAATTATTTCTCTCAATTCTACTTATCAACACCTTCGATGATATCTTGTAAACTGCCACACCTCGCGTTGAAATCTCCACAAATATAGATTAATCCCTTATTTTGGTAAGTATAAAATTGTTGTTGCAACTCTAGGAAAAAAATTTCACAAGCAATTAATCTACTGGTTCCATGAGGAGGTAAATAGCAAACACATAAATAGATATCTGGTTTATGCTGTCTTCAGAGCTTAATCCACAGAATTCCTTCTGTATTAAAGTCACTCAATTGTTCAGTGTATGGGACAAGCTTACTATTCACCAAGAAACCAACACCACCGGAGCCTCTTTTTGCATGAGAATGTAAACCAGATCTATTTTGACCATACCATTCATAGTTTTCTATTTCTATTAATTCTTTACCTTTTAAAAAAGTCTCACAAACACCAACAATATCACATTTTAAAACATTTAAAATATCACATTTGAAATTAAAAGCATCATAATTTTTTGCATTTTTGATAAAAACCCTAGAGTTCCATATTCCAAGCCGTAACCCCTAATGGGCTGCAGATGTCTTTTCAGATAATTTACCATTCTTTTGCAATCTTATCTTATTGCTCGTGTCAAGTGTCCTTAGCAACAAACACATATTTCCATCACTCTTTAGTTCTTCTTTTGTCTTATAAGAGTCGATGTACACTGGCTGCATATGGTCCATACCCTTCAGCTTGTGTTTGGTCCTCAGAACTTGTATTTTCTGTTCCTCTGATGCCATCTGACAGGTAATGTGACCTGGGTTGTTACCTTTAGGATTCTTTTTCCGTACACAGCTCACAACTTTAACATTTTTCAGATCTAGTTTTACCTGTATTAAATGTTCTACTTTTTTCTTTAATTCATTTTGGGATTCACTCACTTTATCAGGGTTTAGCCCTTTAATTACTATTGAACATTTCTCAGAGTTCAGATTCTTGTCTTGTCCAGTCTTAACTTTACTGGCAAAAGATTTTTCTAAATCATCAATTCTTTTCTGCACTGAGCTAAAGTCTCTTTGGAAGTGTTCTTTCATGTTCCTTACTTCTGTCTCTATTGTTGTGGTTATTAAAGTTTTTAAGTTCATCTCTAGGTTTATTTCCATAACTGCCATTCTCTGTGTAAGAGACACCACAGCACCTCTCATTTCTTTAGCAAGTGCTATCTCCCAGTGACGAGTGATTTTCCGACGCTTCACTCCCATTTGACACGACACTCTCGCCACTTGCATGCACTTTAGCTACCACTACATCAGGATTTGCGGCATTTAAGCTTTTTGACTTCTTATAGCCAGGATTATTAGAATCATTGTCACTATCCCCCGAAAAGCATCTCTTGCATGCGTTCTGTTCGTCAAATAATTCAATGCACACAGGTCGACATGGCTGACCCGACATGACAGACTCCACAAATTCAGTGTCCATACTCATAATTTAGTTCTATTTCACGTGTTTCGACCATAAATATAGGATCTAGGGTTTATTACAACGCTACCCTGATATAATTTTGGTATTGTGCTCACCTAATTTGGCACCCAACACAAAGTTTCCTCAGAGCTCGAGCACTTGTCTTCTTCTCGCCAGGGGACGTAACTTCAACATAATTAGGGGGGCACGGGAGGCCCAGTCGTCTAAGGCACCGGGATCCGCTGTGCAGAGTTGCATCCCTTGGGCACGCCAGAAACCTATGATTGTGGGTTCAAATCTCGGTTCGCCCCGATTATGTTTCTAGATTTGTCAGCACCATATCCGTTCTCATGGGTTTCACCGAAGTGGTAAATGTCTGAGACCTGCATCACTTCGGGCTTTCCTCCCACATAAAGCTGACATGCTGCGATATCACTGGAATACAGTTAAAAGCAACGTTACACCCAACTCACTCACTATATTATAATTAAATGACCAGTGATCATTAGAAGCATAACAATACAGGGGGTAGGCAATATTAAAGTATTGCCATGGCTCCAAAATCATCAGAAGAATATATCAATCAAACAGTGATGATTTATATTAATGTATGTCCTTTTTAGCACGGATGCTATAAGCATCTAATGCATTTTAGCATGAAGCAACAGATCCCTTTTCTAATGTTTCTGTTCTGTAGTAAATACCAATATATGTTTCAAATCATTGAAATTGACAGGAAGCTGACAATACTTGATGTAATTGTTTAGTTATTCAGATAATGAAGTATTCAGAATCTGAGAACACCTCAATGGTTCTGTTATTTTCAACAACCAAATGCATTGACAATAGTATATGTACAAGTAAATGACCATTGTTTACACATGTTATAGGCAGTAAAACCAAGTTTCACACAAACAAATCTTCTATTTACCATCATCTTCCTTTCATAACCAGGTCTCCACAGAAATTGCCTCCACATATACACAGTCATTTAAAGAAAGTTAAGCGGCAATGGAATATACTGATGGATTACAATTTCTTTATTGTTTTCAATACAATGTCATGGTACGTATACTAGTACTTACTAATACTTACTCAGAATTCCCTCGGGTGTACCTTGATAAAGTTCTAAATAGAATGTAGGGCTGGGACGAGTCCAAATTTACTACCCGGGTACCCACCCCTCTATTACCCGACCCTACCCAGGTACCCACTGTAGGTCTCAAGAGGTAGGTACAAACTGTTTGATTGGGAAAACTTTGACCATAGCTCTGGTAAAATGTGTTACATGTATGTCACAATCTGGTGTATACACTGAAGTTGACTGAAGTTTTATTTTTATTCAAACATATAAAAGTCAGAAGGAATGGGTGTCGTAGTCAGAAAGAACTGCGAACATTAGTGACTTGTAGTTTAAACATAGAGACTTTTTGCCATTAAACAATATATCACGTGACTAACCATGGGTCCGGGTAGTCCTGTGGATACCCGGGTCCTACTCAGGACCCACCCGACCCGAGTACCCGAGTTACCCGTCCCAGCCCTAATAGAATGCTTAAAAAAGTGTGTACTGTAACATGGCAATGAAAATGAAAAAAGAAGTTGAGATCCATAAGTCAATCCAATCTGTAGTGAAAATGAAGGTCACACATTCCTGATACATTTGTCACTAAGAATACAAAGGTTTCTTCCTGAGGAAATAGAGTCCTATGGGTGAACTGACACACCACAAGTAGAATTCGTACAGTGATATTTTGAAAAGCTGCCATTGTTCTTCACTCCTGATTCGTAGACGACAAGTCCATGTCCTGCATGTCATTAGATGATAATGAGCAAGTCCACGGATACAACACTTGGACATGTTGATGAACGATGTAGCATTTGCAGGAGTCTGTAGCGAGGACTCAATACCACGAAGAACATCATTGGTCTTTAATATCAGCAACATCTGTCTTGGTATCTTGTTTAATATTAATGTTATTTCATAAAGGTACCTTGCCACGTTACCCTTGATATCGTCTCCCTGAAATAAAATTGTAATTGTAACATTGCAGAAGAACATTGAAGAACTTAGAGTCATGAAGCTGTTAGTCTGCAACTCCTTGTAAAAATAAGCCATCAACCGATACTTAAAGGCTGAAAGATGTAAAACGTAAAAATATCCTTTCTGCATGCTATTCAAGACTAATATGTAAGTACTAAGTCACAAATAACTTGAAAATGAGCCAAACATTCTTGTGTGACTGTTAAAGGTTGTTGTTGGCCGACTCAGAACTTTTCAGCAGTGTCAGTGGACATTTACTTGTGGTTTAGGGATAATTTCTGACATAACAATTACAAAACCAAAAAAGGTTTGTGAATGGATATTGCCAGATAGTGTTCTACCTCTTGCTCTGTGAATGGATGCTTATCCATGCCTGATGAGACGGCCTTCCAGGACCGAGCTGTCAACATGCAGGCAAACAAGCCATACATATCCCCACAGTTCAAGGCATGAGCATAGGTCTTGATGCCTTCCAAGTCTGCACTGATCAGTGACATCCACAACTTCGAATAGTTCACTCGGAAGTCATCACTCAGAGTCTACAATACAAGACAAGATACCATATTCATGGTATTAAGCACCCTCCGCCAAAAAGAATCCCGGACCAACATCCAGGCCAGTCTGTAGATCAATTATAAGCTCCCCCTACTAAGACCAAACATTTACATAACAGTCCGTAGTTTCTTGTGTACATTACACTTCAGAGAAAACAGCAGTATAGGAGGGGCATATAATTGCCTGGTAAAAATTAAAGAAATTAAGTGTTCTAGTTTCATAGACGTTTGATCTAAGTCGTTCATTACCACTTGATCTCTAAAAAAGTTCATTTATCTCATTATGTATGATTTTAATAAGCATACACACACAACCACACCTTTGTCAATTTTCTAAGAGGAGATAAAACATGAATGATGACAAAAGAAGTCAATGTTCTATATATATATACTGAAAACCAGTGTTAAAAAGTCACTGAGGCAGACTGAATATAGATCCTGCATCAATTATATGTTTTCAGATAACGATGAGAAATGTGTACACATTCAATTTGCAATATTTAATTATGTGTCTGGACTGCCTGAAATTTAATTATCATGCAAAAAACTATCAGCAAGTTCAACCCCAATCTGAAAAATCATCAGACGTTTTGTTTAACTAGATTTTCGGTGAAATATTGGCTTATGTAAAACACTCATATTTCGACATGTTACAGTATGAGGTTGAGGCAATTGTGACATAAAATGGCCTATATCCATATCACTGAGGCAACTGATGTGACTGGGTCTCCTATAAACAAGTAGACATACTTGGGAGGGAAGTTACCTGGTACAAACCATGGTCCAACAGAATGATGTTTGTTCCTTTCTTTGTCTTGTGTACAAACACATTGCCAGGGTGAGGGTCACAGTGCACATAGCCCTGCACAAATATCATCTCACTGTACAACTTCCCCAGCTTCTGGCTCACCTGAAGAAACAAATCAATCTGCTCATTAGTCAGCTACAGAAGACATAAAGCACATGTGAGCCTGGCAGCATGTTCACACCCCAATTAAGTCCCAGACTATCTGCAGCTAATTGCCCGTAAATTAAAAAAAAAAATTAAATGGATTTGTGTGTGTGTGTTTATTGTTTAATTGACCCAGCACTCGGCAATATTCCAGCTATGAGAGGGGAGCCTGTAAATAATTGAGTATGGACTAGACAATCCAGTGACTGATATGTGATCAACAATCCACGCCATCAGGGTACGCCTTCAACCAAGGTACCAAGCCTTAGCCCATGTTCAATCAAGTTGCCTCTTGAAACCAGCAGAGGCTGCTTGGGACCTATACTGAAACACATTGAAAACGCACCAGAGGTAAAAAGTGAAATTGATGCTAAACCAAATTTAATATGGTGTTGGCTGTGTACTACAATCACACTCAGATAACTTCGTTCCACATTAGTAATGACACGTGTCATTGAACAGTACACAATTTTAATGTAAAGGAAATTAAACACACAAGGGATCCAAAGACAAAGTCAGTACCAGGTATGACCGCTCCTGGTTGCAATGCATGACACACAACGCCTTCTCATGGACACTATCAGTCTCTGGATAACAGCTTGAGATACCCTACACAACTCGCGTTGCAGGACAAGTGCGAGCTCTCTAATGTTGGTGATTTGAGGTCAATGTGCAATGTGCTGTCCCTGGTAGTCCTCCAAGTGCTAGAAGGGCAAACATTTGGGAGATAATGCAGGCCATGGCATAACAGGTACGTTATTCTGTGTCAGGAAGTCCATAGAAGCATGTGCTGTACGTGTTCTGGCGTTGTCCTGTTGGAAAGTATGAGCTCTTGGTGTTGATGGAAACAGGGGACAATGTGACGTCACAAAATGGCATCACTGTATTTAACTGCATTAACACTACCTATGCATACATGGAGCTGTGTTCAGTGCCGAAAACTAATACTGCACTAAACCATCACACTTACGCCGCCCAATCAATCAGTCTGCACAACACAATCATGATAATGTTCACCAAGGTGACACCATGCCCGTATACTTCCGTTGGCGTTTCTGAGGTGAAATCTGGATTAATCGGAGAAGAGATGTCCCCCAAGAACAATTGAAGACATGCATTTCGGAGCCTCAGTGTCAGAATCGGACGATGGTCACTTAAAGTCTCTGGCGTGTCGGTGTTGATTACTCCTTGTCGACCTACAATGGTAGCTGATGTTCTGGAGGGCCAGAAGTGTTCGATCACGAGATGAGCCCTAACAATCTGTCGGTCTCCCCTGGCTGTTGTTTGTCCCTCATTGTTGCCCTGGGCGTGGTCGGTCTCTGGTAAGTCCCGTCTGTTGAAATCACTGGTTCCGTCTTGTGATGGTACTGTGGTGACATCCAAACCTTGCTGCTATGGCCCTTGTAGTCATGCCAACTTCAATCATGGCACCATTCCCGTTCCTCAAGTGGCAATCTCGGCATTGCTCCTCAGTGCTATTCTGCAGCTACAGCTATTTGAATGCCATCCCTTTATACCCCAATTCTGCATGAAAAAGTAATAACACTTTGCATTTTTCGTGCTTTGCATGTGTAACAAGAGTGCTCTGAGAACACAACATCCCCTGCATGAATTTTTTTAACGAGTTTATATTTTCTTTGTATTTTTTATGAAGCTCCATAAAACAGGGGCAGTAACTCTGTCAAAATTTGACGAAATGAAACGGGACTGCGATATGCCTATCATCAACATGTCGACATCTTGTGTGTAGAGTGTCAGGGATATTCTCGGGAAACTGTAGGAGGAGTTGATTTCACAAGCTTAGTACCCTCTCTCACAATTAGGCAAATGAAGCTCCGTAAAACAGGGCAGTAACTCTGTCAAAATTTGTTGAAATGAAATGGGACTGCGATATTAATATCATTAACATGTTGACATCTTGTGTGTAGAGTGTCAGGGATATTCTCGGGAAACTGTAGGAGGAGTTGATTTCACAAGCTTAGTACCCTCTCTCACAATTAGGCAAATGAAGCTCCGTAAAACAGGGCAGTAACTCTGTCAAAATTTGTTGAAATGAAATGGGACTGCGATATTAATATCATTAACATGTTGACATCTTGTGTGTAGAGTGTCAGGGATATTCTCGGGAAACTGTAGGAGGAGTTGATTTCACAAGCTTAGTACCCTCTCTCACAATTAGGCAAATGAAGCTCCGTAAAACAGGGCAGTAACTCTGTCAAAATTTGTCGAAATGAAATGGGACTGCGATATTAATATCATTAACATGTTGACATCTTGTGTGTAGAGTGTCAGGGATATTCTCGGGAAACTGTAGGAGGAGTTGATTTCACAAGCTTAGTACCCTCTCTCACAATTAGGCAAATGAAGCCCCGTAAAACAGGGCAGTAACTCTGTCAAAATTTGTTGAAATGAAATGGGACTGCGATATTAATATCATTAACATGTTGACATCTTGTGTGTAGAGTGTCAGGGATATTCTCGGGAAACTGTAGGAGGAGTTGATTTCACAAGCTTAGTACCCTCTCTCACAATTAGGCAAATGAAGCTCCGTAAAACAGGGCAGTAACTCTGTCAAAATTTGTTGAAATGAAATGGGACTGCGATATTAATATCATTAACATGTTGACATCTTGTGTGTAGAGTGTCAGGGATATTCTCGGGAAACTGTAGGAGGAGTTGATTTCACAAGCTTAGTACCCTCTCTCACAATTAGGCAAATGAAGCTCCGTAAAACAGGGCAGTAACTCTGTCAAAATTTGTCGAAATGAAATGGGACTGCGATATTAATATCATTAACATGTTGACATCTTGTGTGTAGAGTGTCAGGGATATTCTCGGGAAACTGTAGGAGGAGTTGATTTCACAAGCTTAGTACCCTCTCTCACAATTAGGCAAATGAAGCTCCGTAAAACAGGGCAGTAACTCTGTCAAAATTTGTCGAAATGAAATGGGACTGCGATATTAATATCATTAACATGTTGACATCTTGTGTGTAGAGTGTCAGGGATATTCTCGGGAAACTGTAGGAGGAGTTGATTTCACAAGCTTAGTACCCTCTCTCACAATTAGGCAAATGAAGCTCCGTAAAACAGGGCAGTAACTCTGTCAAAATTTGTTGAAATGAAATGGGACTGCGATATTAATATCATTAACATGTTGACATCTTGTGTGTAGAGTGTCAGGGATATTCTCGGGAAACTGTAGGAGGAGTTGATTTCACAAGCTTAGTACCCTCTCTCACAATTAGGCAAATGAAGCTCCGTAAAACAGGGCAGTAACTCTGTCAAAATTTGTCGAAATGAAATGGGACTGCGATATTAATATCATTAACATGTTGACATCTTGTGAGTAGAGTGTCAGGGATATTCTCGGGAAACTGTAGGAGGAGTTGATTTCACAAGCTTAGTACCCTCTCTCACAATTAGGCAAATGAAGCTCCGTAAAACAGGGCAGTAACTCTGTCAAAATTTGTTGAAATGAAATGGGACTGCGATATTAATATCATTAACATGTTGACATCTTGTGTGTAGAGTGTCAGGGATATTCTCGGGAAACTGTAGGAGGAGTTGATTTCACAAGCTTAGTACCCTCTCTCACAATTAGGCAAATGAAGCTCCGTAAAACAGGGCAGTAACTCTGTCAAAATTTGTCGAAATGAAATGGGACTGCGATATTAATATCATTAACATGTTGACATCTTGTGTGTAGAGTGTCAGGGATATTCTCGGGAAACTGTAGGAGGAGTTGATTTCACAAGCTTAGTACCCTCTCTCACAATTAGGCAAATGAAGCTCCGTAAAACAGGGCAGTAACTCTGTCAAAATTTGTCGAAATGAAATGGGACTGCGATATTAATATCATTAACATGTTGACATCTTGTGTGTAGAGTGTCAGGGATATTCTCGGGAAACTGTAGGAGGAGTTGATTTCACAAGCTTAGTACCCTCTCTCACAATTAGGCAAATGAAGCTCCGTAAAACAGGGCAGTAACTCTGTCAAAATTTGTCGAAATGAAATGGGACTGCGATATTAATATCATTAACATGTTGACATCTTGTGTGTAGAGTGTCAGGGATATTCTCGGGAAACTGTAGGAGGAGTTGATTTCACAAGCTTAGTACCCTCTCTCACAATTAGGCAAATGAAGCTCCGTAAAACAGGGCAGTAACTCTGTCAAAATTTGTTGAAATGAAATGGGACTGCGATATTAATATCATTAACATGTTGACATCTTGTGTGTAGAGTGTCAGGGATATTCTCGGGAAACTGTAGGAGGAGTTGATTTCACAAGCTTAGTACCCTCTCTCACAATTAGGCAAATGAAGCTCCGTAAAACAGGGCAGTAACTCTGTCAAAATTTGTCGAAATGAAATGGGACTGCGATATTAATATCATTAACATGTTGACATCTTGTGTGTAGAGTGTCAGGGATATTCTCGGGAAACTGTAGGAGGAGTTGATTTCACAAGCTTAGTACCCTCTCTCACAATTAGGCAAATGAAGCTCCGTAAAACAGGGCAGTAACTCTGTCAAAATTTGTCGAAATGAAATGGGACTGCGATATTAATATCATTAACATGTTGACATCTTGTGAGTAGAGTGTCAGGGATATTCTCGGGAAACTGTAGGAGGAGTTGATTTCACAAGCTTAGTACCCTCTCTCACAATTAGGCAAATGAAGCTCCGTAAAACAGGGCAGTAACTCTGTCAAAATTTGTTGAAATGAAATGGGACTGCGATATTAATATCATTAACATGTTGACATCTTGTGTGTAGAGTGTCAGGGATATTCTCGGGAAACTGTAGGAGGAGTTGATTTCACAAGCTTAGTACCCTCTCTCACAATTAGGCAAATGAAGCTCCGTAAAACAGGGCAGTAACTCTGTCAAAATTTGTCGAAATGAAATGGGACTGCGATATTAATATCATTAACATGTTGACATCTTGTGTGTAGAGTGTCAGGGATATTCTCGGGAAACTGTAGGAGGAGTTGATTTCACAAGCTTAGTACCCTCTCTCACAATTAGGCAAATGAAGCTCCGTAAAACAGGGCAGTAACTCTGTCAAAATTTGTCGAAATGAAATGGGACTGCGATATTAATATCATTAACATGTTGACATCTTGTGTGTAGAGTGTCAGGGATATTCTCGGGAAACTGTAGGAGGAGTTGATTTCACAAGCTTAGTACCCTCTCTCACAATTAGGCAAATGAAGCTCCGTAAAACAGGGCAGTAACTCTGTCAAAATTTGTCGAAATGAAATGGGACTGCGATATTAATATCATTAACATGTTGACATCTTGTGTGTAGAGTGTCAGGGATATTCTCGGGAAACTGTAGGAGGAGTTGATTTCACAAGCTTAGTACCCTCTCTCACAATTAGGCAAATGAAGCTCCGTAAAACAGGGCAGTAACTCTGTCAAAATTTGTCGAAATGAAATGGGACTGCGATATTAATATCATTAACATGTTGACATCTTGTGTGTAGAGTGTCAGGGATATTCTCGGGAAACTGTAGGAGGAGTTGATTTCACAAGCTTAGTACCCTCTCTCACAATTAGGCAAATGAAGCTCCGTAAAACAGGGCAGTAACTCTGTCAAAATTTGTTGAAATGAAATGGGACTGCGATATTAATATCATTAACATGTTGACATCTTGTGTGTAGAGTGTCAGGGATATTCTCGGGAAACTGTAGGAGGAGTTGATTTCACAAGCTTAGTACCCTCTCTCACAATTAGGCAAATGAAGCTCCGTAAAACAGGGCAGTAACTCTGTCAAAATTTGTCGAAATGAAATGGGACTGCGATATTAATATCATTAACATGTTGACATCTTGTGTGTAGAGTGTCAGGGATATTCTCGGGAAACTGTAGGAGGAGTTGATTTCACAAGCTTAGTACCCTCTCTCACAATTAGGCAAATGAAGCTCCGTAAAACAGGGCAGTAACTCTGTCAAAATTTGTCGAAATGAAATGGGACTGCGATATTAATATCATTAACATGTTGACATCTTGTGAGTAGAGTGTCAGGGATATTCTCGGGAAACTGTAGGAGGAGTTGATTTCACAAGCTTAGTACCCTCTCTCACAATTAGGCAAATGAAGCTCCGTAAAACAGGGCAGTAACTCTGTCAAAATTTGTCGAAATGAAATGGGACTGCGATATTAATATCATTAACATGTTGACATCTTGTGTGTAGAGTGTCAGGGATATTCTCGGGAAACTGTAGGAGGAGTTGATTTCACAAGCTTAGTACCCTCTCTCACAATTAGGCAAATGAAGCTCCGTAAAACAGGGCAGTAACTCTGTCAAAATTTGTCGAAATGAAATGGGACTGCGATATTAATATCATTAACATGTTGACATCTTGTGTGTAGAGTGTCAGGGATATTCTCGGGAAACTGTAGGAGGAGTTGATTTCACAAGCTTAGTACCCTCTCTCACAATTAGGCAAATGAAGCTCCGTAAAACAGGGGCAGTAACTCTGTCAAAATTAGTCGAAATAAAACGGGACGCCATTCTGGCCCGACAGGGGATAAAAAGTGTTTTTGAGTACCATTCTCTGACTCACAATAGCTATCAAACCTGACAAACATTTTGGAGCTTCCTTAACTCCAAACCATGGGATATTTTCGTTGTTCTTTTCCAACTATCATGATATTTTCGTGGGTTCATGTTGGTGCGTCCTCAAAGCGCATCAGCATATCATAACACGGAATCCCCATGCGGTATTTCATGGAGTACAGTTACCAGTGAAATACCATGCATTATTGAATAATGAGTATGGAGATATGAATAAAATTTAAAGACACTCCACAGAATAATCACTGAATGCAAGTTTTCTACACTGAAGACTGTATATAAACATAAACTTCAGGCAGAATTCCTTCAAATAAGTAAATCGCTTTCTGATCTAATTTCATTTCAGCATGTTCACCAACTATATATTGTTTCTACAGGACAATTGTGAAAGTAAACCAGTGGTGCATCTACTTCTTGTGGAAAGAATACAACACTCATATTATCACTGATTCTTTATAAATAATGCAAGAAATGCACTGTTATTGGCCTGTTAATTGAAGGGAGATAACTGAACTTTCTACTTGATCATGTTTTAGGCATGTTAGGTACAATCGAGTCTAAGTCACCCAATGAAACAATACAGGTTTTCAACACTATTACTGTTTCAACATACCTCATTGACAGAGATGTTGTGCTGTTTCATATATTCCTTGTCATCCACTTTCCCTCCCTCACAAAACTCCATTGTGAGAACCCTCTCAGATGACAAATTCCAATATATTTTTGGCATCTGCAACATAAAATGCAGCTAAAGCAGTCAGTAACGCAGCAGTGATTATTCTAGACTGCATCCTTGATTGTCCTATGTAATTCCATTTTATCATGATTTATAACAGGGACCAATTGGCCACCTTAGCTTCATTTTGAGTTAAAATTACAATACTTTAAATAGCCATTCACTCATATTACACTGTTCTTTGAAACAAGCAGCGATGAAACCAATTCAAAGCTCGCTTTTTTGCCATCCATTTCAAATACAACTTGGAAGATTCACTTCATTCTGTCTTACTTCTCATGAAAGCATCTTTCCAGCTTATAGTAATTACAAGACTGCAATATTGAATGTGGATCTGCCGTTATAGAGCTGGAATAGTACTGAATGCGATGTAAACACAACAAAATATTGATCAACTGGTATGCCAAAATCATGTGCAGCAGATGCATTTTGATTGGATGTTGAACTCAAGCTCAGGAGCAAGAGAATGCTGTGCCAAGCTGGTGATAAAAGAATTGGAGATGCTACTTCTGAAATGAAGATTGGTTACAAATAGGTCAAGGGTATTTATCATAATAGAATGTAGCTATAATAATCAGGACATTATCTAGACATCTAGAGTGAGCCATTGGGGTCTTGCTGCTCTCTTGATATTAACCAAACTTCCAAGTTGTGTATAAGAGTAGTGATTACTGCACTGGCCAAAAACAACAAGAGTTTGCCACTAACGTAGCTATACCCCCCGCCTCTGTTGCAGAATTTATGACATAATTAAATCTAAACAAACCCTAAACTTTTTTAACTGAGGTGGAACTTGTCATGGAAAGTTTAAAAAAAAGAAGAGCATGGAAACATAAAAAATAAAAATTTCTAAAACTTCTAAATAGCAAAAGGCACCAGTTCAGCATGTACCTGATAAACCTGCAAAGTTTCATGAAAAAATACTGAACTGTTTATGGGTCATGCTCCGGAAACGAACCCTACCCTCACAGAACCTAAGTCCATCTTGTTGCCATGGAAACATAAAAAAAAAAAAAATTCTAAAATTTCTAAATAGCAAAAGGCACCAGTTCAGCATGTACTTGACAGACCTGCAAAGTTTCATGAAAAAATATTGAAGGGTTTCTGAGTTATGCTCCAGAAACGAAACGTGATGGACGGACAGATGGAGCCTGTTTCTATATCCCCCGCTAACTTTGTTGAGCAGGGATAATTAGAATTAGATCAAGGTGACTGAATGGTTGCCATCAGCATCAACCTAACTGATCTTTCATTGGCTGTTGGTTTACTTTTCCAACAATCGACTTCCCAAGTCTGGAAGCAAAACACTTATTCTCCAATTTATGTCCTACATTCATAACTTGTAGTAAATTTGTTCTTAATATCTGTGTATATGGAGAGTTGGTTACATGACAATACATGTGACAGCCTTCCTCAGGGCTTTTTCTTAATTATGGCTGTTTCTAACACCACACAATCCAGACAGGCTGACTGGTTTTGTTGTTTAGATTTTCTAAATGTTGTCTGAGTTGACTGCAAGTCAGTTTCCTCTTAAAACATAAAAAGATTTGGTATGTCAAGAAAAAAGACATGTTGATGTTGATTTGACCATCAATTAATACTCTCTTGCTCACTTTCAGGAAGTCAAGTTTCTTGAACATTTCTGATGCTCTTTCACAATTCTTCCCTTCATTGAGAAAGTCAAGCTCAAGGGGCAGATTTTTCTTTGTTTCTTCAGACAACCAGCAGTACTGGAAGTTCGGGAACACCCATGCAACTGCATTCAGCAGGAACTGCAAAGGATATAATAGTTCAGCAATAATACCAATTCATTCATATCATTATCACAAATATAAAATATATTCAAGGCTAATTAAACAATCCATATTACAAAGTGGTCAAATGTAGCAAATGTTATACTTGGGAAATTATATTATTCTTATATTATACATGTACATTTATATACCACAGGTATCCATGTACTAGTATCTGCCAAAATGTGGTTTTATTTGTTCCCCGACCAGTGTATCCATTTGCATTCCTGTTATCATTCTCAACTCCCTGGGGAGTATACAACCCTTCGGCCAATTTACACTTATCAAAGAGGTACACAAAGTACATGATTTAGACAACCAGTTGTCAGGCTTCCATTTTGTGGAAGCCTCGCTGGCTGAGTGGGTTAGATCGCTGACTTTGTGTGCTGGCGATTAGGTGCCTCACTCAGAGACTATGAGTCCCAGCGTTCCTGAGATTTGCTGTTGTTGGTTTTGAACCTTTGGACCTTTTTTATTGTATTTTTAACAATAGGACATTAACATATCAAACACCGTTTAGACTATACAGCATCTAGTGACCCCCCAATCTATGACATTAGGATTAGAACAAGGAATGAAAGACACTTTCACTTTCATCCTGAATCTAAAAACCTGATTTCCTTTCACAGTGTTTGTATTTCCATCACAAATAATTACAAACCTCCATGGTCTTCATGTCGACATAAGAGTGAGATTTGACTGTTGGATGCTGCACTTTGACAGCTACAACTGTTCCGTCCTTCAAATAAGCCTTATGTACTTGTGCCAATGAGGCTGCTCCCAACGGATCCGGGCTAAAGTCAGTGAAAATAGCATCTACCTATAAAATAAGTTCACATCACCTTGACATAAAGCATATGACATTGTTACAACTAATATTTCACCAGACACTGGGGTACTGACCACTTGAACACATATTTTACTAATATTACAGCATAATGCTTGTTGAAACTGTTCTTTTAACAACAGGGTCTGTTTTATGGAGAGTTGGTTGGTTGGTCTGTTGTTTTACGCCGCACTCAGCAATATTCCAGCTATATGACGGCGGTCTGTAGATAATCAAGTCTGGACCAGACAATCCAGTGATTGATATCCTGAGCATCGATCCATGCAATTGGGATTGATGACATGCTTCAACCATCCAGTGAGCCTGACCACCCGATCCCGTTTGTCGCCTCTTACAACAAGCATAGTCACCTTTTACGGCAAGCATGGGTTGCTGAAGACCTATTCTTCCCCAGATCTTCAGGAGAGAATCCAATCAGTTACATGTGATGGAAACGGCTGCTTGACAATCATGATATTCTGATCCTTATGGACTTCCAACTAGCCTCTGTCTAACAGCATAGCATACGTCGACTTGATGTTAAATATATGAATTGTATCCCTTATCTTTCAGTATATCTTGAAAATAATCAGGAGGTTTTCAACCTAGCTGAGGATAAAAACAGCTAAAGTTCACAAGAAATTCTTCTAATTTTAGGCAACAACATCTAACCTTTTGCCCAAGATCCTGCTCTATGACTTTGTAAAGGTCCTGTAGTTTCGACTTCGGCGCCCTGTCATGGAGAACCTTCATGGTATCAACATATTCTTTTGGCAGCAAGTACTCCAGGGAACCGACATGTTGCCCAACTTTGATGAACACTCCACCATTCGCACAACACATCTCCCTTAACCGTAAAGCTGAACGCAAATGTACCTGAAGAAAATTGTACCAAGGGTCTGAAGCCCACCTTTGTAACGCGATGTAATGAGGCAGCCATACATTTGCTTAGGCCTAATATCTTTTCAAGAAAGTTCTGTACTAATACAATTTTAAGACGTCATGTGTATATCAGTGAATCATAAATATCACAAATCTTAAGCAAGTCCAAAATATTTTAAAAGCCTGTTAGAGCAACTCAAATCTTCAAAACTGGTGGCCCTGATGTCTAAGACGCAGCAATTCACCACAATTAATGCCAAAATCCAATGATCATCAGTTAGAATCCAAAAAAACCCTGATTATTATTCTATGTTTGTCAGCACTAAACCATGCCAATGCATTTACACCAAAGTTGTAAATATCTAAGACAGGCATCAATTCTGGCTATCCTCCCACTTTAAGCTGACTTGACTTGACAAAATTGAAATACTGCTCATACAAATGTTTAACCAAACTTACTCACTCAAAACAAAATTCTTTGTGCTTGGAGCCAATAAGGGTCTGTCTAGTGGTTAAAGCTAAAGGGCAAGTTTGATTCACAACATGGGTAAAATATGTGAAGACCATCGTTGGTGTCTCCTGCTGTGCCATTGCTGAAATGTTTCTAAAACCCAACTCATTCACCCACATAGCAAGGAATAATAGTCCATATCTGGCCCTATCAATAAAAGCAGTATTCCCTTTACCCTAGTGGCTGAATTTAAACATAGGAAATGATAGTGAGTGAGTGAGTGTGGTTTTATGGCGCTTATAGCAATATTCCAGCAATATCAAGGCGGGGGACACCAGAAATGGGCTTCACACATTGTACGCATGTTGGGAATCGAACCCGGGTCTTCGGCGTGATAAGCGAACGCTTTAACCACAAGGCTACACGACCACCCCTAGGAAATAATAATTTCAGATTTACCAACCATAGATGCTTTTTTACGGTAATCTGGGTCGTTGTCATATAGATGCCTGTAGGTTATTTTGTAGTCAACAGCCACCCTAAAAGCCTGAAACAAAATATGTATACTTGTGAATGAACAGTGTGACCATATGTTTAGTGGCTACCGATAATTGATTATAATAGATGATTGATCAGTTACCCTGTATATACAGGTATCTATTTTTAAATGGTAAGTATCCATCATCAATTGTGGTATAACAATTTTATTCAATGTCAAGTATGTACTTTTCATGTTCACCCACACATAATATTCATCCCGAGCTACAAATAAACAAACTCCTCATTAAAATACAACAAATCTGGCATTAAAATCTAAAATCAAGAAATGTATAGCATATACATGTCAAATATTTCATTTTTGTGTGTCTCAATTGGTATGATATTGTCAATGTGGCCATTTTAGGGGGTTGCATTGTTACTGCAATATGCTCACCCACATTCTCAAAATCCCACACCAGGGTTCAGACCTAATCATCTACAAATACTGAGTAACATAAATAGACAATACATGCAAACTCTCACAATGTCTGGCCCACAATTTACATTTTGGCAGTACTGGTAAAGTGTAACCTCCAGGTAAGTACAATTATATGTCAATGTAGTCAGCTGTCAGTGTACTAATACTGTCAATATTAAAATGAAAATCTAATGATAATGATGCTCAAAGGCAAGTTTTGACTATAACATAATTCTTGGCACATCTGGCATGTACAAGAACCCTCATCCTCCTGACTCATAGTTTACTTATGTGTGTGGTTAATAGGGCTATGTATATACCATAATTTCCTTGAATCACGTTTGTTTTAACCCATCATGCCCTAAATATCATGGCGACCCAATCCAATTAGTCAACACTTACAACTAGGTTACTCACAATCTATTGCAAAACAGAATCCCCACGGGGTTAATAATTTATCTTGCAAATAAAAATTGACATTGTATTTCATCAAAAGCTATTATCAACAGCTATGATCAGCATAACATACATGTCGGTTATCAATTTTCAAAAATCATGACACTATTTCATTTCATTATTCAAATACTAGTATACAATACCCTACTTTACTTACTGAGATCCATTGGTAAGCACAATAAGACTTTGGGAAAAATAAAAGTTGTATTAATTAACAGTCCTTACTGGAGCAATAATTACCCAGGTCCCAGGAGAACAAAAGCTGATAACATATTCGGTGAACCAGAGCCCATATGAAGTTAATGCTATGGGGGGTGGGGTGGGGGTGGGGGTGTTTACAATGACACAGCTAGCCTGGTCACCCGACTATCATGAAGGTGGGACCAATTCTGACCAGGAATTCTCAAAGTGTTAAAATATTATTCATTTCCCTGGGTGTGTAAATAGTCTTTGGTGGAAACAGACTGAAGGATTAGATACTAAAGAGAAAATATGACATTGACTTACAGCGTATGCTGCCCTGCCAAATCTGACTGCCCCCATCGACGACACATCCCAATCATTTTGGTGGAGGAAAATACCGGTACCAACAGCCGTTGATCCAACAAGGCCATACTTGAAGAAAGACCTTATGCCACGTCTTGCCATCATTGGGGCTTCTACATCTGAAGCAAGGGGTGAACTGCATACAAATCAAAGTCAGGTTGGTTAGGTAACTAAGTTGGCTTTCATAATGCTTTGCGTCGTCTGCTAGGCTGACTGGTCACGCTGAAGTAGAGATTCATACAATTAATTCTCTATTTCAAAAATTATTTACGGTGTCTCGGAACACATCACTCTTGTTACCATTCCCGATATCAATGTTATGACCAGTGCGTACTAATAAAGGTGTTGACATAGGTTTAGCTTACAATGTCCAGAAGTTTCACCTACCAAGAAGATACAGCGGAAGCAAGTGCGCTGGAGTAGACTAGGTTTTGTCTCCGTCGTATCTTGAAAATCATGTCAGCGCGTGCTACCTTAATGTAATACAGATACAGAGATATCGTTGCAAGGAGCTTTAAAAACGTCGACGCAAACGCTGTTCAAGTGCAATGGCAAGTCAAACGGAAATTATTTATAGGCTTTCACCAAATCAGTGTCTGTTTATTTTATTGACGTACCTTACAAATGTCCCTCTAAGTGAAAACTCACTAGCATAAATATTGATTCCATTAGTCCCTTAAATGACATCGATTGACTGGGCTACTGTCTATGAATGTGTAAATATCATCTTTACAAATGCAGTTGCGCATTCGAGCTGAGATACCGGTAATGTGAACGTACACCACAGACGAAACAAAATGGCGTCCTTATCGAAGTGAGTATTTGGACGAGTCTGGTGTTTTGTTATTGTTTACGCTTGTATGTGTTGTGTAAGACTAAAAAAAATGACATTCTATTGTTTTACTGTATGTTTCGCAACTCTAGTTTAGTATACTCATGTGCGGTGACACCTCAAACGATAATAAATGACAAAAAATAAGGACATTGAAAGCATGTGTTGTGTTCCACACCTGCACAATTTGAAGTTCCATGATTATTAGATTTAGATTGAGTAATAGTTTGTTTAAATATGTTAGGTAATGCCTGTAATTAAAAGAAGAAGAGGACTCGTGGCGTACACATGGAAATTAAAACGTTTTATGTGTCAAAATCAAATGGCACAAGTTTATGAAATATGATTATCTGTGAAAAGTATATCTAACCAGAGACAATCTAACGTATAACAACAACAGTTAGCCTAGCTCGTAGAATACGTAAACCTGATAGACACACCGATTAGCTGATGGAAGATTTATTGTCCAGCCGTTCGGAAGTACCACACCGCCACTTTTTACCAACATATTCTTTTGGATTTCAATTAGTGCTGTGCAGAGGATCGAAGTCATGCATTACCAGCTTGAAGCTGAGCTTAGCTTATAGAGTTGATATAGGCCTAGCTAGCCAGAACTTTACAATGGGACAATGTATGCTCTTTCCAATAAAAAAATTATTAGTGTTTGTTGTATATATAGATCTAGTAATCAGCCCCTATTTGTTTACCTTGATGCCCATGCAAGGTCACCATATTCCTCTACAAAATGTTAACTTGTTAAAAAATATACAGACCGTAATACAACCATCTAACATGTCTAAGAATCGATTATGCAAGTTGAGTGAAATTAGAGGCAGAGCCATTTAGTACTTTTTTAAAGCTGCACCTGGTAAACAGCAGAGTTGCCAGCAGTTTATTTGCTTCTGATACAGAATCCAGCCAACTTTGCTAAGGCTCATTTAAAACATGCATTTGCTTATGATTCATTTTTTTTTCATACCCCCTTTAGCTTTTTGGATTGAATATTAGTCCCCAGTGGTAACATATACTTGTTGTAAAAGTTGAGGGGAGAATTGCATTTTAATCCCCTGGATGCCAGAGGGACATATATGTCCCTCCCCGTCAACCCTCCCTTTGAAGTCAAAGAAAAATTCAACATACATCAAGGACACAAATACACTTCACAGTTTTGAATTCAGCTATAGAAACTAACAGTTTTAGTCCACTAGTCCTTATAATGATATTGCAAAACTCTTAAAAAGGGTAAATTTCTACTGGTCCTTATGATATCCTACCGGTAACTATTGGGCAGTTTGGCAAGGACTATAGGACAAGCGCCAATTTCTAATGCTGGAATTCTGTTGGAAATTCCCTGTTCTGTGAAAACATCCACTGTCATTTTTGGCAAAGCTCAATCTCATTAATATCAGATCTAAGTTCTCGCTGTCGCCAAACAAAGTTTAGCGATAGGGAGAACTAAGATCTGATTTTCATGATTTTAGTGAGATTGGGCAAATCTATATTGCTCAAAATTACGGTACATTACTAAATCACCATATTCATGGTGTTATTTACAGCATGTTTTCAAATCAATATTTTTTATATTTACTCAGCATGCTCAGAGAAATAAATTTCAAAAACAGCATATTAGTGATCTCGGGAATGTGTCTTTTGTCAAATCACCAATGGTCATTCAAAAACATTGCCTTTGAATCGTTTAGAATGTTTTGGAAAATGCGCAAACACGAACACCTAAGTGAACTTTTCGCCATATTGGATAGTGTTTACAAAATCCCGTTTTACCTATGCTGGTTATGAGACGCCTATAATGACACATATATTTCAAACTCTGCTGCAGTACATGTATCCTTGAATTCCTCATCAATTTAGAATCAAATGACAAATGGTATTTGTCACCAATACAAAGTGTCTAGATGAAATCAAGCAAAATAAATTAGGTGTGAAAATGAACCCTATGCTCAGAAAACTGCACGAGTTAAAAATGTTAACAAAGCAAAATTCATTGCGAAACATTGCGAGTTTTCCTCAAATTCGCGCAATAATATTTATTACGTCACAGGGTAAGTAATATGTCAGTCAGACAATGACAGTAGCCAATATAGTTCCAACTGAAATCTGTTTCTTATACAGTGGGGAAACAACATATACGCAAAACAACAATTGTTTTTACTTGCATTTCGTGGCAATCGATCGTTCTGTCCGCTAGAGTAACTGCCCTTTGTCAAAGGGAAGCCACTCTAACCCTAGTCTGAGACGTCACGGCCATGGTCAGACGTTGACAGTCGGCCTGTCCTGTCATAACGTTAAGAAATGCAGTCAGACAAAACAAAACAAGGTAACAATTCGAACATATTTCGTCCAAATCCAACTATTTTAATTTGTGGTTCCAAGCCGCAGAGATCTACAAGCACAGATATGGCTACTGATCCCGCTTGGCTAAGCCTAGTGCCCTCGCAAAATTGTTCAGAAATTTATATCTCCAAAGTTGCCAAAACTTATTAAATGCCTTAGCTACATCACAGTTACACACTGATTTTCAGTATATTAGACTATTCTTTTGTTAATGATAGCAATTATCCAAGTAGTTTCCCAAGATTCCCGATGGTTAATTCTGACTCGATCGCTGAATGACAAGGGCGACGCCATGTTTGTTTATAAACACTGAAAGTAGTCCCTACTTGCCCTTTGATATTTGCATCTCTATCTGCATTTGACCCCAACAGATATCATTTTTATCGGTTGGCTTTATCCTGCCAAGAAACCTACCCATTATATGATGAAATGAAATATGCAGACAAATCAAATCCTAGTGTATCAATGACGCAACAAAAAACTATAAATACGCTATTGAAATAAAATTAATTTGTAAATTAGAACTGTTAGATAAAGCAATTGCGTATATTACCTACGAGTCGTCTTAGGCATCACAATTTGGTGTGCAGAGTTATGTCCCTTGGGCATGCCAGAAAGCTGTGATCATGGGTAAAAATCCTCGTTCACCCCGGTCATGTCTCTCAGTTTGTCAGCACCACACCCATACTCGTGGGTTTCACCAAACTGGTAAACGTCCAAGACCTGCATCACTGCAGGCTTCCCTCCCACATCAAATGGCATTTAACCCGAACACATTCACTCACTCACTCACTCAAATTATACTGGACTAAGATAGCTAACCCTAAGAATCAGAAAAGGGGACCTAACCCTAAGGATCATAACTAAAGGAAGTTTTGTGATTTTCAAGGGTAGCTCGATGCTAAGGATTGTGAAGGAGTGTTTGATAGGAAGGGGTACCTATAAACTGTAATGATCTTAAAGGTTCATGATAGGAAAAAGTATCCATGGGCTGGGGATAGAGTTGGGGCTAACCCACCCTAAACCTCACACAAGTGACCTGAAAGATTGAAGAGGCACTCGAGATCATTGAAGCGAGACTAACAACACCTGGAGCCAATTTGCACTGTGTACATGATATAGCTGCACCCGATGAAGATTAATCAGGTGGTCAGATTTGATGACTTTGATGATTCATGTGAACATATCCTAACTGTGTAGGACTTTGCACATAATATCAACCACTTGTTTACAGACTACTGTAATATATTTGGAATATTGCTGACTGCAGCATACACAAACGAACAAATCATATCAACACTTACCAGGATAATCAATGAGATGAAAGCATTTTTTCAACACATATTTTTCTTTTGGATGTCATATTAACATCATAAGCACTTGTTTTTATTTTCAGTGTATTACCAGCCCCATCTCAACGTATATATGATAGAGATGATGAAGACCGACAGTACAGGTCACAAATGCAGGTAATTGATTTCATGTTCATTTTAAGTAATGTCCAGCTGTTCAGCTTCTTTTAGATTTCAATTATTAAGACTATTCCTCAGGGCCCACTTGCACAAAACGATCTTAGCGCTAAGATGATCAGAACTCCTATTCTTTAACATAAGCTTGCGATAGTCGTAGCGCTAAGATCGCTTTGTGCAAGTGGGCCCTGGTCTTTGGCATTTTTGGTCATATGTATTTGCAAACATTTTCTTTTGATCATGTTAATATTTGACTAAGTACAAAACAGTTTAAAGAAAGCCAGCCAACATTTTTCAAATGTGTATGAGGTGTTACTGTGGTTACCATGGACACTGCACCATTATCAATCAAAATAAGTACTAATCATGCATGTAACAAATACAATTGTACATTGTACAAATTTTAGAGCGGTTATCATGGTTATATAAATCAATGGATATATGATTGCTTTTTTGATGAGATAGCATCAAAATAGGTCTTTGGAAAAAACTTGAATATTGTGCATATTGCTTGCAGTGAATTGAAAGTGTTCCTTGTGACACTCATTTCAATATATGTCTTCAGGTTACCCCTGTCACAAGCAAGAGGGCTGCCCCACCATATGGACACAGGAAGGGATGGATACCAAGATCACAGGAGGTATGACCATGACATTTGGGCTGATGGCATATCATGATCCCTGTGTTGCCTTGCAGATAAATGTCTTAGTCACAGAGTCAATGGGATTATGAATAATTTAGCGCTTCTGATACATGTGTAGTTAAGTTACATATTCCAGCAAATGTTCAAGATATAGCATATTGTAGACTTGTACATGTCATGTATGTAGTTGTGTGAATTTTTAAAGCCTGAAGGTTCTTCATGTAAACGTGTTATTCACAGATTTCACAGGATCATCAATTTCTGAGATCTTTCTTAATATTGCAGTTGACCTACATATTCTGGCACATGTTCAACACCTTTGCTAAATAATTTAGGTGGTTGGTATTTTAACCCTGTTTACTGTTTGATTACAGTAGTGTTGTATTTCAGATTTAAACAATGGATTTTATTGTTTAAATTGCAGGATTTTGGCGATGGTGGTGCCTTCCCAGAAATTCATGTTGCTCAGTATCCACTTGGGATGGGTTTGAAAGAAACCACATCCAATTCTTTGGCTGTGTCACTTGATCAGCATGGAAAGATCAAGTATGACGCCATTGCCAGACAGGGACATGGCAAAGATAAGGTGAGCAGAATATAAATGCCATTTTATGATCTTTGAATAGCATATTGTAAGGTTCTCATCTGGGGAATATTTTAGCAACCCCCAAAGATTTTGCTGACAAATGTCTTTGGGATATGTCATGATTTCTTTCACGTTTTGATAGGACATTAATTTACATGTCTAAACATTACCAAATTTTTAAAAAGAAATCCTTTAGGACATTTAGGAGGACAGCATTAATGTCGAAGAACATGAACTAATCTGAAACTCAGCATTTAACTGATGTCTGCATGGTACGTTATATATTTACTTATAATGGTTCGTAATGACGCACACCAGAGCTCCAGATAAGCTTTTGGTGTTGTGGGTATTTTACGCATGCATTTTAAAATCATTGGGTATCAGTAATTCTATCTGGGTATTCAAATTTCTGTTACCCACTAGTTTTTACACATGTGGGTATTTAAGTTAAATATTTAAAAACACTATTCATCTAGTCCCTGCAAACTGGTGTCGTGTGGGTTCGAGAGCTTTGTAGGACTCAAAAATACCACGATACTTCCACAAGAAAGTATGATAGCAAATGATCATGATTTTACTATCATCGTGGAGTTTGACAGGGTTGACGGAATGCCCGTTTATAATTTCAAAATAAGTTGCTGATTTGCGAATCGAATACGCAGGGTTACTTCACAATATTTCGATGATATGCACAAGTTTTATTTTTGTAGTGCATCTGTAATGTTCGTTGCGTATTTGATACGCTTGGATTTTATTTTACTGCGTTAACTGCATTTCTGATGCGTATTTTACGCAGATACGCAGCTTATCTGGAGCTCTGCGCACACTTACTAAACTATTGAATATGTCATACACAAAGAGTTTCTTGTTCTTTGTTCAACTTTTATGACACATCAATTAGGATTGATCGATCCTGATTATCTTTATCACGTTTGATAAACAAAGTACCTATCATTAGCGACTCAAGGGCGGGCAACTCTATATTATCCCAGTATCACTATTTTGAGGTGTGAATATGTGCTTTACATCACTTCCTGTTTTAGTTTATGCATAATCAGTATTGGTTCAAAAGACATCATCCAAACAAATGGGTACTTTTCTAACCAATTTTTGCATGCAAGATAAATAAGGATCTTTCACTACTTTGTGTCAATGTCACATAGTGTGATAGTGTTTGCAGACGATGTATGTGTGAATGAGGTGGTATGGTTATGTCATGTACTTTTCACTCTAGGTGATCCACTCCCGTCCTGGTGACTTGGTGCCAAAGATGATAGATGAGGATGACCCTGATCTGCAGCGTCCAGATGAAGAGGCAATTGAGGACACAACAGAGAAGACCAGGCAGGCTTTGTCCAAGCTGGTCTCCAGCAAGATTTCGGCAGCCATGCCAGTCCGGCATGCAGAGAAACAAGCACCTGCTCAGTATATCAGGTACTGTTGTCAAGCTCATAACCATTTGCCTTGGCTGTCATTTAAGTGTGTCAAATTGCTATTACCGATCATCGGGAATTCCTGTTTATGTTGGATATGGTGAATCTTTTTTAACTTCTGGTGTCATGTATGTTTCAGGTACACTCCATCTCAACAGGGTGTGGCCTTTAACTCGGGGGCCAAGCAGAGGATCATCAGAATGGTGGAGGTGCAGAAAGACCCCATGGAACCACCACGATTTAAGTATGTCATTTTTTGGTTTTATTGTAAGACATGGTTTTGTCTTCAAGTCAGTTCATCCCTGAAAAACTAGCAAGACAACTAAAAACAATTACCACTTTTTGGATGCTTTTAAATTCTAATACAAATACTTTTGATGTTAATAGTTAAGAGATTTAGAAATCAGTGGTTTCAGAACATTGATTGATCTGAAAGAATGATACAAATGTTGCATATTGTCCAGTTGATAGCAATTTAGTATAAGTGAATACATTCACGCTTCAGAGTGAACAAGAAGATCCCCAGGGGTCCTCCATCACCGCCAGCACCCGTGATGCACTCCCCTAACAGAAAGGTAAATATACAACTACAGCTCTACAAAACAGACTGCCTTGAAATTTTTTGTAAGAATATACATGTATTTGCAAATTTTTATTTAATGATGTATTAGTAATACAAATTCACCTTTATCTTGAATGTTTTAACTATGAAATTGCTATATTTTTTACTTATCCTGCATTACTCCTTAATGCATTCACTGCTTACTTACGACAACTAGAAGGACAGCGCTGCGAAGGTCCTGGGTGAAGAAATAAAGTTGTTGTTCTCAAGTCCCAATCAGTGGCCTTCCGTCGCTGTCCTGTGACCTTGATGACACCTAAGGTCATCTTCACATCACTGCTTGTCGCAGCACAGCTAGGACGTGTCCAAGCGGAGCTCTCCTTTTGGATTAATTTTAGACCTTCAGTTTGTCTACAATCTTAAAAATTGATCTGCGATGGGTGATGTATTCTTTTCATATTACTTTCACCATGTTGTGTAGTTTTATGTGAATTAATTAGGCGTGAAAAGACGCTTGTCTTTTTTCCCGCCAAAATATTGTTGTTCGCCGCCATTTTGAATTGTGTTACAATCGTTTGCCTGCCAAGGTAGTCATATTGTTTACAATTCTCAGCTACGTATGTATAACATATTCTTATGTTCTTAAATATTACTAGCTTTGGCGTAACAGTGAGTTGCGTATACTAAAATTATTGTATACTTTTTCAACTCGTTAAAAATATGGTTGCCGATAGATTAATATCAAATCTACGGCTTTCTTCCAGTCCCGCTTCATCAACAATTCTTTTATTGCGTACCTATGTTTATGCGATTAAATAGTTTTTTGTTGGTATTTTTGGTTTTACATTGAGTTGCGTATATGAACTATTGTATACTCTTGCAACTCGTAGTTTTTGCCGATAGATTATTGTTCAATTCTATGGCATTCTTCCAGTACCGCCTCATCAACAATGGCGTAATTGTGTTTAATTTAAACATATTTTATTGACATATATGGTCAACGGGATTGGGCAAAAGTTATCCAACTTAGGTGGCCCTTTCCCTACTCTATATGTACAGACATTGAATATACATATATATATGTAATTGTGTAACTTATGATTGAGCGTGGTATTAATTGTCGTGGGAAAAATCTTACAAAGATTATCATCCACGTTGTTTGGTTTGCGCGCAGATGTGCTCTCCAAACCCTAAATGAAAATATAAATACCCTTGGTTTACATTGGGTTGCGCATACAAAAATATTGTATATCCTTGCAACTCATAAATTTGCCGATAGATTAGTGTTCAAATTCTTCGGCACTCTTCCAGTATTATCTCATCAACAGGGGTTTCATTGCGTAACATACCTTTGAGCATTTTACTAATTGTCGAGGAAAAACCCTTACAAGATTATCATCCACGATTGGTTGGTTTGCGCGCGGATGTGCTCTCCAATCTCTAAATGTAAATAGCCTTGGTTTACATTGAATTGCGTATATAAAAATATTGTATACCCTTGCAATTCGTATTTTTGCCGATAGATTACTGTTCAATTCTACGGCATTCTTCCAGTACCATTTCTTCAATGGTTTAATTGCGTAACATAATTATGTTTGCTCGGTGTACATATTGTCGTGGAATAATCGCCCAAAGCTCTTTATCCACGGTCATAGGCATGCACGTAGATGTGCTCGCCAAAATTCAAAATGTAATTTTTATGTAAATCTCTAATCCAACGAGTTTACTATATAAAAGCAGATTACTCACAATCATATTTTGCAGTTATTCCGTCGTGAGACGAGAGGAATGTCACTATCGCAGAATAGCGAATGACATATGGTTCTGTCATTACCACCCAACCGTTATTATCGGCAGGTATTATGACGACTGTGATTGCAGAAGTACACCATCCACCGAAATCAACAATACCGGAGGATTTTGTGAGTATCGTAACTGCTCCTATTTTTTCAGCCGCCGGACACTTCCAGATACATGTATGATAATCTGTGACGTCGGCGACAGCACCAGCGTATCGAGATGCTATGATGGGGGTAGATTAGACACAAGCCTTGATCCAGTCAATACTTTTGAGCTTTGTGTCTGATTTATCTGCGCCGAGCGCAGCACTTGACTACAACCAAAGCACTTCTATTACGCAATCGGCGCACGATCAGCTTAGCGCTGTTCCAACATATCCAGCATAGACCTGCGCCGAGCGCAGCGTCTGACTGATACCCAAGCGCTCCTATCACGCCAGTGACGCACGATCAGCTTAGCGCTGTTCCAACATATCCAGCATAGACCTGCGCCGAGCGCAGCTTCTGACTGATACCCAAGCGCTCCTATCACGCCAGTGACGCACGATCAGCTTAGCGCTGTTCCGACATTCCAGACCTGCGCTGAGCGCAGCGTCTGCGTATCAATCAAGGTCTCTACAATGACGTTAGCCCAAGGCTTACAGTGTACCGGTTACGTAACCGGCACATGATCAGCTTAGCACATGTACCCGATTGGGAAGCAGACCATCTCGTGTCAGTAACGCCTTCCCCTGATAACAGGGTAAATAAGAGGGACACCACGAGGTCATTGGAGGAAGCCTTCTCCAAAACTCACATTTGCTCCGTGATTTAAGCGACCAATATCGTCAATGTTTGTAGTGGATCAGAATCTATTAGAGGATAACCCTATCTGATTAGATCACTTCCAAACTATGGTGTTTTTCCTACAGCGTCAGTTTGACCACAGGAAAATTCATCTTGAGACCGTTCTGACGGTGATTACCGTTACACCCAAGACTTTATAGCGTTTCGAACTGAGATGCTGGTTTCAAGGGCAGTCTATTACGTCAACCTTGATCATCTACTCCCCTGTTCAACGAACAGATCGCAGACACGCACGTCAAGTTCCCAAAAAGCTTGGAAAGTCCAAGTCAGGGAATTATAAGCCTAGACGCGCGTTTCTCAGGGAAGACCAGCATTCCCTTACTGAGAAAGGGAGTGGCAGAGACAAGTCTCAAGGACGATTTCGTACTTATCGCACTATATCATGGTGTCCGTATAAGGGTAGAGTTAACCCCACCGTTGACCACAGTTTGATTGGGAAAATCCAACATAGACATACTGTTGGTAAGAAGAGCTGTAGAGTGGGTTCACAACCCAGTCTTTACTCCGGGGTTTTATCCTCACACCTACCTGGTACTCATGAAGGATCCAGACAAGATGAGAATGATCCACAATCTCTGTGTTCAACGAACGTTTGATTCTTCATCAGTCTCGACTATCCATCCCAACCGTAGACTTTTCAGGTCCAGTTCATTGGGGTTCACTACCAATGGTAGTATTTCCCATTTGACATGTCAGTGACACTTATGGCTATTTACAGGAGTAATGAAGCCAATAACTATCTACACGTGACGAACACTTGGTTCGAGTCGTAGATGGAGGGCGATCTACTGTATCATCAACACATGTCAATAACTGGGATAGACAATCAACGAGGCGAAGTCGGGAGTATTCTCCTTCCTATTGACTTCAGTTCATAGGAGACCTGTTTAAGACAGACCAGGATATCCTATCTGTACCGAGGGACAGATGGCACAAGTTTCTACTTCTTTTGTCATCTACTCTACACCAACCACACACACTTCGCCAGTGGCAAGTGTTGCTAGGGTTAATCACCTCGGCACAGGAGTTAACTAGCATGGGCCGCTTACAACAGCGACCAATTCAATTTTTTTCCTGAACCCTTACATCAGGAGTCAGGATCCACTCAAGGCCATCACTCTACCAACTAAGCTAGAGCCTCAATTTGTGGCGCTGAATGTCTGCGGAGTCTGTTTATTCGGATTTTCCCCGAATACACACTTGTTTGTGGACGTCCCTTTTCAGGGGTGGAGTCTTCACTTACAAGACCAGATAAGCTCAGGGCTATGGCCCGGCGCACAATGGAAGTGGCACATAAACAACTTGGAGTTGGAAGCTTTAATTCTGGCTATATCACATTGGCAGAATCAACTACAGTTAGCCCGACTCGCTATATCCACAGACAACAGCACTGCGGTGTGGTGCCTGTGCAATCGGGGAACAACACACTCCCACTCTCCACTTCTAAGGACATTCAGATTTCTTCCATCTAGTGGATCGGCTGTGACTAAGGTTCATAGTTCAGCACATCCCCGGATGTAGAAACATACTGGCCGATACTTTATCACGTCCAGACAGGGTGGCTCCCACTGAGTGGAAATTTCTCACAGAAGCATTCCAGTTACTGCTTCAGGAATTCAGGCAACCAAACATTGACTTGTTTATTACTTGCCTAGGCCACCAACTCATGACGTATATCTCCCCGTTGCCGGATCCGCAGACTTGGGCGGTGGACGAGTTCAGTATCACTTGGGAAGGGCAAAGAACTAAAACTCTTCTGCCACCACTTTTACTTCCAAGGTGCTACAGGGGATCAAGGAGACAAGGTATCTCGATCTCTCCTTTGGTCGCACCATGGTAACCGGCGAGAGGGTAGTTCGTCAAGCTCGGAAAAATCTAAAACGATTCACTTCCCCTCTCACAGTGGTCCAACCTACTCATCCACCCTCAACAGAAAATTGCCTCACCCAACGTCTGCACGCATGGTTCGTCTTTAAAAGGCGTTTAAGTGCGAAGGGTTATTTCGACACGGGCAGCAAAGCTATAGCTTTAGTTCATCGTTACTCTCCCAGAGACGACGATGACAAGTGGGGATCACTTGAGACTTTTTACAGGGAAGAAAAGAATCAAGACCCTACGATTGCGTCACAATTCCTAGAGGAATACCTCCTACATTGCGTACCCCAAAACACTTGGAAGGTAGCACCATTACTACGTAATTGGCTGCAATTATCTTAGTGTTGGCCGTTTCCGGAAAATCACAGTGTGATTAAGGTCACGGAACTACAGGCCATATTATGCTCATTCAGGTTTGAGGATCAGAAGGCCAAGTTCCAGCCACCTGATTGGGACTTGAACGTGGTACTTCGAGGTTTGCGAGGGCCCCCTTCGAGCCCCTCATTGCATCCTCATTTTCAAGCTCCTTCCCAGCGCGTGACACCTTCGTTACACTCTCGGTATAGTATAGAGAGCTCCGCGAACGGGCTATCGCTGTGAGGAGCTTGGACCTCACCAAGGAAACAATGGTTTTCTCTTGGCATTAGCAATGGCGGTACGGGTGAGCGAACTACATGTGGTCGACTCAACCCGGATCCGTTTTGAGCATGGGACGCACGGAACAGGACATCTAGGGTTATGCTGGGATTTTATTGCTAAAATCTACTACCAGGCCAACCCGACCGTTCTTCACCATCCCACCGATATCGACTATTGTGGGAATCGTACATGGTGAAGTTCTCCTGGGCTCGGTGCGAGCAGTTCGAGTTTTCATTCGACGCTCCAAGACAAGGCGTGGTTCGTCCACGACAGAAGTTAGTCGCATAATCGCAAACACCATATCTATATGGTTACGCGCAGTAATCCTTCAGACCTACGAGATCATCAAACGGAACTCGCCGAGAGCGAATTACCCTCAAGATCTCAAGGTGTCAGCCTTACCAGGGCTCAACACGGCAATTGTGGTTTTGGAACAATCACGGAAGGATATTTCTGGAGATTCGACACATATTTTCGTTAGTCATAACCTTCGCGTTGTGACTCTCGAGGATGTCAAAGACGTTCGAAGTTTGGCCCTCTGGTTGTTATCCTGCAGATTGCCAACCACTGACGCAAATAATGAACTCGCCCTATACAGAGCCAGTCAACTTCCATGTGCAGTCACTCAGTCGCCACCAGTGGAAGAATATTAGACAATCTTGTTTGTCAGCGACGGCTCTATGACGCAGTAAGTAAAGAATTAGCTGAATAGCTATTATTTTCTTTATTACTAAGCGTGTATAGGGAATTTCTCTTTAATTCCTATGTTCAATGTTTTTGATTTTTGAACAACCCTACCGTAATGGCGTTTTTGTCTGAACTTTTCCGCTTCACGGTTTATCGACCAAATGGGGTCGTATTGCAGGGTGTGAATTATTGAGGTTTCTGTATTCTGAAGGTTGACCCACCTCCAAACCGTCCGATACAGATGCATTAAGGAGTAATGCAGGATAAGTAAAAAATTTAGTAAAATCTAAATATTTTTTACATTTATATACTTATCCTGCATTACTACGCTTAAGGCCCACCCGTCGTTAGACTTGCCTCCCCACTTTGGCTTCAGAAACCTCAAAAGTATGTTTTTCTAAGAGCTTGGGCGACAGGCAGTGATGTGAAGATGACCTTAGGTGTCATCAAGGTCACAGGACAGCGACGGAAGGCCACTGATTGGGACTTGAGAACAACAACTTTATTTCTTCACCCAGGACCTTCGCAGCGCTGTCCTTCTAGTTGTCGTAAGTAAGCAGTGAATGCATTAAGGAGTAATGCAGGATAAGTATATAAATGTAAAAAATATTTAGATTTTACTAAGATTGATTGTTAGATTTGTTCAAGTATGATATGTTATAAATTTTGTTCAGGTTACAGTAAAAGAGCAACAAGAGTGGAAGATTCCTCCCTGCATCTCAAACTGGAAAAACAACAGAGTAAGTAATTGAATTTGCCATGTACACCTCTTTGTGTCCTTATGCCTTCAAGCCCATTTCTGGTGTTCCCTGCTGTGATATTGCTAGAAGGGAGGTAAAACCATACACCTTATGTCTTCATACATCAGCATTGATACTTAATTTGCTTTCTTGTGAGCCACTTTGAGCAAAAATAGGCACCTGACAAGTCACAGGTTCTAGCATTATATCTTTGCCTTTAGCACTGCTTACTTCAAAATAACTGTTCAAGATAATAATTCATCCCTCCACATGACCAATTTATGCTTTTCTTCTTCAGTATTTGGGACTGCCTCCATAGTCTTAGTGGTAGAACGTCTGCCCGGAGAGCAGAAGGTCGGAGGCTTCAATGCCCGGCTGTGTCCTACCAAAAGACATTAAAAGATGGTACTTGTTATTACCCTGCTTGGCGCTTGGCCGTAATGGGCTGAAACAAGGACTGGTCAGCTCAGTTTGTGTCTAAACGGGGTATTCATGTTAAACTGCGACATTGTATCTCAGTGGGCTAGCACTATAAAATCAGCACACTTATGCAAGCAGCCATACACACATGCATGCATGTTGCTATATAAGTGCAATAATCTTGGACGCGATGTTAAACTCTATTTCACCTCATCTTGGCTATTTGGATTATGCTCAACAATAAATGTTTTGTCATTTTCAGGGATACACTATACCTCTTGACAAACGTCTGGCTGCTGATGGCCGTGGTTTGCAGGGAGTCCACATCAATGAGAACTTTGCCAAGTTAGCTGAAGCCTTGTATATTGCTGATAGAAAAGTGAGTCTTCTTTTATCCATGTCCCTCTTTTGCTTCAGCGAGAGATGTTGATAAACAGTTTGTTCTGTGAAAGTTTCAAAAAAATAGAACATTGTGTCAGGTTTGAATGATACACTTGTTCTTTTTATCCTTGTGGTGATTCAGATGCAAGTTTTTGTTGAGATGTTTAAGGTCTGCAGTTTGTCCCAAACAATTGAGAACTCAGACCGAAAATCTAATATGATAAAGATGAACCAGATTTTCCAGGGGAGAAAAAGGTGCCTCATGTGAGAGTTACTGATATGAGTGTTAGGTGTGGTTACAGTTTGTGAGATGGATGATTATAGATAGATGAAAGCTGGAATATTGTTGACTATGTGTAATATAACATTCACTCACTGATGGATGCTAAAGAAAAGACTTGTCTTTATACAGAGCTAAAGATAGCTGTGTATTTGTGTAAAATCTAGATTAAATAAACTGAAATAGCAAATCCCTAGCGTATCAAATACGCAAGAGAAACTTATAAGTATAATACTACAATTCATTTTTAGTATGAAACAGGTTTTCAAGTTAAAATACCCAAATGTAAAGAAATATCGGTAAAGAAATAATTGAATACCAACTAAAAATTATGGATACACAATAAAATCTTATCTAGAGCTCTGCATAAAACTCTTACACAGTAGCCTTTGACACCTGACAAGTATATTCTGAGCCACGGTGATTGAATTAATTAGTATCAAGCGCTTCACTGAGTACTGCGGACCGCACCCGTCTCGCGTACAAGAGACGGCAGAGACGTCTCTCGTACACGTTACGTCTGCGACTGCTGACTGTTGCAGTTTACTTGCCTTAAGACCTGTGGGGATTCCAGGTTAGAACTGGTTCCCAGCATCCTATGCTGGTCGTAAATTGGTCACATAAGTTGAAGGCAGATGAACATGAAAGGCTGCTTTTGCAGATCTTTTTCTGTCTGACAGCGTGTGAGTTTGTACCACTGTGTGTGTAGGTAGTGCTGATTGGTTCCAGGCTAGAGAGGCAGTGGAGATGAGAGCGCAGATCGAGAAGAAGATGGCTCAGAAGGAGAAGGAGAAGAAGGAAGAGAGTCTCAGGATGCTGGCCCAGAGGGCGAGGGAGGAGCGTGCAGGGATAAGGAGAGCTGATGGTGAGTAATACTAGCTGTGGTTGTCATGGGGCAATAGATGACACTCAAATGATATTGTCTGTTCATGGATATTTCAAACAATGCAAGTAAACATCATTGTATTTGTTCTGCAAGAAATTCATGTTCAGAGATACACACTTGCAGAAGGTTGGTCCTCTGGAACAAAAATATACTCCTAATATTATAAGTGACCAATGAAGTTTACTGTAATCCATTACTGAAACTTTTGCAAATTTAATATTGACAGAGGTAGACACTATTGGTCATAACCAACTAGTCTGCAGTTTATTTTGGAATAGTGGCTTATGCAAAATAACTATCTTGTGGGGAAAAAAAACTAGTCCCTCTAGAAGATTGTCACTAGTCTCAGAGGAATTGATTAGTGGCCATGTCGGATTATTTGGGTTGTTTTTGTAAATATTTTGCTCTTCTTTAGAACGTGATGAAGAGGAGGTTGAGAGAAATGAACTAAGACGAGACAGACAAAAGGAGAGGCAGAGAGACAGGAATCTAGCCAGGGCAGCCCCAGATAAGAGGTAACAGTCAACAATTTAAACTAACTTTATAGTACATAAAATATTAATTATGGATTGATTGTTGAAGTCATATTTACAAATTTACAAGTACATGGGTAGATGATATTTGATTTGACCTCAAATTTCACATATGATGACATAGTGTTGTCTATGCTGTACAGATCTCGCATTCAGAAGGAGCGTGAACGTGACATCAGTGAGAAGATTGCCCTGGGATTGCCCAATGCTGGAGGTTCTCAAGAAACACAGTTTGATCAAAGACTCTTCAACACAAACAAGGTTTGTGAAAGTACAGAATTGACAGCATTGGTTCTTGTCAAATGAGTTTCTTAGTCTCATTTATCTCCAGTATTTAAGGTTTTATAGTTTAAAAAGTTGGCATGATGTATATCATGGATTCTATCATGGTTGGAACACAGCAGATAGTGCTTTGCAAAGAGCAAAATTAATTACTAGAGGTAGTTCACACCCTCTTTGCATTGTCATGATAAAGCAGTTGATATTAGCCTGACCTTTCTTTGACATAATAAGTAAATAACATTATGAATGTCATTGTAACATTTCTCTTGAAACAGCCCATGGTCTTGTGTGATTTGCAGACTGAATTTGGCTTCTCACTTACTTTATCTTATTTGCTTATGTGATGTGTGACATGTCAGTGTGGTATTTGTAGGGTATGGACAGTGGTTTTGGTGATGATGAGGCATACAACGTCTATGACAAGCCTTGGCGTGAGGAGAACAGCATAGGCAACCAGATCTACCGTCCATCCAACAGGAAGGACAAGGATCTATATGGAGAGGACTTTGACACCCTCATGAAACAGAAGAGGTCAGAATGATTGTTGTTCACCTCTGAGGTGAAGGGAAGGTCAACTGTTGACCTCTGTAGTCCAGGGTTAGGGGAAAGTCTTTTGCTAGTCTATAAATGTGGTGAAAGGAATGTCGACTGTTCATCTCTATAAACAAGGGTTAGTAGAAATTCTTTGGCTAGCCTCTAACTCTTCACCTCTATAAACCATGGTATGGGGGAAGTCTTTGGCCAGCCTCTAACTGTGAAGGGAAGGTCGACTGATCACCTGAGGTCCAGGGTTGGGGAAAGTCTTTGGCTCGCCTCAAACTGTGGTGCAGGGAAGGTTCACTGTTCACTCTATAAACAAGGGTTATTTGAAATTCTTTGGCTAGCCTCTAACTCTTCACCTCTATAAACCATGGTATGGGGAAAGTCTTTGGCCAGCCTCTAACTGTGAAGGGAAGGTCGACTGATCACCTGAGGTCCAGGGTTGGGGAAAGTCTTTGGTCAGCCTCTAACTGTTATGCAGGGAAACACAGTAGGAAATTCTCAGGTTCTTGCTGTCTTTTCCTAATGTAATTAAGTGGCCTTTAGTAGTTATACACAAGTCTGGTGTTTGAATACCCCTGAGCTCAAATGTGAATCTCAGACGTAGAATTGATTTGCTGGTATGCAAATGACTGAAAGTGCAGTAATATCACAAGTAGAGTAAAAAAATCAGTAAAACAATGAGAATGGATACTCTTTGTCAAACAGATGCTTTGGTGGATGGTTAGAAATTGATTTTAGAATTTGTTGATGTAATATTCATTGGGTAAAGCGATGTGATTTGGATAAAAAAGGGATAAACATGACTGTTAGGTCCACTGTTCAGGAGGTAAGTGTTTGTTTTCTTTGTTTCAGGTTCGTCCCAGACAGGGAGTTCGAGGGCACTGACAGAAGTCGGCGCCGTGATGGGCCAGTGCAGTTCGAACAGGATGTGGAGGAGGATTTGTTTGGTCTGGATAAATTCTTCACAGAGGCTAAGCGGGGTCAGAAGCGTGCTGGAGATGACTCTAGGTCTAGCAGGGACTATGAATCTAGCAAGAGCAAACAAAAGCGGAGAGAATAAGCATTAATAAGCAAGAGGGAATGAGATCAAGACTTACTTCCACAAGTCACATAGCAGATGTGATCAGCATGTATGTTCCGGTTTTCAACATGGATGCACTGGGATAAATCACACATTCTCATTTGAGTTGATAGGAATGACTTCAGGTCTTCTGTCAGGGAGTTGAGTCTTATAACTGCATTTTCATACTAGTACAGAAGAGTGCATGTCTAATGTCTGAATGGAAGAAGGAAGAGACAAGTTATCATTCAGCAAATTGAGATACATATTAACTGTTAGCTCAACAGGGCAGAGATTTTAACTCGAGCATCTGAGGAAACAAAAACTTACCAAATGATGCTTTACAACATAATTGAATGTTTCTTTTGGCATACGTATTTCCTTTTCAAACAATGGGGTATTGTCACATAGATTTTGAAACAATGAGCCAAGTGAAAAGAATAATATTGGATCACATGTGCCTTTGTGTTCCTTAGCTTGCTACATGTGAAATAACTTTCAGGGTCAAGAAAAAATCCAGATTGAATAAGAACATATGTACATACATACCTACCTTATCCAAAACACCTCGACTTTGCAATCATGTCATATTGAAGCATGTGCAGTGTACGTGAAATGAAAATTTTCAGATTGTCAAATCAGAATTGTTTTAACACTGTATGCATGGAGATGTCATGTGTTATTCATGTAAATAGGATATCTCTCAGTAGTGTTTTGTGTATGTGGTTTTACCTGCAGAATACATTTGGTGATAATGACTGATTTTACTTGTAAGGGTATGATCAATAACTGAGTACATGCAGCTCAGTTATTTAAATGAAAGAATGGCGGCACATCATGGCTTCCAAGAAGCTAGTTTCCATAACTATGTTAATTCTCATTAAATTGTATCCTATGAAAATGATATTGTGAATAAACAACAAGTGAATGTACAATGTTTTTTTGTTATTTAGTTGGTTTGTGGTGACTGCATAGACACAGAAAGAAGAGAATATGAAACTATTTTCATACCCATGCAAAATAGCATATACTTTATTTGAGACAAGAAAACATAAGACTTCATATATATTATCACTAATGCCCCTTACTGACCTGAACACTTTTTTGTCTGCACAAGTCTGCGTTAAAATAATCTGTGGTGAAAATCGTGAAATTGAAAATAATTACAGCAGATAAGGTGCCTCACTTCCAACTTGGACAGCTGCACAACAGCTCAACATAATACCATTATCAGAGTCAATGGATCAGTGTGCACTCAAATTTCATTCTCAGTCCTGTGGTGAGTCTACATCCCATGCTGCCTCTGGAGCTCTAGATCAGTTCACATTTCCATCTCATCCTACCATGTACCCTTCACTCCTGGGTGAACGGGCATATTTCAAACAAAGTCTCTTGCCCTATTAACAGATGTCAGATATAATATCCTTCAATGTAGGGCAGGACCAAAGGAAAATGTATCACTGGAACCATGGTAATATCACTAAGGAGCATATAATGCAAAAATGTGGCAGAAATTATTTCTGGCATCCGTCTTTTCAATATTACAAAGGCGTGCATGGTGTACCAATGGTGTAAAGTGCCACAATACACAGCAGAGTTGCATCCCTTGGTATCCGATTATTGTGGTGTGCTACATGGTTAACGCTTTACACACTAAACCGGGAATATCATTGATCGTCATACAATAGCACATCACTTTTATGCCGATGACACCCAGTTGGATAATCATTCATTCCTGAAAATATTTCAAAGCCACTATTAGAAGACTGCTTGGCTGACGTCAAGATACGGATGGCTGACAACAAAACAGAAGCCAAGCTTGTCAGATCTGAACCTAAAGATCTTGCGTCACTCAAACATCTATCGTGGAGATTCATGCATACCATACAGCAGTAAAGTTAAACAATTAGGTGTTTATCTAGACGCTGACATATTCATGAAAAGTCGCATATCATATACATGTAGATCCTGCTATTTCCACATACTGAACATCGGATCCATACGAACTTTACCGTACAAACGAAGCTGCACATCATTTATTGAGGCGTCTGATCCTATCCAGGCTGGACTGTTGTAGTGGGCTGCTCATCAACATCAATCCAGGCCTACTCACAATATTTCAGAAAATCCCGAAGTTTGCAGTGCGTTTGGTTAGAAGATGTGGCAAGACGGGTTCGATTACATTAGTCACGATGTCATCACGCAGGCTGCCCATCGAAGCAAGGATTTAATATAAGATCATGACCATCACCTACAGATTTGTGAACACCATGCCCGATCCTACCCTGCCGATCTCATCACACCTTATGCACCAAAAAGACAGTTACTAATTGTTAGTTCAGAGCCATGGTGTTGGCCGCCGAAGGGGAAAACGAACGGTGGCATGTTGCGTTCAGGAGGTCGTGACGTCTGGCCACGTCATACCAATAGACGTTAAAAGATGGTACTTGTGTAACCCTTCCTAGCGCTCGGCATAAAGGTAATAGAACAAGGACTGGTCGGCTCGGAGCCAGTATACTGTGTCTGAGTGGGGTTTTCATGTTAAACTGAGGCATGGTATCTCTGTGGGCTAGCACTATAAAATCGGGACTAGTATACAAGCAGACACACACACACGCACGCACACACACGCACACACGCACGCACGCATGCATGCATGCATGCAAGTGGCTATATAAGTGCAATAATCTTGAACGCGACCTTAAACCCCATTTCACCTCATCACATCACCTCTCAACTATGGCAGCTATAATATAATGTTACTTTTATTATACATGGCTTTTGTGGGATTAAGTGTCGTGTCTTATATGCAGATCAAATCAAGACAGACGCAATGTGTTGACCACTTCATATTCTTTCAAATAAATTAATTTATCTGTAGTCTAAAGACACCTCTCAGCTATGTGACATCACTGTTAGCTCTTTTACACCTAGCATGGCGGTCTGAAGTGTTGAGTATTTCAATACTGGGCCATAGTTTCCTTGTAACTTACACAATTACATCAACCAAGTATATGCACCTTTTCACTCTTGCCATGTCTTTATTTTTTAATAACAGCTTCTCCACAAAATAACTTTAAACGGAAAGGAAGAACATTTGTTTTACCCGTTTGGTTTATCAGCTGGACAAACTGATAAATTGTAAGATTGCCTAAGTCGCGGTGTCCATGTCCTACGAAACATGTCAACCCTCCTTTTCCCCTTTGATATATGTAACAAGTTACTTTACAGATAATTTATGAGAAGGTTGTCTCTAAATGCAATAGCAAATGTATGCTCATAAGTTAAATTATCAGTGAATAAAACTACACGTGGACACCATGTATCTTACTTAAATCAATTACGTGTGGTGTACATTATGCCCCGTTTTCCCTGAATATGGTACACATTCTTTGTGCTAATTTCATGTATGCATGTATGAGCATGTTTATTTAAGCTTGGCCAGCTTTAATGACATTTGGGACATGCCGTTGTCACAAGTTTGTGTCCCAGTTTTAAATTGGTGCAGAAGTGCATTCTAAATTACTGTATTCACCCAATCTCACTTCGACATAATTATGTGTTACGACAACATGGGTTGAAACACAGTGAATACTTTGTATGGGAGTATTGATATCAAGAGCTATTGCGAACAGAGGATTTTCCTCATAGTTTAAGCACAAGTTCTGCCAAATCGGTCAGCTTCCTTTTCGTGTTGATATTTTTAGTGGTTTACGGGTGGTTATGACATGAATTCACTCGCTTACCTCCCTCTGAGGAACTAACATGTCGGAACCTGTAGTGCATACGTTTTCCAGTTGAATTTCGAAACGTTGATAACCGGTGCGTGAGGTGTCGACACTTGTGTGCCACTCACTTATTAACTAGACATAGCCATGAAGGAATAAAACTGCTCAGAGACAGACACAGACGTCAACTCAAAATGTAGAAAAGGACGTCACCAATTAGTAAAACAATTGATCATTTTCGCTTGTTTATTGTCAAGAACACACGTACTTTTTGTCCAAATAACGAACGTTGGGTTATGTCATACTATGTTTGATGTATGAAGTCTATATAAAGTGTTAATCACGCCGATCACTATATTTTGAAAAATATCTAGACCTCTATATGTAGAAAAAAAATTTGAAACGTCAAACAGAATAAAATCCTGTGCCGTGACTACATGAGAATGATATGCTTTAAAAGAATGTCACAGGCCCGCTTGAAGATTACATGAAATAGTATGTCCCTAGTTACCTAAATAGTAATTCTCCAAAGATGTATGATGCTAAGAACTTCTTGTGACCAAAAGAAATGTAGAGAACAAATTTGTCAAATTGTTTTTTTCTACATTTTTGACAGGCATTAAAACAGAAAAAAAGATGGAAAGCAAAACAACGTTGAAGAGGTCAGCGTCAGATCTGAATGACATTGACACAGATGTGAATGCCACACCCACCAAACAAGCTAAAGTAAATGTCAATAACAGTTCTTTGGAAGGTGGAAATAATAGGGCAGGATCACCTAGTGGAGTTACAACAAACGGAACTGCAGTTACTGTTGCAAATGGAGGAACATCAGATGGGACACAAGATGATAAGCCAGCCATTGTCAAAATTGCATCAGTTCAACGTGATGCTGAGGTGATTGCATCTGTGGTGCCCAATGTTAACGTGTTGGCAGTTTATGACAAACTTGCATCACAAAGAAAAAACCCAAACCGAATGGACATTGTGACAACAGAATTACTTGACAATCCACCAGATAACGACTTGGGGACAGATGAAGCCAAAGGAGAAACTGCTTCAAAGCCAACTCTCTATGAGGATGTGAAATCTGTGGTTCACAAAGTTAAGCAAGTTGCTGCATCTATGAAATTAAATCCTGCTGAAATTTATGTTCTCCTGGAAAGGCATGCTGATGCTGCTGACCGGACAGATGTTGTTGCTAATTGGTTTCTCCAGGATTTGAAGAATACCGCTGGAGCTTCCAATGAAGTGGACTTGTTTGATGAGGTTCAGAAGGTGATCACAAAGGTCCCAGCAGCAAATCCTGATCAGGTTTACACCTTGCTGGAGTCTTTTAGTAGCCATGGTGACAGAGTTCAGAAAGTGGTTGATCAGTTGACAAAAGTTGTTGACAAGCCTGTGTTGAAAAAGGATGATTCTTTACCAAATGATCCACAGTTGAGAAATGATCCAGTTTTCTTGGACATGAGAAAGGTAGCTAAGATGTTTCCTGAAATGGACAGGAACGAAATCTATGCATATATAGAAGCTCACCATGATAAAAAGGATAGAGTCCAACTTGTCATAGAGGAAATTCTTCGCTCAACCAGAGGAAGCCTCAGCACATCTCTTTCAGTTTCCAGTGATGGAGGGGAGGTAACTCCAATGAAACCAGCTTTTCAAGGTGCCTGTAGCCTTCAGGGGGAGGTTGACCAACTGCGGGAAATATTCCCAGATTGTGATCCTAACTATCTGTTTGAACAGCTGGAAGAAAAGGCAAATGATGCAGAGAGAGTGAAAAATTTGGCAGCACAAATGTTTGAAAAACGAAACTATCCAAAATTGAAAGATACGTTGGATAAGCAACAGAAGATTGCTAGACAAAGACAGATTAAGAATTTAAAATTTGACATGGAAAACTTCTTATCCAAATTTCCAGATCCAGTGGAATATTTCTCAAAGACAGACACAAATATGAGTGACAGTTATAAAGAACACTGCCTTGCATATGTCAAAAATGAGTTTGAATGGTTCAAAGATGGTTACTTGAAGAAAGTATTAAATAAAAACAATTTTCATTTGGCACCAGCCCTCCAGGAATTTAAAGGATTAAAAGCATCTTTGGAAGGTAATGATGCTGACTACATTATGCAGATTATTCCAGTTTCTGACACATTCATCAACTTCATCATGTGCAGGAACGGTACTATTATTAGGCCTAAACACATAAACCTAATTTTAAAGTGACTTTCCTAATTTATTTTCTAAAAACAAAGACCTATATACCTGCATTATTTTGAAATTACAGTAAACTATTATTATAACAAACTCAAAGGGTCACTGATTTCAGTTTGTTATAACCGTAGTTCGTTGTAAGCATATACATGTATGTATGCAGCATATATACAGCAAATGGCCGGGATCAAAAATTAAGATCGTTATATCCACCTGTTTGTTATAAGTGTGTTCATTTTGAACATAGTTTACTATAATCGTAATCAAAATGTGACGATTTTGATGACTTTCCAGAGTTTATTTGAAGTATTAAAGCTATTCTCATTGATGGGGTTTTTTAAATGGCAAGAAAATCTTCTAAAATTGTTTGTCTTTATATTTTCTGACATATTACTCATAATCATTGCCAGATGTTGGTAGGTAGCAACTACCATTTTCTCGCTGGAAGGTAAAATTTGTGATTCACCCGAGCACATAAAGCATGGTTTAGGCAAGTTCTTGGCCCTTTTACTTATTAATTTGAACTGTGATAAACTTACATCATGCACCGAAGGACTTCCAGGCCACAATCATAGTAATGAAGTACAACACTCAATAATAAGTTCAATATTTCTTACTTTTTACCTGTCGCAATAGCAACGAGTTCCAAACCAGGTGTTCTTCAGCCTAAGAACAAGATAAGTACTTCATACCAGCACAATTTAGTGTCAATTTTAGCTTTATTGGGCTATGGGCTATTGTAAGATTTGTATCAATGTAATACCTTTGTGTGATGAATTAATTCCGACACATTTAACAAAACAAAAACTGTATGAGTTGATGGTAGTTGGCTGCATGAACAACTCTATACTGTGAAAGTTGTTGGAATAATACTGTCTAGGTAGATGGTAGAAGAAAGTTACTTTGATTTGAACACATTTGGCATGTTATAACAAGACAGTTGTAAAGCCTGTTCATGTACACGACTGCTGGCCAAAGCAGTTGCTGCATGAGATATTATTGAAAATGTGAAACGGTGAACCTCCCAAGAGGTTATTACTAGGTGGGAAGATACCTACAATACTTTAGGCAAAAGTTGCAGTAGGTGTTTAACTTAAGGTTAACGTCTTGGCCAAATGTCCATGTTTTGATTTTTCCAACCCGAGCAGAAATTCTGATTTATATGCTTAAAGAAACAGTTGCCCATGGGGATGCCTAATTATTGTCTAAGTGCCTTACCCTTATATTTCACATGCATGTTATAAGTTAGGAAGTCCAGCATTTCACATGTTGTTTTCTCAATAAACCTAAGATGCCATATGCTTTAATTTTGACAAAATTGTCCTGATCCTCTGAAGATAGGTAACTATGGTCACCACACCTCATGGATCATAATGCATGCCTCATGGATCAAGGAATGAAGTTTTGCCTTTAGTTTCTTATGTTGGAGTTTTATGTGGGAAACTTGAAAAATTAAATGTTTTGACATAATTGAATTTGGCTCTGTTCTGGGATTGTAGAAATTCAAGCAAATCCTTTGAGTTTTTGAGAATCCACATGGTATTAATTTACTTGTACCAATTACTTTTTGTGATGCATCTTTTTTATCAGATCTCTTCCTCATTTAACATACTAGCCTTATCCTAGTAGGTGTCAATCACAACACCCACGACAGTTAGCTTTTTTAAAGAAATCATCAACCTAGACAATGTTAAACCATATACCATCAACTCATACAGTTTTTGTTTTGTTAAATATCTTGGAATATACACATCACAGAAAAGTAATACATTGATACAAATCCTAAAATAGCCCAATAAAGCTAAAATTGATACAAAATTACGCTGGTATGAAGTATTTTTGTTTTTACGCTGTAAAGTTCCTGGTTTTTGACTTGTCCCTATCGCGCCAGATGACCCCCAAAGTAAAATAAGAAATAGTTAACATATTATTGAGTGTTGTATATAATTACAATAATGATTGTGGTCTGGAAGACCTTCCGTGCATGATATAAGTTAGATTTGGTTCAAATTATTAAGTAAAAGGGCTAGAAAGTTGCCTAAACCATGCTCCATGTGCATTGGTGAAGTCACAATCTTTACTGTCCTGCGAGAAAATATCCGGTTTTGCATGGACAGAGGTTTCCCTTTTTGTAATGACTAACATGACAAAGTTCCTATTACTAAATGTCAGCATCAATTTTGGAGAAAATGTGATATTCCAAACTTAAAAGAGTTATTGGAAGCGAGTATGATTGAAGAATATTTGTGTTGTGTGTTTTTTTTTATTGTTACAAATATCTGAATTGAGGTGATAAAGAAATGAACCCAAAATGTTTTAGAAAGCTCACTTTTGATTGGCCCAATACCCACGCATCCTTCATTTAGATTGTTTATGTTTTGTTTCTGCAGAGGAACATTTTGTCACAAAGAAACTGAGACAAGAACCTCGAACAAAGCGTTTGTCTTTCCCAGATGAACCAGATGAGAGATTCTACCATGAACTGATTTACTCACAAAATGAACAGAGAATCAAAGGTAAAACTTCACACGCATGTGCCCTCAATTTGACCGTCTCAGCAGCCATAGTGTATTACCCATTTATAGCCATTTCAAGCTGTCAACTACATATACATGTGAGCTTCAGTGCTGTCACACTATTTTTGAGTTCTTTTTAAACTTGTAATACTTGTTGGTTTTTTACTTTTTTCAAGAACTTTAAGATAGAAATAATAACCGGTTATTTTAAATGTGTCAAAAGTCTGGAATCTATTGAATATTGGTTTACAGATTTTCTATAGTACTATGACTATTTCAATGACATCAATAAATAAAAATAACTAATAAATTAAAACATAACTGAGTGAAATATATTTTCAGCGAACTATTTTTTTATGTGTAAAATAATAACTGAATTTACGCTATCAAGATATTTGCTATAAAAGTTTGATATATCTGTCCTATTTATAAGGAGATTCTTCACAATTGTCAATTTTTAAACTTATCCTACCTCACACTATGCATTTCTCATTCTTCTCTCGATCCCAAGTGAAACGTGCCTAAACAAAGGTTCACCCGAACACATCCAGCATCACCATAGTCACTTCCCAAACATCTGGGTCATGCACAGTTTTCATGCCGATCAACCTACATGTGCTGACCTTCCCAAGCCAACTCATTCTCTTTCTAATCACCATGATGTGGTGATGTGTTTACACCAGGGGAATCCATTGTATTTTTCTCTTTTTCACATTTGCCCTCTTAAATTTTTCTAGTGTTCATCTTTTTCTTGGTCGTGTTTTTCATCATGGACTGACAGTCCACACATCGTCCCAGATGTCTAACTTGCAGATGAATCTTCTCTCTGTTTGTTCAGACTGTTGTGGGCACTGTAGCATATCTGCACGCTGTGCTCAGTGTTTGAATTGCCTGATGAATCCTTCAGTATATACCTTCATAAGTGTCGGCATCTGGAGCAGGATATGCTCTCTATATCTACTGAAAAATTGACAAAATCTATAAAAATTCCTTTGAAGATCGGCGAAACTATCCACACCCTCAATGATTTGGGATTCGTTGAGCCCTGCATGTCGCATATTATTTGTCGCCGAGTACAATGTATCCGATAGTTTTTTGACAGAAGACACCTCAATCTAAATCACTCCGTCTATTATGAAGAATTTACACTCATCAGCTAAATACAAATTAGTATGTATGGATAGTTCTTTCAGCAATTTTGGATCTGACTGAGCCTGTATTTTCCTCACAGTCTGCCACGATCCCTCTAAAAGCTAGGAAGCCTTCCTGAGACAGTATTGTTTTTTCGTCGCCCTCGTCTTCTGTCACTAATACTGTCAAGCTTTTTCAGCCTTAGGGCATCACTAAGACTGGCTTCGATTACACCGTCTACAGTTACTTCTCGTTGCTCCCCGTCTACTCCTAGATGTTCCAGATCCCCTATTTGTCGTTCTCCTGGAGAGCAGTCATCACAGGATTACTGATCAGACTCGTTGGACTCTTCACTTGATCAAGATTCACGAGGGTCTCGTTGTCAAGAGAGTTCTCATGAGGATTGATGATCCCCTGATGGTGATCAGCTTGTGAAGTCTTGTCATTTGGCGGATAATGTATCTTCCACAGCTCTGTTGCGGAACTCGAATCGACGAACAGAAGGATCATTCACGACCGGCCTTCACTCCTACTCAGTCAGACTCTGGGAGGTTCTTAGTAACAGGTCCAGCTCCTCTTGCGGCCGGGGACATGGTCACCAAGGACAACATGGTGGCAGATGAAGCGGACATACCATATATTTCTCTCCACTGAAAAGTGCCAACGAATCTCCAAGATCAGGAAATACGACCTCTAAATGACTCGTCACTTCATCAGAACAACTGTTCCCATGGTTCCATCACCCATCAACGGAAGATTGGGCCTATTCGCAAAAGATTTGGGCCATCCTGTACTACGTCTTCTACAAACTTGGTATCATATACCCTTCATTGTGACGCCTCCTCTAATGTACAAGCCTCTTAAATGCCTATATCCAGACAGTCAGCTTCTGGTTCTCACAGATGCTATAAATTTGTTACTGGCAAAGAATTGCTAGATTGTCTGGGCACAGCTCTGACAACGGTCCTGAAGAAAGACAGCTTTCAACTCTCGCTCATTTTCAATGAAAATCTTCTTCAGCACCGTGGCTATTTACCCTCCTCACTAAGTCTATCATCAAATTCCTACACCTTCACGGCATCGTCCTCAAATCATACATAGACGACTGCATTCAGGCATTCATCTCATACACCTAAACTTTAAGCAGCGTCTTCTTCATCAACTCGGTTTGATTGTCAACTCCAAAAAACGTAGGCAAGATGTTCATGCCCCAGGATCGTTGGATGAAGATTCAACACCTTCTCTGCGTCAATGGCAACAAATTCTCAGTCTCCACCTGCAACCACTTCAAGGTTTTCTCAAGCCCATTCTCCAGAAAGATGATTGCCCTTTGTTTCGGCACATTTCCACTTTGGATCAAAAGAAGAAAGGGACATGCATAGTGTGAGTAGGATAAGTATAAATATACAATTTATATCAGTTTTGTGTTTTATGATTGCATAATGTAGACAATGGTTATTGTTGCTTTTACAGATCATTTCCTGAAGATTGAGCTGGATAGGAAAAGGAAACTTGCAGCTGCAAGAAGAAAAGGAGAACTTTATGAATGTGGATGTTGTTTTGATGATGAACTTCTGTTTGAGGACTTGTCTGCCTGTGCAGACGGCCATCTCGTCTGTCGAGAATGTATCCGCCGATCTACGGAGTCCGCCCTTGGTGAAGGGAAGACAAAATTCCCCTGCTTGACGGGGGAGTGTGAGTATGACATTCCACTGACAGTCCTGCAGGAAGTCCTCACATCAGCAATGTTCTCAAGAATGTTGTCACGGCTACAAGAAGAGGAGATTCGAATGGCTGAAATTCCTGATCTTGTCTCGTGCCCATTCTGTAATTTTGCCACCATTATGGCCAACCCCAGTGATAAAGTATTCAAATGCCTCAACTCAGAATGTCTCAAGGAGACATGCAGGTCGGTATTTTCATCTCAGGTTTATTTTCGTTATAAATACTGACATAATTTCATTATTTCATTTCCCTAACTCAACTCATGTTGATGATGAGAATGATTTTTCCAGACTGTGCAAGGAACCCAATCATGTGCCACTGAAGTGTGAGGAGGTGGAGAAACAAGGGGAGACCAGCATGAGAACCTACATCGAGAACCGCATCTCGGAGGCCATGTTGAGAACCTGTCATCGTTGCAAGAAGAGGTTTTTCAAGGATTCTGGTTGCAACAAGATGACATGTTCTTGTGGTGCCACCAGTTGCTACGTTTGCCGAGAACCAGACATAGACTATGATCACTTTAATGGTGGCAGGTAAGCATCATGTTTTCATCTTTTTGCTATAGCCCAGTTTTAGCTCAAGTGACTGAAAGTCAAGTGACCTTATGTCATGACCTGCTTGTCTGGTGTCCATTGGCGGCAGTGGAGCCATCTGTTAACATTTTCTCCCCAGAAATCACTTGACACCAGAAATGTTCAAGAGATTTGAATCCCATTTTCAATATGGCCACCACGGCAATCAAATGAATTGGAAATTATTCCGTTATTATTCTCAGTATGGAGACTTCATATTTGTAATACCACCTTAGCTCCATTTTAAGTTGTAGCAGTATCACACAGGGTATATGTGGTTTAATGCATCCTGGGTAAGGTGTTGTCCTGTGAGCCAGAGGCAAGTGGTATAAAACCTAATGATAGACTCGTAAAACCGCATGTACCCTAAGTGATACTGCTCCAACAAATTTTTCTCCTGACTTGTTTTAATCTGCCATTGTAAAAGAATTAAAACAAATTCAAAATTGATGGAAAACAGCTGTTTGATATGAGCTGGATTAACTTGTTCTGTGTCACGTGACTTTTTGATTCCGAGAAAGAAAAGTGTGCAGGTTTTTGCTTTGGAGCTGGGTATAAGGGATGTATTCTCCAGAAATCCATGTGCAGCCTGTCTTCATCATGGCGGGGTATAAGGGATTACATTTCCCCTGGACCCTGAATAATTTTACCTCATGAAAAGAAACTTTACTCCACAAATAAGCTGTCTCCCTTACTCACCATTGTTTCAAGCTCTCAAGGCTTTTTTGTGGTAAAAATGTAGTACTCTTTAATTTGATAAAAAAAAGTTGCTGGTGACTTTAAGATACTGAATATTTGTGTCTGTCCACAGATGCAGCAACACTGAGGATGCCCAAAAAATCCACTTGGAGGAGATGGAGAAGGCAGCCGAGGAGGCCAAGGCACAATATCTGAAGGATCACCCGGATGCAGACATACACTCTCTCAAGTACGACCCCAGGAAACATGTACAGGAATGTAAGTACTGTAGTAGCATCATTCATCAAGCTTGAAATAGCATCAGTCATCATACTTATACTTTCAACAGTCATCAGGCATATAATACACTGGATAATTGAGGATGGAATTGAGGAATGGAAGTATCCTTCTTCACATCAGGCTTGTGGGAGTCATGTCATCTTCCTGACTTTGAAGAAAACCTTAGTCGCAGCAAAGACAATTTTTTCAAACTGAAAAGATTTATGTAAATAACTTTGGCTATTTAGACTTTGAGACTGTCAATGAGGATTGAAAAAGTCATTGTTTGTGACTTGGTTTACAGATTGTTTTTCAAAACCATCAGTTAGGGGGTTGAAGTAAAACTGAAAAGTAAAACTACTGGTGGTATTGTATATCAAGAATTAGCACGAAATAAAGGAAATGTGTTGTTTGGGGTGTTTTAGATCACTTCCCAAATTCATCTTTACTCATTTTCATTCTACAGTTATTCCAATGAATTTTAGTCTAAAGGAAATAAGCAATGTCCACCTGAACTATAAAAATGTTGGTCAATATTAGGAAGGAATTATGATGTAGATATATATTGATAAAAGTGTCATAATGCCCTACACACTAACGCAAAAGTTATATTAGTCAGCAGCTTCAGCTATTCTGTAAAACCAGCAATATATATGTCGGACTCAGATCTATGGCAGGACTCTGATCCATGGCAGATTCTCAGATCTATGGCCGATTCCACAAATAGGGCAGATATTGGTGTTTACTCCGATCTATGGCAGATTATTATTTAATATTATTATTTAATATTAATATTGGCAATTCCTACAGCGCTAAACTTGTGTGGCCACCATCACCATTCTCTAGTTTCATGAAACCATAGAAGTTCGGAAGAATTCATGGTGTATATTTAATAGTCTGACGATTTGTCGGACTTCTACTTACATCAACGAAACATCATTTATTATTCACAGACATATATTTACATAAAACACATGACACAATATTCGTATAATTGTTAACACATTGTCTGTTCTTTTCTTTCATATGCCCCTTTCTCGTATCTGCTTCCTGTACAAATCGAACCACTTTTGCTTTCTTCCACCTGGTACAGTCTCCTGCTGTTTGTTTGCTTTGTAAAGAGAACGATAACCTTCCTCCAAAATCTACTGCCAAACCCAGTAATTCCTTTACTCTTTACTGGACTGGGTCTGAAAAAAAATGCTTTGCCCTCTTGAGGGGAGTAGTCCTTCTCCCCGACCATGTTGTCTGCAAACTGTACAATGGGACAATCTAATTTGTACAATGGGACAATCTAATTTGTAACTATGTATTATGCGTTAATATTAATAATTAGGGGAAGAGCAAGAAATTACATAAATCGTTCATCCTGTGTAAACATAACAATATGTTGGAATTTCTTAATAAATACCTTTTTTTCGCGGATGTTTTTTTTAGGGATCAATAGATTGCATTAGTCCAACTTATTTTTTATTTCTTCGTTTTATATTTGTCGTGAATTTGCTGTTGATTCTTAAAAATGTAAATCTTACAATTGCAAATATTTCAGTGCTGAAATCTTTCTGATGTAATTATATTTTTACGTTGGATATTGTTAGGTAATATTTTACAGTACATTTTAATATAATGTTTAGTACACTATTCATGTACTTCATTTTCATCATCCAGATTTCTTCTCTCAGCAGTGAAGCTTCTGTTGTACAGCGACTTGTAGTAATCACTAATGCCGACCTAAACTAAGTAATTTCTTACATTTTTAAAAATTATTTCAAAATGATTCAGCCTTAGGGTCTTTCGATACTGGTTTCTGGTATGAATCCACCATAAGAAAACCTTCATTTTCTATGGTGTCTGGCTCCATCCTTTTCAACTGATTGCTGTGTCTATCAGTAATAGACGTTAAACTTACATGACGTGATCACAGACAAGGAGCCATGATGTCATCTCAAGCATGACATCACAAAACAATTGAACTGATTGTCCATTCACGGATGAGATATTATTGCAAACATGACTTCACATAGCAATGAGAGTCTTGCCACGGATCTGAAAATACGCTACAGATTAGAGTCCTGCCATAAATCTGTGTACATACATATATTTGAGTGTGTAGAATATTACAACATTATGAACACTCAAAGGGACACTAGGAATATGCTTCATTCATTGTACCCATGTAGGGAATTGAACTGGGGTCTTCAGTGTGATAAGCAAACACTGTGACTACTAGGCCACCCAGGCTCAGTATCATATATCTGTATCTGTATCATATATAGTTTACAGAACAGGTTCTTATCATACTCTGTGTATGCATATCTGTGAAATATGTTTTTACTTTAATTTGGACGAACTCCATGGTTTAGTGGGTAGAGTGTCTGCCCAGAGAGCAGAAGGTCGGTGAGTCAATCCCCTGGCTGCATCATGCCAAGAGGTTAAAAGATGGTACTTGTTACTCTGCCTGGCACTCAGTAATCTTTTACGAGATAAAACAAAGATTTTACTCAGTCATTATTCTGTGTCTTGTGTGGGTTGCCATGTTAACCTGCACCATGGTACCTCAGCAGGCTGGCACTAGAAAACCAGTTATTCCAGACTAGTACAAGCAGCCATACATGGGCATGCACAGTGCTACATAAGTGCAATAATCTTGAACGTGATGTTAAACCTTATTTCACCTCACCTCACCTCACCTCATCTCATCTCACCTTACCTTTGATTTTTTTGTTTCAGATAAAATGGGTACAGGTTACAATGGCAATGATCATGATGATGGTTATGATGAGTAAGTTGTCTACAATAGTTTTGTCATTCTATGTTTGTCACACTGTATGCACTCAAGCTGTTGGGATTATTTGAGTATTGAACATGTTCAAAGAAAGTGCCTATATATGTATACACTTTTGTGATATGTATGGTGTTTGTATAAGCCCAGTTCACAACTTAAGCTATGTGTATTAGGCTTGACTCTGGTAACCTTCTTTTCGGCTAAACTTTGCTTATGACAGCCTACATTAAAAGTAAAATCTACAAAAGTTGATGCAGAAAGAAAAATTTGGGATACTGTATTTCTATGAAGTTTGCACAGACTTGTATGCTAATCAGAGCTCCAGTATAGCTGAATATTTATGTTTAATACCCTAGCTACATCACCATAGCTGAATTAATTTTGAGTTGCTTTTGTACAAATACACATGAAGAAGCTTGATAACCCAATAGTATGACAACACTGTGCAGTGACCCTTTTTTCAACTAATCTATAGTTATGTCTTTACTGATCTTTTGTTGCTGCACATATTGCTTTTTGTAACTTAGACATGTATCACTCATTCACTGTGGGGCAGCATATGAACATTTGTTAATTTTAAGTTATTATTATTTTAAATCTAAAAAATGTCTAATTATCAGCTCGCAAAAGCCAATAGACTGGTCCCAAGAGAGTAAAAATATATTTAGTATCCAATGTGAATTATAACGTGTGGAAATACTCAATGGCTCGAAAACAATTTCGGGAGCCCTGATGATAATAACGCTATGCTGCCATCTTGGCTCCTTATTTATTTAGTGACATATGGCCATGATCAATTATATCTGTCCTGTCATCTCATTCTTAAACACTGCCTTAGTTGACTGTATTAGTTTGAACGGTCATTTGATCATTGAAACCTGCTTATCTAAGTATGTTGAATAAATGGATGACATCATTGGATTGTAAATGATATAATTCGTTTGACCATTGCAACTTACTTCTCTAAGTAGGTTTTTATTGTTCAGGATAGTCATTTGATCATTGCAACTTTCTCTAAGTCAGTTTTTGTTTGTAAGGACGATCAATTGATAATTGCAACCCCCTTCCCTATGTGTAGCTTGAAAAATATGTCTTTGGGGCAGGTGATTGTAATGAGATAGGCCTAATCATATACAAATACTATTTTACACAGTGATTTTCAAGGGGAATAGTTCTTAATTCTTTGTTTGAGTCAAGAGAAATCATGAGAAACAGAAAAACTAAAAGCAGTACCCTAAGAAATAATATTATCGGTATTGAGATTAACAGGAATGAGAATTTTTTCACATATCCCTTGAATCCACAGATTTTGTTTTGTGACACATGCTATTACAACATAATCATAAATCTTATAGTCCACAGTAGCGGTGGGACTAAACACCGAGGCATCACGTACGTAGTGAAAATTAGTGGTGAAACATAAATATTTTCATCCATTGCCCCATACTTTACACTGTCAACTGTCATCTCTGTGTCAGGTATTTGGCCATCCAGTCTATGAAAACGATGGCTTATGCACCACAGATAAAAGCAGATGCAAGTATCATGATACAAATCAGATCGTGACCAAGGTATCATGATGCGTATCAGATTGCACAGTTGGTGTATTGTCCCACCCCTAGTCTCTAGACCCCAGCTTTCAGTGCTTTTTGTTTTTAATTTTTTTCTCATTAATGATTAATGAAAAAATATGTTTTGGATGATGGTCTTTTGATTCTGTAATGTTTTAATGTTGCAGATACAATGAGGAAGGGTCTGATGATGGAGATGATGATGACAGTGACTACTAACCTCTCTTTGACTTCAAGTCAACCTGTGCCAGGATCCCTAAGTGGATCAGGTGATCAGTCTCAATGACTTTGTGGATGGCGTGTTGTTGTTCTCCAATAGTGCATATCACTGCTCATACTATCAATCACTGGATTCTCTGATGACACAATTATTTACAGATCGCCGTCATATTGCTGGAATATTGCTGAGTGTGGCATTAAACAACAAACACTCACATCCTATGATATGTTGCCTGGATTATGATTCTTGCATTAATGATTCAGAGCCATGATTGATCATGTTTATCTTTGTTACTGTTGCCTTGGTTCAAGACGGAATACAGGTCTTGTTGATTAGGTACTTAATGTCATCAACATCGGAAAACAAATGTATATATTTATTATATTTCTTCCAAGTTTAAGGAATATTAGAATCAGATGAGTCATTCATTGTTGAATACATGTATGTGGATAACATTATTGGATTGTAAATGATATCATATGTTATCAGTTGATTGTTATAATATGATTTTGTGTTATCTGTAGTGAGAATGAAAGTGAACATTTACAAGACTGCAATTGTATACATATATGTCATATCTACGGTACATCATCTCGCTGAGCACATTCTGAGAATCATGAATCATGCCACAGTGCATCAATGGCCACTGTAAAAGTTAAATCATAACAGCAGCAGTTGTCCAGGTATACCACCTGCATGATCAAGATGAAATAATAATGTTTGGTACCTCAGATATTGTTTTTTGTTGAAATGAGGTCGTCAACTTTACAGAACATTTATTTATATGGCTATTCCATGTTGTTTCCCTAGTTTAATTTCTGTTTCACTGAGATGTGTGAGAGAGCATGGATGGGAGAGGACTCTCTTATGTTACGTCTTCAGTTATATCCCTCAGTTACTCTAGATCAACAGTAATTTATGGTCCCACAAATAACTGAGTGAATGTTTTTTGTGCAATATTCTAGCTGTATCAATATGAGCCGTGGGCTTGGTGCACAAGTTATAGTTACCCTGCCAGGTGTGGTGGACAGGTCTGCTTCGTCAAACAGATGGGAATAGGTGTATCATCTGACTGTATAATATGTTTTGAAAAGCAGCAATTACACCCAACAGAATGTTTGCTTCTGGAACCTGAATACCAATCCAAAATGTAATTCAAATAGTTAATGTTGTATTTTTAATAGAGATTTGGCGTCTCTGATATCACTTTATTACATTTGAAGGAGAAACAATTGATGCTGTCAGAGAACTGTTACAATCATCCAGGTGACACATTGTAACTGGACCGCCTCCATGGTCTGGATAAGGTGTCTGCCTGGAGAGTTGGTGGTTCGACCACATGGCCAAATGACGTGAAAAAGATGGTTCTTGTTCTACCTCTGCCTGGCACTCAGTATTCAGAGGCTAAAACAAGGACTGTTCAGCCTAACTTATGTGAGTGGGATATCCATGTTAAACTTCAGCATGGCATCAGTAGGCTGGCACTATTAACCCTCTATTTGTCTCCACACATGCACGCACGCACGCACGCACGCACACGCACACGCACACGCACACACACACACACACACACACCACCACCATATGAGTGCAATAATCTTGAACACAATGTTAAACCCCCTTTCACCCGACCCTCACACATAGTAAGTTGCCTATGTTAAGTTATCATTTCTTGAGAAGGAAAGTGTACTGGGACCATCTTCTGCCCCTGAATTCCGAAAAATGTTTTCAGAATGCATAAAGAATACAAGTGACTGAAAACAGGGACTGGATGGACTATAGTGTGAGAGACAAATGAGATGTCTTTGTTAAGTTTTTCAATGAAAGTCCTCTTGTGCCTTGTTTGAATATTATTTATTTTAGAGAGTTCATATTTATAGGATTTTTATCTATATTTATCAATGTGTTCACATGTATCTGTATAATGTTTATATTAATGTTCTGTTGGATAATGCTTCTATTACAATTTTATTTCAAGCGTATATATTTGTATTTATTCTGTTGTGTGTATTCCCCATTTATTAGGTGTATGAGTCTAATGTAAGGGTGGAGATCACACTGTTATGCATTTATGTGAAGTAACCAGTCATAATACAGTAGTACAAACCTTCCCTCACCTTCACATGACTAATATCTTTGTGTGTCTTTGTTCCTGCCATTCTGTTTCTATTTAGTGGAATTTTAAGCTCATCTTGACTGAAGGGCCATCTAAGCTCAAAGGGAGGCACTGGTGGCCAAGTCATCTAAGGCAGCATAGTTCTCTGTGCAGTGTTGTGCCCCTTAGGCGTGCCAAAAGCCTTAGATCATGGGTTTGAATCCAGATTTGAATCGGTGTTTGTCAACACCATACCCGTGCTCGTGCGTTTCACCAAGGTGGTAAACATCTAAGACCTGCATCATTTCGGGCTTTCCTCCCACTTCAAGCTGACACCTGTGATCTAACTGTAATACTGTTCAAAGAAGCCTTAAACCAATCCTCTTACTCTAAGCTATGTTTTGCCATGGCACATCATTCAGCATACAGAATTCTTCTCAAGAGCTGCTGTGGTTTTTCTGATTATTGTCCCCCGCCGCGCGAAAGCGCGAAGCGGGGGATATAGTATTCACAACCGTCCGTACGTACGTCCGTACCACCTGTTTGTTGCCACGATATCTCAAGAACTAAACACTGGATTGTCTTCATATTTGGAACTATGGTGTATATACAGACTCCGCAGACACCAGTCGGTTTTGGTGACCTTGACCTCATTTTCAAGGTCACAGCAGGCAACTCTGCTTTTGGAGTTGGAACAAGGTGTTGCCGCGATATCTCAAGAACTAAACACTGGATTGTCTTCATATTTGGAACTATGTGTATATACAGCCTCCGCAGACACCAGTCGGTTTTGGTGACCTTGACCTCATTTTCAAGGTCACAGCAGGCAAATCTGCTTTTGGAGATGGAAAACGGTGTTGCCTCGATATCTCAAGAACTAAACACTGGATTGTCTTCATATTTGGAACTATGGTGTATATACAGACTCCGCAGACACCAGTCGGTTTTGGTGACCTTGACCTCATTTTCAAGGTCACAGCAGGCAAATCTGCTTTTGGAGTTGGAAAACGGTGTTGCCGCGATATCTCAAGAACTAAACACTGGATTGTCTTCATATTTGGAACTATGGTGTATATACAGACTCCGCAGACACCAGTCGGTTTTGGTGACCTTGACCTCATTTTCAAGGTCACAGCAGGCAAATCTGCTTTGGAGTTGGAAAAAGGTGTTGACGCGATATCTTAAGAACTAAACACTGGATTGTCTTCATATTTGGAACTATGGTGTATATACAGACTCCGCAGACACCAGTCGGTTTTGGTGACCTTGACCTTATTTTCAAGGTCACAGCAGGCAAATCTGCTTTTGGAGTTGGAAAACGGTGTTGCCGCGATATCTCAAGAACTAAACACTGGATTGTTTTCATATTTGGAACTATGGTGTATATACAGACTCCGCAGACACCAGTCGGTTTTGGTGACCTTGACCCCATTTTCAAGGTCACAGCAGGCAAATCTGGTTTTTGAGTTGGAAAACGGTGTTGCCACAATATCTCAAGAACTATTAGCTGGATTGTCTTCATATTTGGTACTATGGTGTATATACAGGCGGGGGACATTTCGTCACTTTGTGACAAATACTTGTATTTTTTGTTTTTCTAACGGGATCGGGTGGTCAGGCTCGCTGTCTTGGTTGATGCATGTCATATAGTTGGAATATTGCTGAGTGCGGTGTTAAACAACAAACAAACATTTCAAAACTTGACACGTGACCAGCGACGATTACCCAAGTTTCGATGTTGTGTACACCATTGACGTCTGTTTGCAGTATGACGATTGAACACGTGGCCGTCGAGCATGGAGACGAGCTGCATGTTGACGATTTCTTATCGCCTGACCCGTAACTCGTACCCCAGTAGCCTAAAGAAAGTTTTTAGCAATTTGATCCGCCGTTTGAACTCTTTTTTGTAGAGCCTGGTTTCGGACCAATCGATCCTGTACTCTTGTCAACATCAACACTGGTTCACAATGGAAGTACGGTCTCAAAGAATACCATAGGAGCACGTCTGGTCTAAGGAAACAACTAAACCCAACCCCCTCCTCCAACCTACATCATAAGTGTGTGTTTTTATGACTCATCCAGAATCGAAGTTATTGAAACTTTCATTCCTCCAGCAGTTGAGTACAAACGTCAAGTTGACCAGTTTTCTGTAAATTTGAAGAAAACCGCATTTTGCTACACATGATGATGAAATAAAGTATACCATCACCTACGTAGGTACAGTTCTTATGTTTTAGTAAACAGTGAGAAAAGGAAGAAATAATAAACTCCTAAGTATGAATGAGAAAAACATGAGTGTTGATGTCCCGGGTCATGGACATAATCTGCTCGGTTATAGGGTGGCTGTATGCTTAATCAGGTTGTTTACCGCTCAATATAAATATCTCCACGCTGTTCATCTCCCGGCTCAATATGGAAATAACGTACGTGTTCCTACTGTTCTCGCTGAATATACAGATTAATAACAAGAATGCCAATATATGTGTATCTTGTCAGTGTGGGTGAAGACATGAAATATAGATGAATATACTTGTACACCTGTATGAAAAAGAACGTTCACGTAACATTATGATAATTTATATAAATATCGTACCGTCCACCGTCATATGGATGTCTTGCATATGGGGTCGATGCAGTTTGTGAGTTTAATGGTTTCATCGTTTAAGGGCGATCGGCCCCGGCAAAGTGGCAGTTTTAGTAAGGTTGGCTGAAGTCGTCAAAACACAACTTTGTTTGTCTGTAAACTCAAATTTTTTTTTGTATTTCAATCTAAGAGTTTATACGTACCCTGACTAACCCAGTTGGTCATTAGGTATTAATTACAACTTGTAGACATTTTGGACTGAATCTTGTAACCAGGAGGGGGAAGCCAAGTCGCGTAACGTACCTTTAATTCTATCACCATTGTGAATATACAATTAATTATTTCTATCGGGATCAGGCGTACCTAAACTGCTATATTTTCCTTCCAACAACCTACCCCTAATTTACGAATATATGTGTGTGTGTGAAGAATCGATGACACGAGAAATAGCAGCAACGGCGAAGGGAGATCACTCTCGATCTTTCATGCATGCATGTGTCTAACAGTAAGTGAAATGTCAACTGTCAAGACGCCTGCTTCGAAGCTATTTACAACTACTCATGGATATATAATTCGCGTTATCCATCGGAAATTCATCTTGTAAATTAAGCTAGAAGACAACAACACAACGGATCTGGACAAACGTCCACTGAATATCTTCATTTGTTAATTATATTACTCTGTATTACAACTTCAAGATATCTTAACACCAGATTCGGCTGTGCTGACTCTCCTGTTGTGTTGCTGTCATCTAGTTGTTATTAGATCCAAGGAATGAAGGAAAACAGACTCATATGTATACCATTAATTAATATTTATTTAGGTATAATCCAGAAATAGAATGACGTGCCTAAAGAACAGTTTTAAAGCAGGGCCAAAAGTGAGCACAAAAACTGTCCCCTGATTCCAAGAGAACTTAACAAACGCAGCAATGTCAGCCAAAAGGTGAGCCAAAACAAATGAAAAGAGATCGAAAGTATGTGTCCAAACATAAACCAAAAAGGTGTAGCCAAAACAGTCCAAAAGGGAGAACAGTCTTATTACTCGGGCACCAAACCACATACTTTCACACAAACACTTTCAAACCACATCCTCTCACACAAACACACTTTAAAACACATCTTCTCACATATATGCGCTTACTTCCAAACACATGAAAAAAACATCCTCTTATGCATACACTCAACCTCACACGCCAAACACATTCTCTCACACAAGCGCACTTAAAACCAACAACATATGCAAAACACATCCTCTCACGCATACAAACTTTCAAGCCACATTCTCTCACACAAACACACTTTTAAAACACATCGTTTCACATATATGCGCTTACCACCAAACACATGAAAAACACATCCTCTTATGCATACACTCAACCACACATGCCAAACACATGCACACTTAAAACCAAACACATATGCAAAATACATCCACACTTACACTCAATCAGAGATCCAAAACACACCCTTTATTTATTTACGGACCGCTCTCATAATCAGAGCAGACAAGTGATTTAAATGGCACACATTTCTGAATCAAAGCAATTGCAAATGGCGGCCAATGGCATCACCACCGATACTGCTGTCAAACTACGGCCAATTTCAGTGATAATCTACGTACAAAATACTTTTAAATACAATAACTGTCTTCCTAAATACCTTGAATATGCAGCCTAGTAAACATCTTGTCAGTAGAAGACCTTGAAACGATGCTGTAGCCAACGAAATGCAGAGCGAAAGCAATCAAGAACGATAGTAAATCTGTTCAAAACAGAGGGGACGTTGGCCACGACAACGGTAACCACGTTACGGAGGCGAAGTCAGAACGAGGTTCCATCGTGCATTTCCTGCAACAACCAGCTCTGTAGCTGCATGTGACGAGGATAGACACCGAAGGTTCAAACTGCTGCCTAAGCCAAATACCGGAAATTAGGGGAAAGTCCTCACTAGCATCTCCGCTGATACACTCGCATTGACTCGGAAAATAAGTCTGACACGAGTGGTCTCCCTTCGTTCATTGGTCGACAAGAAGCCTAATCCCCTCACACACACACACACACACACACACACACACACATACACACACACACACTGGAGATAAAAGCTATCTAAGCTGCCGGTTGAATCAGTGTGTTTGCTTGTTTATTTTATCCATGATGTGAGTAAGAAATTAACGCCGGCCCCACGACATGCCGCAATCTAGGCGGAATTCCCAAAGTGTAGGGTCATGTACTTTTCTATTCTAATCGTAATGATTTGTTGTGCCATTCGGCATTGGTTGTCTGTATATGTATCTTTTGGACAGATTTCTACCATAATCTGCCATCTGGTCAAGGCATGTTAAACTGACGAAGGTCATGTTCAAAACAACATAGACGATTACCACGCCTCATATATGGTTTCAGTTTTCTTACTTTTCCAATCCACTGTTGGTTATGGGTTTTCTGTATGCTTTCATATAATATATATCGTTTGTTTACCCTTAAGTATAAATAGCTACAAGCTGTGAACACATTGATGAATGTACTTGTACACCTGTATGAAGATGAACGTTCATGTAACATTATGATTATTTATATAAGTATCGGATTTCACATAGATGTCATAAGGAAGCGGGGTGCAGCTGAGTGGGCATTGGGCAATGTGTTGGCTCACCACGACTGACGCCCAGGTTCCATTGAAGGTATAAATGCTCATCTTGGTGTCCATTCTCGGTGTCCCCCACCGTCATATGGATGTCTTGCATATGGGGTCGTCGCGATTTTGGGAGTTTAAAGGTTTGAACATTTTAGGGCGACAGGTCCCGGCAAAGTGGCAGTTTTAGTAAGTTTGGCTGAAGTCCAAATACAACTTTGTTTGTCTGTTAACTCAAAATTTTACTTAGTATATCAATCTAAGAGTTCATGAGTACCCTGACTGACCCAGTTGGGCATTAATTACAACTTGTAGACATTCTGGACTGAATCTTGTAACCAGGAGGGGGAAGCCAAGTCGCCCTTTAGTGTCAGTTTGCAAAGAAACGTACCTTTAAGTATATCACCATTGTGAATATACAATTAATTATTTCTATCGGGATCAGGCGTACCTAAACTGCTTTATTTTCCTTCCAACAAGCTTCCCCTAACTTACGAATATATATGTGTGTGTGAAGAATCGACAAGTAGAGATTGCTGCAGAGCATCAATAGCTCCCCGCAATATAATGTTATGTGCAGAGGAAATAAGTGTAAGCTATGGGAGGAGAGAATTTGTGTTCAGTACAAATTGGTTGTTATTAATGTACTTATCTTTGGAAAGCACAATAACAGTGTCTTTAATTGGTCAGCACAAAGAAAACCCAGGCAAGAAAACTGGGCCTGTCATGCAAAACTTGATATATACCCATTATTAGTACCAATAAAAAAATCCTATATAGATAACGCAACAAATGTCATTCTAAAGCATGCTTTTGCAGCAAATATCAATATTTCTGGTCAAAATGTTGGTTGGGTTAAATAAAGCAAACTTTTTTAAAATAGTGAACACAAAAAATGTAATGAATCCCCTCATTATATACTCAATAGACTTCAGTTCAAATGTAAAAATTCACGCAATCATTAATGGATTCCCATTTATCTAGCAGCAAGTTAGGAACATACAGTTTGGTCACGTTATCTATAAATATTGAGAATTATCTTACATATTGTAAAAACAAAGGATATAGGTCACTTTTCTCAAAACTTCGTTCAAGTAATCACAAACTAAAAATTGAAAAAATTGTAGATATACAAAAAAAACAAAAAACATTTGAACAACGTCTGTGAAACATGTGATGTCTCAGAAGATGAACAACATTACGCATTGTCTTACATAATACAACCAAGAAAGAGAATCACAAATAATCCCCAATCATGATAAAGAATTTAGTACACTCTGTTAAAAGGTGCAGATTCTTAATAAGTTTACCAACAGTTATCCAGAAACAACTTCCAAGATCTGTTAACATATCAACAATTACAAACAAATTCCTTGCACATGTATGTACAACATTACCATAGTTTTGCTCACTTCCCATATTTTTTCCATATCATAATAATACACTTGTTTTACAAATAAAATTGTTATAATGTACCTCTTTGGAATGTTGAATGTTCCTGTGTTTTTTAATTGTCGTTTATTGTGCATGTATTTTGTAGTTTGTGATTGTGTAATATAGCCACTGTTTCTTCATGGAATGTTCCGCAATACATATCTCATCTAAAACATCTTTGTTGTATAATAGTTTCTTACAGTTGCTTACGGGGGCATTGTTGGCCCAGTCGCCGAAGCCGCTGCAATTCGCTATGCAGAGTTGTGTCCCTTGGGCACGCCAGAAACCTATGACAGTGTGTTTGAATCTCGGTTCGCTCCGATTTTGTTGTCAGCACAAAACCCTTGCTCGTTGGTTTCACCAAAGTGGTGAACGTCTAAGACCTGCATCACTTAAATTCAGACTTTCCTCCCACATCAAGCTGACACGGAATACTATTCAAGACGGCGTTAAACCCAACTACCTCACTCACTCTTGTGTATGGTTCCGTTTGGTTAACTGGGTTTGTGTTGTGATTGCTTCCGGCTTAAATTTGAAATTTGTTTAGAAGAATGTTACTATGTTCAACCCAAACATCGTGGAGATATCATGCAACCGTATTATCTTTTTGGAAAATAATTGCAAACTACAGACCAACCTGTCCTATGTATCCAGAAGCAAAGAACATATACGGGTGTATGATCTCTGCTGGAATTTTTTAATTTTTTTTGTCAAAGCAATAAACCATGCAGAAACGTAAACCGCCGCATGAAACAGTATGTACCATACATTACATACAGTGAAGTATTAAAAACAATGCTGTGCTCAACTATGCACAGCAAGCGCCATACATGTGATTATGAAGATAACTAATAAAAAAATTCTCATATCAAACCCGTTGTTTTACATGTGTTGTTTATTGAACAAAGTCATACTTTATAGAAGCCTGTTATTTAATCGTGTTGAAAAATATGTTGCAAAAGCAGTGTGAAAATTGAGTGCGCGTGACAGGCTTGGCCTAAATTCCTTCCTGGAACGTTTCTCGATGGCTGCCTGAAAAACATACGATACATTGCAAAGGTAGTGCGCAATTGAGCTGTTCGGGTAAGGGAGATAATCACTCACTCTCAGTGATACAGCTTGAATAAGGCACGATGTACAGCAATGCAAGGTCAGTGCGTGAATTTACCACTTCTATACTACGCATATAGCTAAAGGAGATAATCGCTCAATGCGCAATAGTTTATTCTTACAAAATATAGACCGGTTAACTTTAGCGAAATGGGATCATTTTTAGCTCTTTTAAAACCAAAATGAACAAATTTCATGGGTTATCAGCATTACGAAAAGTGACTAAGTCTCAGAATAGCAAGAAGATTTTGAAGTATCTCTTATTGCTGGAAAAGATAAACATCAACATTTCACGCACATTTCACATGATTTGTATGTTTCGTTTCGGTAACTGTGTGGCTTGAAATTTCAAAGAAACCTACGTGTCGACTTACATGCTACAAATTTAACCTCTCCCGTATACACGAGAAACAGCAGCAACGGCGAAGGGAGATCACTCTCGATCTTTCATGCATGCATTTGTCTAACAGTAAGTGAAGTGATCGTAAAATGTCAACTGTCACGACACCGGCTTCGAAGCTATTTACAACTACTCATGGATATATAATTCGGGTTATCCATCGGAGATTCATCTTGTAAATTAAGCTAGAAGACAACAACACAACGGATCTGGACAAACGTCCACTGAATATCTTCATTTGTTAAATTTTTTATATTACTCTGTATTACAACTTCAAGATATCTTAACACCAGATTCGGCTGTGCTGACTCTCCTGTTGTGTTGCTGTCATCTAGTTGTTATTAGATCCAAGGAATGAAGGAAAACAGACTCATATGTATACCATTAATTAATATTTATTTAGGTATAATCCAGAAATAGAATGACGTGCCTAAAGAACAGGTTTAAAGCAGGGCCAAAAGTGAGCACAAAAACTGTCCCCTGATTCCAAGAGAACTGAACAAACGCAGGAATGTCAGCCAAAAGGTGAGCCAAAACAAATGAAAAGAGATCGAAAGAATGTGTCCAAACATAAACCAAAAAGGTGTAGCCAAAACAGTCCAAAAGGGAGAAAAGTCTTATTACTCGGGCACCAAACCACATACTTTCACACAAACACTTTCAAACCACATCCTCTCACACAAACACACTTTAAAACACATCTTCTCACATATATGCGCTTACTTCCAAACATATGAAAAACACATCCTCTTATGCAAACACTCAACCTCACACGCCAAACACATTTTCTCACACAAGCGCACTTAAAACCAACAACATATGCAAAACACATCCTCTCGCGCATACAAACTTTCAAGCCACATTCTCTCACACAAACACACTTTTAAAACACATCGTCTCACATATATGCGCTTACCACCAAACACATGAAAAACACATCCTCTTATGCATACACTCAACCACACATGCCAAACACATTCTCTCACACATGCACACTTAAAACCAAACACATATGCAAAATACATCCACACTTACACTCAATCAGAGATCCAAAACACATCCTCTCGCACATACAGTCTTACACTCAACCGTACGTGCAAAACACACATCCTCTCGCAAATGCACACTTAATTACACTCACTCAAACAAAAATGAACAATGCACCTTCTCACATATACACGCTTATACATTTATTCACACATGCAGAACTCACCCTCTCACACATACACTCTTACACTCAATCACATACACACACACACTGGATGAGAAATCTACGAGAAGATTCTCCTCCAGAAGGCAGCCGCTCTCCTCAGCGCCCTTCTCAGAGGATGAATCTCTCGGTCCTCCACGAAGCTGTCGTCGTCTTCGTCCTCGTAGACCCAGTAGTCACTATCGTCATCACTAGGGGCAGGGTAGTGGTCGATATAGGTGATGGTGACTGGGGCAGGGAGCGTCTCACCGTGGTCAGGGCGGGCCCAGAACGGGGTGAAAACACTCAGAGGGTCGGGAGAGGGGTTCGTGGACGCAGCTAGGGGACGCTACATCAGTGAGGGGGGAGGGGTGGAGAAAGGGGGGTCAGTAGGCGAAGTAGATAGGCGGTTTTCAAAGAAAATTACAAAAGGGTCAGAGTGATAGACACGGGTTACACATGTTTTTAGACAGGATGTAACCGTAGACAAATTCGGATCGACTGTTAGAAACATGTTAATCATGAGGGAGGGTTATCATACAGCTATTTTTTTAGGACACAATAACACTCAGAGAAAAAGGGCAATCGTCCATAGTTTGCGAGAGAGGACATCGACAAATGGATGAAGGTGAGCTATTGGCTGGCCGAGCTAGTCGGCTAATTCTGAAAGAGATGTAGATAAACTACATACACAGTCGGATTCCTCATCCAGCGACGGCCATAAACTCGCAGCAGGAGTGACATGATACCGGATCATGTCTTCCCGTGCTGAAAAGAAAAATAAACACACTTAAAAACACATTAAAATATTCGTACGATTGATCTATAATGTTTTAAAAACATCGTCTGTCATATTTATTTACGGACCGCTCTCATAATCAGAGCAGACAAGAGATTTAAATGGCACACATTTCTGAATCAAAGCAATTGCAAATGGCGGCCAATGGCATCACCACCGATACTGCTGTCAAACTACGGCCAATTTCAGTAATTATCTACGTACAAAATACTTTTAAATACAATAACTGTCTTCCTAAATACCTTGAATATGCAGCCTAGTAAACATCTTGTCAGTAGAAGACCTTGAAACGATGCTGTTGTCAACGAAATGCAGAGCGAAAGCAATCAAGAACGATAGTAAATCTGTTCAAAACAGAGGGGACGTTGGCCACGACAACGGTAACCACGTTACGGAGGCGAAGTCAGAACGAGGTTCGATCGTGCATTTCCTGCAACAACCAGCTCTGTAGCTGCATGTGATTAGGATAGACACCGAAGGTTCAAACTGCTGCCTAAGCCAAATACCGGAAAATTAGGGGAAAGTCCTCACTAGCATCTCCGCTGATACACTCGCATTGACCCGGAAAATAAGTCTGACACGAGTGGTCTCCCTTCGTTCATTGGTCGACAAGAAGCCTAATTCCCTCACACACACACTGGAGATAAAAGCTATCTAAGCTGCCGGTTGAATCAGTGTGTTTGCTTGTTTATTTTATCCATGATGTGAGTAAGAAAGTAACGCCGGCCCCACGACATGCCGCAATCTATAGCCACGTGGCAAGGCGGAATTCCCAAAGTGTAGGGTCATGTACTTTTCTATTCTAATCGTAATGATTTGTTGTGCCATTCGGCATTGGTTGTCTGTATATGTATCTTTTGGACAGATTTCTACCATAATCTGCCATCTGGTCAAGGCATGTTAAACTGACGAAGGTCATGTTCAAAACAACATAGACGATTACCACGCCTCATATATGGTTTCAGTTTTCTTACTTTTCCAATCCACTGTTGGTTATGGGTTTTCTGTATGCTTTCATATAATATATATCGTTTGTTTACCCTTAAGTATAAATAGCTACAAGCTGTGAACACATTGATGAATGTACTTGTACACCTGTATGAAGGTGAACGTTCATGTAACTTTATGATTATTTATATAAGTATCGGATTTCACATAGATGTCATAAGGAAGCGGGGTGCAGCTGAGTGGGCATTGGGCAATGTGTTGGCTCACCACGACTGACGCCCAGGTTCCATTGAAGGTATAAATGCTCATCTTGGTGTCCATTCTCGGTGTCCCCCACCGTCATATGGATGTCTTGCATATGGGGTCGTCGCGATTTTGGGAGTTTAAAGGTTTGAACATTTAAGGGCGACAGGTCCCGGCAAAGTGGCAGTTTTAGTAAGTTTGGCTGAAGTCCAAATACAACTTTGTTTGTCTGTTAACTCAAAATTTTACTTAGTATATCAATCTAAGAGTTCATGAGTACCCTGACTGACCCAGTTGGTCATTAGGCATTAATTACAACTTGTAGACATTCTGGACTGAATCTTGTAACCAGGAGGGGGAAGCCAAGTCGCCCTTTAGTGTTAGTTTGCAAAGAAACGTACCTTTAATTATATCACCATTGTGAATATACAATTAATTATTTCTATCGGGATCAGGCGTACCTAAACTGCTATATTTTCCTTCAAACAAGCTACCCCTAACTTACGAATATATATGTGTGTGTGAAGAATCGATGACACGAGAAACAGCAGCAACGGCGAAGGGAGATCACTCTCGATCTTTCATGCATGCATTTGTCTAACAGTAAGTGAAGTGATCGTAAAATGTCAACTGTCACGACACCGACTTCGAAGCTATTTACAACTACTCATGGATATATAATTCGGGTTATCCATCGGAGATTCATCTTGTAAATTAAGCTAGAAGACAACAACACAACGGATCTGGACAAACGTCCACTGAATATCTTCATTTGTTAATTATATTACTCTGTATTACAACTTCAAGATATCTTAACACCAGATTCGGCTGTGCTGACTCTCCTGTTGTGTTGCTGTCATCTAGTTGTTATTAGATCCAAGGAATGAAGGAAAACAGACTCATATGTATACCATTAATTAATATTTATTTAGGTATAATCCAGAAATAGAATGACGTGCCTAAAGAACAGGTTTAAAGCAGGGCCAAAAGTGAGCACAAAAACTGTCCCCTGATTCCAAGAGAACTGAACAAACGCAGGAATGTCAGCCAAAAGGTGAGCCAAAACAAATGAAAAGAGATCGAAAGAATGTGTCCAAACATAAACCAAAAAGGTGTAGCCAAAACAGTCCAAAAGGGAGAAAAGTCTTATTACTCGGGCACCAAACCACATACTTTCACACAAACACTTTCAAACCACATCCTCTCACACAAACACACTTTAAAACACATCTTCTCACATATATGCGCTTACTTCCAAACACATGAAAAAAACATCCTCTTATGCAAACACTCAACCTCACACGCCAAACACATTTTCTCACACAAGCGCACTTAAAACCAACAACATATGCAAAACACATCCTCTCACGCATACAAACTTTCAAGCCACATTCTCTCACACAAACACACTTTTAAAACACATCGTCTCACATATATGCGCTTACCACCAAACACATGAAAAACACATCCTCTTATGCATACACTCAACCACACATGCCAAACACATTCTCTCACACATGCACACTTAAAACCAAACACATATGCAAAATACATCCACACTTACACTCAATCAGAGATCCAAAACACATCCTCTCGCACATACAGTCTTACACTCAACCGTACGTGCAAAACACACATCCTCTCGCAAATGCACACTTAATTACACTCACTCAAACAAAAATGAACAATGCACCTTCTCACATATACACGCTTATACATTTATACACACATGCAGAACTCACCCTCTCACACATACACTCTTACACTCAATCACATACACACACACACTGGATGAGAAATCTACGAGAAGATTCTCCTCCAGAAGGCAGCCGCTCTCCTCAGCGCCCTTCTCAGAGGATGAATCTCTCGGTCCTCCACGAAGCTGTCGTCGTCTTCGTCCTCGTAGACCCAGTAGTCACTGTCGTCATCACTAGGGGCAGGGTAGTGGTCGATATAGGTGATGGTGACTGGGGCAGGGAGCGTCTCACCGTGGTCAGGGCGGGCCCAGAACGGGGTGAAAACACTCAGAGGGTCGGGAGAGGGGTTCGTGGACGCAGCTAGGGGACGCTACATCAGTGAGGGGGGAGGGATGGAGAAAGGGGGGTCAGTAGGCGAAGTAGATAGGCGGTTTTCAAAGAAAATTACAAAAGGGTCAGAGTGATAGACACGGGTTACACATGTTTTTAGACAGGATGTAACCGTAGACAAATTCGGATCGACTGTTAGAAACATGTTAATCATGAGGGAGGGTTATCATACAGCTTTTTTTTCAGGACACAATAACAACAGAGAAAAAGGGCAATCGTCCATGGTGTGCGAGAGAGGACATCGACAAATGGATGAAGGTGAGCTATTGGCTGGCCGAGCTAGTCGGCTAATTCTGAAAGAAATGTAGATAAACTACATACACAGTCGGATTCCTCATCCAGCGACGGCCATAAACTCGCAGCAGGAGTGACATGATACCGGATCATGTCTTCCCGTGCTCAGAGACCATATACCAGTGTGTTTGCTTGTTTATTTTATCCATGATGTGAGTAAGAAATTAACGCCGGCCCCACGACATGCCGCAATCTATAGCCACGTGGCAAGGCGGAATTCCCAAAGTGTAGGGTCATGTACTTTTCTATTCTAATCGTAATGATTTGTTGTGCCATTCGGCATTGGTTGTCTGTATATGTATCGTTTGGACAGATTTCTACCATAATCTGCCATCTGGTCAAGGCATGTTAAACTGACGAAGGTCATGTTCAAAACAACATAGACGATTACAACGCCTCATATATGGTTTCAGTTTTCTTACTTTTCCAATCCACTGTTGGTTATGGGTTTTCTGTATGCTTTCATGTAAAATATATCGTTTGTTTACCCTTAAGTATAAATAGCTACAAGCTGTGAACACATTGACGAATGTACTTGTACACCTGTATGAAGATGAACGTTCATGTAACATTATGATTATTTATATAAGTATCGTATTTCACATAGATGTCATAAGGAAGCGGGGTGCTGCTGACATAGGGTCATAGGTAAACATAGAGGATTACCTCGCCTCATTTATGGTTTCAGTTTTCTTACTTTTCCAATCCACTGTTGGTTATGGGTTTTCTGAATGCTTTCAGCCTTTCAGTTTCGCATTTCTCATAAATGTCATAAGGAAGCGGGGTGTAGGTGAGTGTGTAAGGTGTTGGCGCACCACGCCTGAGGCCCAGGTTCCATTCAAGGTATAAACGCTCATCTTGGAGAAATAGTCTGACACGAGTGGTCGCACTTCGTTCATTGGTCAACTTGAGAAGCCCAGTCCCCTCGCATACACGGGAGATAAAAGCTGTCTAAGCTGCTGGTTGAATCAGTGTTTGGTTGTTTACTTTATCCACGATGTGAGTTAGAAATTAACGCCTGTCTGTTGTGTTGCTGTCATCATATTTGATCCAAGGAATGAAGGAAAACAGACTCATGTGTATACCATTAAAATAAATCATAATTATTCTGTGAAAGCCTCGGATGCTGAGTGGGTTATATCTCTGACTATGTGTGCTGGCGATTAAGGGCCTCACTCTGGCAGTGTGGGTTCGAATGCCGGACGGGTCTCATACGCTGATTGACTGTAACGTCTTATTGAAAGTATATACAGGTTGAAATCCATAAGTGAACATCTCCATTGATACTACAGCTTGTAAAATGCATGACACTTGAAGATATATAGAGGTTATCACGCGAGTGTGTTTGGGGATGGTAAATATCCTGCATTAGGAATAAACATTGTATTTAGCGAGCCTTGGCCCGTCTCCCAGATCCTAGAGAATAATTTAAGAAAGGAATCCCAAAGTCTAGAAAGATTTGGTAAGTCCAGATTGAATGAAACTATCCATTGTTCTGTGCTACATTTTTATTTTATTTAATGTTTTGTAGATATATATTTTTAAGGCTCGCTGTTCTTCAATATCAGTAGATCTACTTGGCGTGAAATGGCCATCCCCTTGATCGCCATTGGTGAAGTTATCTGCGATGTGTGTCGTTATACAGGTTTTGAAGAGGAATCGGAATTTAACCGACAGATTTATTTCAAGGAAGGGTGTGGCGGAATATGCCGATCAACTCAACCGATTTAGACCAGATTGTATAAATACGTGGAGCAATTTGTATTTAGCGGTTTCCTGACAGCATCCGTATGGATTACCTCCCTTCATGGAATTAGCAGCCCGAGAAGTGAGGACTTTGACTTTTTGCAACTAAGTCGGTGCGTCGCTGAACATATGTGTAAGGCATCCATTAATTTATTAGATATCTTGATGACGAAGGAAAAGGCTTTTATTCAGAATGTAGAATCAAAACGTTACACACTTTGTTTCCATGTTATTCAATATGTTCTCAATCATCAATGCCATATCAACAAGTGGCTAGATCTAAGTGAAAGTTGAACATTTAACAGCTGATAAAATGGACTCTGGGGTCTAGATCTGGATGATCAGGACATATTTTGAATTACAGTTATTTTGATTAAAAAAAGTGAAGAAACGTAATGTAATTACATGTAGTCTCAAAACGGTGGACAATCTGTTACTGAACATTTTATGTAATTTAACCTGTTGACAACCAACAAGTGGAAAAGTGGCTCTTGTCTCCCGTCATTTACATGCATGATTATTTGCACAAGACGCTGATAGCTCGAACATCATGTTCAATTTTCGCATTATCTTTGTCTGCATTGTTTCAGGCCTAACAAAAATGGAAAGGTGTAAATGCTGTGTAACAGGTAACAGTAGATCTAGCATAATTTTTAATATAAATTTTACCCGACATACAGCATTTACATTGGACGAGAGGTCAGTCACATGACCATGAAATTGACATTCATAACTGTATGAACAACACAATTTGACGTTCAAATAAATACATGAAGAAACCGTCGATGCGAGTGAAATTCAAAAGTAAATCAAAATTGGTTGCTGTGAAAAGAAAATTATACAAAGAATGGCTCATGAAGTATGCGTGGCTAATATACGATTCAAAGACTAATGCTGTGACTTCTACATATTATGAGAGGAATTTAATAAGAAAACTTTTGAAAGATAATTTCAATGCTACCAACAACAATGGCTTGACTTCTTGATTTTACCAGTGGCCACCATCGAAAAAAGTATTTGTAGCCACTTGGCTACTTTGTCAAAAAAAAAAATTTAAAAAAAAACAAACTGTAAGGCCTGCCATGGTAAACTGTTGGGATCACACCCTTCACAGGACGCCTTGCTTTCAGGTTGCCTGCATAGAGCCACTTTTTAATGGTAGATGTTGAAACTCACTTTTCTGTTAATGTACAGAATTCTTCTGTTGATATCTGGAGCAGATATGAATCTATTGTGAAGTACAGTTAATGTAAGGAGACGATCTTGTCTAGGTGTCATTTCTTTAGGCCTGCCATGCTCAGGTCTCATTGCAACCCCACACGTTTGACGATACTTGTCCCACATTTGAGAAATTACACCATTTGATTTGCCAAACATTGGGGCAACTTGGGACAATGACGTGCCCCCTCTATCATACCCACAATTCGCCATTTTGTCTGTTCTTCGAGATAGTCTCAGAGGTATTTTTAGCATGTCAATATCTCAGTTGCATTAGTGATTCCCAATATTTCCTTATCATTAGATGTTGCATTCAGAGGCAGTGCCACAGAATTGTAAATTTACACCTCAATGATAGCTACATACAAATCATTAGTCCCTTATTTTTTGTCAGTAGTAAATCTCAATATTGAGATACCGTCATTGCTCGTCTATCAACCTATGGTTTGCCAGGGCAATACTTGAGTATAATCGGGCCACCATGGTTTAGCTGTTGATATTGTGCAGTGTAAATAAGCATCAATCTTTCTCAACTATAAAAACAGGAACAAAACCTTTACACTAACATTAAGACACTAATTAGTAGTAATTGAAAATGTTAGACACTAGCTTCTGTGCTATAGGGTCTCAATTTCATGCTAATCCTCTGTTGTAATACAATATGATAATCATGATAATGTTGCTACATGTCGGATTGATCTTTCTATTTTTAATTAATAGGTGGGTTAAAAATGGAAACTAAACCAACAGTGAAGAGGTCTGCATCCGATCTGGATGTCATTGACTTGGATGTTTACTCCACGGCCAGAAAAAAGGCCAAAGTGTCAGCATCATATCTAGATGACATAGACCTAGATGACGATTCCACGTCCAGCAAAAACACCAAAGGGTCCATATCAGATCTGGATGACATTGACCTCGATGTGGATTCTGCACCTAGAATATGTAGAATAAAAACAAAAGTAACTGTTAACAGTTCCTTGGATGGAGGAAATTTCAGTCAGAAGACTGAAGACTTCTGTGAAGCTGGCAATGCGGATGATTCAGGGATATTAACTGGGTCACCCAGTGGATTCACAACAATTAGGACTGCAGTTAATGTTGAAAATGGAGGAATGTCAGACTGGACTCAAGATGATATGTCAGCCATTTCCAAGATTGCATCACTGCAACAAGATGCTGAGGTCATTGCGTCTTTGGTGCCCAATGTTGGTGTGTCAGTAATTTATGACAAACTTTTCCCAATTAGAACAAATCCAAACCGAATGGACATTGTGACAACAGAATTACTTGACAATCCACCTGATGCCGCACAAACAGATGAAGCCCCTAGAAGCAAAGGAGAAACTGCTTCAAAGCCAGCTCTCTATGAGGATGTGAAATCTGTGATTCACAAAGTTAAGCAAGTTGCTGCATCTATGAAATTAAATCCTGCTGAAATTTATGTTCTCCTGGAAAGGCATGCTGATGCTGCTGACCGGACAGATGTTGTTGCTAATCTGTTTCTCCAAGATTTGAAGAATACCGCTGGAGCTTCCAATGAAGTGGACCTGTTTGATGAGGTTCAGAAGGTGATCACAAAGGTCCCAGCAGCAAATCCTGATCAGGTTTATGCCTTGCTGGAGTCTTTTAGTAGCCATGGTGACAGAGTTCAGAAAGTGGTTGATCATTTGTCAAAAGTTGTTGACAAGCCCATCGTAATTGATGATGATTCTTTACCCAGTGAACCACAGTTGATAAATGACGACCCAGTGTTCTCAGACATGAAAAAGGTAGCTGAAATGTTTCCTGAAATGGACAGGAATGAAATCTATGCATATTTAGAAGCTCACCATGATAAGAAAGACAGGGTGTTGAGGGTGACAGAGGAAATTGGTCGTTCATCAACAGGTAGCCGCAGCACACCTCTATCAGTCTCCAGTGATGGAGGGGAGGTAACTCCAATGAAACCAGCTTTTCAAGGTGCCTGTAGCCTTCAGGGGGAGGTTGACCAACTGCGGGAAATATTCCCAGATTGTGATCCTAACTATCTGTTTGAACAGCTGGAAGAAAAGGCAAATGATGCAGAGAGAGTGAAAAATTTGGCAGCACAAATGTTTGAAAAACGGAACTATCCAAAAATTAAAGATATGTTGGAAAAAAAACAAAAAAATGATAGACAAGAACAGATTAAGAATTTAAAATTTGACATGGAAAACTTCTTATCCAAATTTCCAGATCCAGTGGAATATTTCTCAAAAACAGACACAAATATGAGTGACAGTTATAAAGAGCACTGCTTTGTCTATGTTAGAAATGAGTTTGACTGTTTCACATTGGCACACATGAAGAAGGTACTGGAGAAGTACAACCACCATCTGGCACCAGCTCTCAGAGAACTGAAACAACTGAAAGGTAGGTGCCCGATCTTCAGATTTTATATACATGTATAAGAATTAATATGCATACACCACTCAACAACTTAAAATATGATGAACTGTTCCACAATTTATATCATTAAAAAATCACGAAATTGAGACAGTGATATTCTTGAAATGATTTATCTTGTTTATTGATATAAGTAAAATGATTATTTTTCTAGATTTGCTTTCAAAGGAAGACAAAACAGTTTTACCAGGGCCTGTGGATGAAGAAACACATCTGCTCATATTTTTTTTAAATGCCATTGGAGCTTCAAGTTCAGCTGTAATTGTGAAAATTATTTTCAATAAGGTTTAAATGTAATCATCTTAACACTTCATTGTTACTACTTTTCATTCATTTAGAGGAGCCTGCTGAAACAAAAAAACGGCGCCGGAAAATCAAGAGAAAACATTCACCATTTCCAGATGAACCAGATGAGAGATTTTATCATGAACTTCTCTTCTCACAAAATGAACAGAGAGTCACAGGTAATATTATGGAAATCTTTGCAAAAACCTAAACAAATATGTCTCTATTGAAGCACTTCTCAATGGCGGCTGGGAGAACAGGTGGAGTTGCTTTCCTCACCTGCTAGGATTAATTGGTTATAGATTCTAGCTTAGGTGAACTGGCGTTTCACGTCGGGTTCAAGATGATTGCACTTATATCATGTATATAGTGACGTGTGAGTGTGTGGCTGCATGTGTGGCTGCCTGTTTGTACTAATCCAGACTATCGCTGCCCCCTGAGATACCATTCCACAGTTTAAGTGGATACCTACCCCACTCAGACACAGTATACTGACTCCAAGCCGACCAGTCCTTGTTTAATCCTATTAGTATTAATGCCAAACACGAGGCAAGGGAACAACAAGTACCATCTTTCAACGTCTTTTGGTATGATGCGTTTTGGGATCAAACTACAAGTCTTCCACTCCCTGGGCAGATGCTCTATCCACTGGACCACTGAGGCGGTGTGTAGGATTAAATGCCGGATCACACCTATTATGATCCTTGGGCTGTCGGCTCCATTATTAAGTTTGTGAATCTCACCAATGGTCATAGTAGAGGTCACTTTGGGCTTGTGGCGGTATGTTAATTCCATTATGTAACTGAAATATAAGTTGCTCACATGATAACCTGTTCGCGGAGCTCTCGATACTGTCGCAGCCACCAGTCACAGCTCTCCACTGACGGGCTCGACAGCCTGCAGTCAAACAATGCATTAAAAATCGCAATCTCGTTAAAACCAGATCTTAGTTCTCGCTACCGCTAAACAAAGATCTGAGGACATCCCATTATACGTCATGTCAGGCTGACCTTGCGCAAACTTTGATCGACCAATGGAATGACTGACAAGAAGTCGACATTGGCCAGTCAGAAGGCAGCTTACTTTTGTTTTACAGCACTAATTTCAAATTGACGACTACGCTTCAAAACATATTTTGACAAATTCTCGAAACCTGAACAAAAGAACATTCTGGAATGACTAATATAATGTCTAGAATATATGGATTCAGTCGTTAACCCCGTAACTATCGTTCGGAATACCCTGAGTAAAAAGTTTTCGAGGATGCATGATTAGAAATCACATTCAGACTGTCACTTTCGTGATCTGGTAAGCGACGCTCTGATTGGTAGAATGAAAGGTCGTTCTGACGTGACCCCTAATGGGATGTCCTCAGATCTTTGTGTCATGGTAGCGAGAACTAAGATCTGATTTTAATGAGATTGTAAAAATCACAACTGATCGACAGTTAGGTTTACAAACAAGTGATGTCATGACGATGAATATTCTTTCATTGTCTTTCAGATCATTTTGTTAACAGAGAGCTGGATAGGAAACAAAAACTTGAAGCTGCAAGAAGAAATAGTGAACTGTATGAATGTGGATGTTGTTTTGATGATGAACTTCTGTTTGAGGACTTGTCTGCCTGTGCAGACGGCCATCTCGTCTGTCGAGAATGTATCCGCCGATCTACGGAGTCCGCCCTTGGTGAAGGGAAGACAAAATTCCCCTGCTTGACAGGGGAGTGTGAGTATGACATTCCACTGACAGTCCTGCAGGAAGTCCTCACATCAGCAATGTTCTCAAGAATGTTGTCACGGTTACAAGAAGAGGAGATTCGAATGGCTGAAATTCCTGATCTTGTCGCGTGCCCATTCTGTAATTTTGCCACCATTATGTCTGACCCAAGTGATAAAGTATTTAAGTGCCTCAACCCAGAATGCCTCAAGGAGACTTGCAGGCAAGTATTTTCAATATGGGATTATTTTAGTCATAAATACTGACATTATGGCATTTATTTGGTCCTTCACATGTAACAAAGTGGGAAATACTGACCAGCATGTCTGTCTATCTATCTACCTGTAAATACATTCTGTTATGATTTTGGACAGTCAGCTAGAGAATACAAATCTGCCCCCTGTTCTCAATCTAGTTATAATTTGTGACCCAGCAGGAGAAAAGGGACCTTATGGACCTGGGGTACAATTGTACTGTGACATATAAAGAAGGATGTTTTACAGCAACTTACTTCTGTTTAAATCGCAGTGTGTGCGGACTGTAAAAAAATATCTTATTTTCCACCCATTAGTTCGTAATGTAATAAAAACATTATTTTTAAACATTTCAGCATATATGTCTATTGTCAATTAATAGACATTATGCCTAAAAACTGCAATTATTACATAACACCATGAACACTTATAAGTCTGAAAATGGGACCTTTCAGAAAATGAGTCTGTAAGTTTGATGCCACGTATCTCTGTAATAAATATGAATTAAAAAACTAATGAATTATAATTTTGTGGTCCTAAGATATCATACTTTTAGAATATAATAAGAAGTCAAAATGTTATTTTTCACCCATAAGGTCCCTTATTTCATGGTTGGTCACATATGTTGAATCTGGTCATTTAAACGACACTTCACTCATTTGGTAATGCTCTGTTGGGATTCCGGGTCAGAATAGGTCACCAGTACCTCATGTTTGTCATAAGAGCAGACAGAGTTGTTGGGCATTTAACCGCACTGTGTGTTGCATTGTTCATGTGGTCAGTCAGTGGTTTAACTGGTCCTGACTAGGGCTGGGACGATACACCAACTGTGCAATCCGATATGTATCACAATACTTGCATGTGCTCTTACCTGTGGTACATAAGCCATCTTTTTCGTAGACAGGATGGCCAAATACCTGGCACACTGATGATTTACAGTTGGCAGTGTCAGGTATGGCACAATGGATGAAAATATATACGTTTTCACAACTAAATTTCACTACAAATTAGTGTTTGGTGTAACAGTTATTAAAGCAAACAATTAAGGTAAGGATAGATATTTTTAACTTAATGTTTGACTGTTCAATACTTGTATCAAGAGATAAAAAAAATGGATCCACTGATGCATTGGTGTATCGACCCACTACTAGTCCTTACTCAGTTTTATGGTGCCGTTATAAAGCAGGAATATTACTCTCACTCGCTGAGCTCAGATCAATTAAGCTCAACTCATGTTGATGATGGGAATGATTTTTCCAGACTGTGCAAGGAACCCAATCATGTGCCACTGAAGTGTGAGGAGGTGGAGAAACAAGGGGAAACCAGCATGAGAACCTACATCGAGAACCGCATCTCGGAGGCCATGTTGAGAACCTGTCACCGCTGCAAGAAGAGGTTCTACAAGGAGACTGGCTGCAACAGGATGACATGTTCCTGTGGCGCTACCAGTTGCTACGTGTGCCGGAAACCAAATATTGACTACAGCCATTTCCAAGGTGGAAGGTAAGCGGCAATAAACAAACTTGCACATATTGGACCAATGTGCAACAAACCTCATTAATTGGGACTGTTTTCAGTGAAATTGTTTGGATTAATAAATCCGATGTTCAGAATTATGTTGCTTTATTAGTATAACAATGTTCTCAGTCGTTTGTACAGTCATATTTCAAGTCATGATTGACCCTGTGAATCCAGTGGCAGGCACCAGATAGATCTAACTATCTCACAATATTATTTCAACAAAAAGAAGTCATTGTCAGTCGTGAACTTGTAATTATAAATTTGCCACATGTGTCACTATCACAAGTGGTGTATATGTTGGCATGTAACTAGATGTCGGTCTGCATCTCATTCCATTATATTCGATCATTTTAGGTTAAGATTGCCCGAAGTCACATTATTAAACATTGTGCAAATATGTAATTATTAGAAATACAGTGCATTTCATTGTCACTGGGGGTGGTCAGGTAGCCTAGAGGTTAAAACGTTCGCTTGTCACGCCGAAGACCCTCTTTGGGACAGAGTTTCTGATTTGGAAAGATTTCTTTTGTTTCTGTCGAAGGTTCATATCAACAGAGGTCATTATAATACATGGGCAAGCCTCAGGAATAGAAAATATCTGTAGATGTGTTCCATGTTAATGCTTACAGGATCTTGACCATTTGTAGGGATATACAGTCAACAAAAATGGTCAATATATTAAGTTAACTTTCTTTCCACAGATGCAGCAACACTGAGGATGCCCAAAAAATCCACTTGGAGGAGATGGAGAAGGCAGCCAAGGAGGCCAAGGCACAATATCTGAAGGATCACCCGGATGCAGACATCCACTCTCTCAAGTACGACCCCAGGAAACATGTACAAGAATGTAAGTTGTGGCATGTATTTTGATCAAGGGAATTATAGTGTTGTTTTGTAGCCAAAGGGCCATTTTATTTCTTGGTTTTGAAGTCTGGATACCATTTGCAGTTGTTAGCATATTCATTCGTTCATATTATTTCAGATAAACTGACATCCGGTTTTGGGATTAGGAATGGAGAAAGGGATACTGGTGATGATGATGAAGAGGTTGAAGATGATGCCGATGATGGCATACAAGTGTAAGTGATCTATCAGCTATATAGATATATATATGATAACTTTCTGTTACTTGTGAAGATCTGGGTTAGAATTGGTCTTCAGCAACCCATGCTTGCCGTAAGAGGCTACTAACAGGATTGGGTGGTCAGGCTTGCTGACTTGGTTAATGTATGTCATCGTTTATCCGAATTGTGTGGATCGATGCTCTTGATGTTAATCACTGGATTGTCTGGTCAAAACTCGATTATTTTCAGACCTCCGGCATATAGCTGGAATATTGCTGAGTGCATCATTAAACAACAAGCTATTAAAACAAAGTCCTCTTTCCGTTAACATGAAATATGGGAAAAAAATGAATTCTGAATTTTCCCTGAAACTCAATTACCCATCAAGGGAAAATGCAGAATGGCTCCTTTATAGACTTAAACCTTCTATGCACAAATCTCAATTATCCTAACATCTTTTATCCAACCAAGGCACACAACCTTCCTTATCCTTGCATCTTTTACACAGTCAAGGCAGCAAACCCTCTATTACCTTATGCTCATGAAGGGAGGTAATATGGAAAGCATCATGACTTTAGCCCATTATGGCGTTACTCAAAAAGTACTTTATCAGAGCCTTCGATCTTTAAGTGCAGCATCTCAGAATACTCAACCAAATCCAGTCTTGGTGCCAGACCATATATGTAACAGAACTCAAGCATACCACACATGGGAACCAACTCTGGTCCCCTCCATGATGTAACTGTATTCTTGCGCAAAGTGGTGTGAAACCCAACTCGCTCTCCTCCAACTTCAAACTGACATGTGGTGGTATAACTGAAATACTGCACCACAGTGCCCAGGTTCAAAACCCTAATACCCAACCCAGTTACCCAATACCAAACCCAGGTATCAAACCCTAATACCCAACCCAGGTACCAAACCTTAACATCCAAGTTGGCAACACTAGTTTCCAACCCAGGTATCAGACCCTAGTGTCCAACACAGTTACCAACACAGTTACCAACACAGTTCCCCCCCCCCCCCAGGTACCAAACCCATGTAAACAGTACCCAACCTCACTCAATGACTCACGCTAATGTAAAGCTGACACTCCCTGATATAACTGTATTACTGCCCAAAGTAGCGTTATACCCAACTCACTCTCCTCCAACTTCAAGCTGACATGTGGTGGTATAACTGAAATACTGCACCACAGTGCCCAGGTTCAAAACCCTAATACCCAAACCAGTTACCCAATACCCAACCCAGGTACCAAACCTTAACATCCCAGTTGGCAACCCTAGTTACCCAACCCAGGTATCAGACCCTAGTGTCCAACACAGTTCCCCCCCCCCCCCCCCCCGATAAAGCTGACACTCCCTGATATAACTGTATTACTGCCCAAAGTAGCGTTATACCCAACTCACTCTCCTCCAACTTCAAGCTGACATGCCATGGTATAACTGAAATACTGTTCAAATGGTGTAAAACCAAACTCACTCAAGCTAAAATGCTGTGATTTAACTGAAATACCGGTACTGTTCAAAGCTGTGTTAAACCAAACACACACTCTTAAAACACTGAAGTGGTTATATTTTCTTGATTTCTGCCTTTTTTATACTGAAGTTAACTCAATTATTTTCCTATTGCAGGGTGGAAGATGAATGGTCAGATGACGATGGGTTAGGGTATTATTTCTACTTCTAGGACAAATCCTGTCTACTTCAAGACCAAGTTATTATCATTGCTCCTATCTTATAATCTGTCACTTCATTGTCCTGTGTCAGGAGTTTGGGATGGCCTAAAGCGTCATGTTTCATCTCAAATAACAGATGGAGTATGCCATTAACATTGTCCAAACTCAGGCCGACAGGCTAGGGTTACATGGCTGTGAAGCCTTGCACAGTGCCTCAGAGAGTATTCATTGTTTACATATTTATTTTTCTATACAAATGGCTACAGTATGTCTTTAGGTAGTCTGTTGTTTCATGTTTGGCCATAAATCTTCTTGTCATTATGCTCAGATCCACAAGCATGGTACGACCATTTTACTAAACTAATCATAACAGATTCTGCATTGCTGAGATCATATGTTAGTAATGTAAAATATGGATACGAATAGTTACTATGAGTCCATACACACTATATTTTGAGGTTGTGAAATAATAAAAGCATTCACATCATGTGTAGTTTGTTATGATCTTTGTACTTCTTGCAACCTGGAAACTTGCCCAAGTCACAAAATTGTGGTCACCTGATTTCAATAGTATTTCATATAGGTTCCTTGCAAGAGGGCCAAAAGTGTGCAGGTGTTTTATTTTGAGCACATAGCTTGTGCAAACCATAAGCACATGTATGCTGCTGACAAACCATGGTTCATAATTGGGGTAAATTTGGTATGAAGTATGCAGCTGCTATGAAGTGATGTGTCTATAATTAGTCCACAAATAAATCGTGGATGTTTATAACAAAGTCAAATGACCTACTCTGTGCATGAAGTTTGTGTAAACCCTACCATTGCCACATAGTGAAGTAATGTGTCAAGCAGATGACCTTAAGACTAGGGCAGTGTTTAACACAAACAAAGGACGAGACAAAGTAATATATGTTTATAAGACTTTTGAAATCAGCGATAGATTGACTCTAAACCCGTAAGCAAAACCAACAACCCTGCATGGTGCAGTGGTTATCTTCTTGACAGGTTTCTCATACTAATTGTGCATGTTCACATGTATGTATCATCTAATGTCAATGTGAGGTATTGTTTCTCTGACTAATGGATGTGCTACGTCACTATCTGGGAAAACATGAAAAGTTTACCTGTTGCAAGCAAATAAACCTCTGAAGTCAACCAGCATTAACTCGTCTTTTATTACTGCCTTTTTAGGGTAAACATTGAGCATGCAGAACTTGAATAAAATAACACCATTTTAAACCGTTTTTGGTCTGAACCATTGGGTCTAATAGAGATCCAACAGGATCAGTAGGTTTTTCTCTGTGATGGTCCTTTGGATCTCTGACATATTTTGGTCAGTATCAATCACTGTAGTGACTAGAGCCCTCATTGCTCTGATCAGTCGCAGAAACAAGGCTGTGTCTTGATTTGTTGGTCAAAAGTAGCAACCACCACATTTCCGCCATAGGCATTCTCAGGTGAAAAAGTAACATATACAGGCCCATGAAGTAGTGACCATGACCAACAAAGGGATGCAACTGTCTAGAAAACCCAGGTGACACTGTATCTGTTGACATTTCTCATGTATAAGAAGCATAACAAACAACACAAACAAACTTCTAAGAGACATGATGAATATTTTATTGGGAAATATCCTTGGCTCATTCATTCATCAAGTAATGTACAATAAAACAAAGATACAAACTAATATGATGTGAGATTGTGTCTGCCATACGACAGGTGAAGTGAAATCAATACAATTGGCTCTCTGGAGTTCATTAAAGCCTATCCAAGTTATCAAGAATATTCAGCGTTTCTTGAATAATAATGATGCTAATAAGTAATTTACACAGCAGTTCTACAAATATGAAATTATAGGCACAAAGCAGGATCTGAGCTCTCAATCACTACTGTCTACACGATGTACAATCAAACCTCATAATATTCAATGAACCTTCATTACAATGCCATACAATGAACCTTCATTACAATGCCATCCAATGAACCTCCATTAAGATACCATCCGATGAACCTCCATTTAGATGCCATACGATGAAACCATTATAATGCCATCTAATGAACATTCATGTAAACTGAAAGCTCATTATAATGTGATCTGGTGAAACATGACAATTCCACTATTTGTTCTGCAAATTTGATTGGCATTGTCTGGAACAAGGATGGAATGAAAGAGCATCACACCAGACAGAAGGTGGTGGACACTGTTGCCCAAAACATAGGTTAGAAACACCTCTCATGTCTGCTTGTTCCTGGCATTGTAGGAGGTTTGACTGTATGTGTGTTACTCCTTGATAACACGATGGTGTCTGATCACTGTTTCAGGAAACAATCCATTAACAGTGACAACACCATGATTGTTGGAGCTCTGCAGCAAAGACTTTCACTAGTTGGAGTGTGTATAAAGGTGTTCAGGTGATAAACTGACTTGCATTAAAGCATGAATGTATAATATTTGCATGAGAGCAATAGTTTCAAATCAAAGTTTCAGCAATCCAACTCATGGCTGAAATATACTGTTGAGTGCTGTAGCCTTTATGCTTCTGACTATTACAGTCCTAGCTAATTTGGCTACAGAGCAATCTGTTAAAATCAGACTTACTCTGATATCTGCAGTGAGAGCTCATATCAGGAATAAAACATTGATCTTAATGACACTGGGCTGCAGTCTGAGCTCCAGCTCTAGACTAAGGTGTGATTGTCCCCGACATGTTCTGAACATTGTTTGGTCAGGCTACATGTACCGGCATATACATGAAGATTTCCTGATGTTGTCCAGGGCCCACTTGCACAAAGCGATCTTAGCGCTAAGATGATCGTAACTCCCATACTTTAACATAAGCTTACAATAGTTGTAGCGCTAAGATCGCTTTGTGCAAGTGAGCCCTGAACTGATGGTTGTCTATCAGCTACTGAAGGACAGTAAACAAAAGGAAAGTTTGTCAAATATATCCCTAACTGTGTTGTTTAATACAGAATAGACATTTGTAAACCACAGCTTAAAAAAGTTGTAATAGTGTACTTGAAACTGAAAGGTACTGTCAATCTCAAGTCAGCCAACATTAGGTCCTATCATTCAACAACCATCCTTGCTTGTGCCAAAACACCAACACAGACAGAATTACAGGAAGCAAAGAGCAGATATGTACATGACCATATTGTGAAAACACTGGTAGGGTCTTCACTGGGGTCTTCAGGACAAAAGTGACAATCGTTTACCTTGCTTGCAGCTTTACAAGTAAACACATCAATCACCTGACTACAGCAAAGTCCCTTCATTGCAAAAAAGTAAACGACTGATTTGGAGAATAACATTTCTTCAACAGTGCATCAGTCACAAAATGGCAGAAATCTTTGTTAGTGTGAAGTCCAGGGAGACACAGAGTGTAGATTTCAACCACTTGGAATAAAAACCTGAACACAGGTTAAAAAAATGCCTTGAATCATAATTCGGATTCCAATCCAAAACAACAGGTTGTGGCTTAGTCAACTGGGCTACCTATATCCCATAATTAAACTAATAAGTAGATGGAATCTTGCATGTAAAAGGAATTGATAATACTTTGGAACCAACTTTTTTAAGCCTTGAAAGTTGCAGTAAATGTACAAATTTACATTGATCTGACATTACTGAATCTGGCCAGGATACTCACTCAACATCTGAAGTCTAAGTAATGTCATATTTGACAAGAAAACGATATAGACAAAAGTAGCAGTATTTGCGAGCAATGTCTAGACATGCTGGTATGAAGTTTAACGGATCTCATTTCTTTATTGTCAATCATATATATCATGTATGCTTTAAAAGGCAAACAGGTAAGCTCTAAGTTTAAGTCACTTCACATCACTAATTAATTTTCAGCAATAATTCAAAATTATGATTACAAGAACAGTTTGAAATCTACTTACAATACAGACAAGTTGAACATATCATGGAAACTTAAAAAGCATGTCACAATTTGGTCAGTAATGAGCTGAAACATAATGTTGGATAAATGTTGATCTGGTACCCAATAACTAACAATGATAAGGATGGTGGCAGGGAAGGAGAAGCCATGAAATCTACAGCAATGCATGAACTATCCACTTCTAAATGCCATTGAAGAAACAGTACCAGTCTTTTTCATAACATCCTTTCACATCTTGGTGATGCAGAGTACAACAAAACAGCAACAGAAACATTGAACAAGCAGACCACATGAAGCTCTCTCCATAACAAGTTAGCAAACTGCAAATAGATACAAATAAACACACAAAACATAACAAATGGTTAATTGCTATTGCTATATATATATCAATGTCAAAATGGCTTTCTTGTTGTGCATTCAAACTCTCAATAACTTCTTAACAACATTGTTTATTTTACAAATCGTTTGGAAAAAGTACATAAAAAATGAATAGTTCTTTCTTCTACTCCAAAAAGAAAATAAGGGACACACACTGACGTATGTTCCAGAGAGTCATGTTGCTGTGCCAACTATAGACCCTGTACAGCCTCAAGTTTGTTTGTTTGTTGTTTAACGCAGCACTCAGCAATATTCCAATTAAGTGACGGCGGTCTGTAAATAATCAAGTCTCGACCAGACAATCCAGTGATTGACATCATGAGCATCGATCCACACGTTTGGGATATGATGAGATGCATCAACCAAGTCAGCGAGCCTGACAACCCGATGCCGTTATTTGTTTCTTGTCTTACGACGAGCATAGTCGCCTTTTACAGCAAACATTGATGATGACCTATTCTATCCACGATCTTCACGGGTCTACTGCCTCAAATGCTTGTATGGGCAATTCTCGTTGTGTGTCTAGGAACTAGAATTTTACAAAGGAAATATTCTACCATGTTCTACAGAAAACTTTCCTTCATGACAGTGGAGAAATGTATCTATAATGAAAATAACTTCCCATGTTGCAAAATTAATTTCATGGTTAATTTGTACCCCATGACTAGTTGAGACAGCGACATCCTGGTCATAAGCCTACTAATTGTGAGCATGTCACAGTCTGTACAAAGACTTTTGAGTCGACTCGCCTGACTCTCTTGACATCATTTTCAGTACAGATATTAGTGTTAATGTATGGACTTTTATTAGCAAAGCACACTAGAAAAGAAACTTTCTACTAAAGAGTGTGGTCATAAAAACATAGTAGGCATGCTCAATATTGATTTCCAAAATATATCTGACGCCGGACAAACTCACTTGAAAGAAAGGACAACAGAATACATCATTCATTCCCTTATTTTCTGTGAGTAGAAACTGTAATATCAGTGGTGCTATTCACGTCATTGGAACAACTGATCAATCTTTGAGACAGTACTACAATATACTGTGAAACCTTGTTAGCACGGGAACCTGGCCTTCAAGACAATCTCTTTAGGAGCTTCTATGTATACAGCTCAAAAGAAATTAGAGAACACCAAATGATTTCAGCTTACTATTGTTTATCCATCCTGTCATGACAAAATAACTATAGTAATATGAAAGAATTGGGTGTTCTTTAACTTCTTTTGAGTAGTATATATATATATATATAAGGCAACATCCCTCTATAGCCCATTAGGTGATGAAACATGTGATTCCAACATGTGAAGGCAAATATAGGCAAATATAATCAAATATGGGCAATAATATCTCAGTCTGCTTCCCAATGAGCTATAAAATAAATTTGTTCTCGTAAATTTTGGATATACCGTATTCTTCGTAATAAGCGCCCAGGGCGCTCTCAAAATTAGAAATAAGTGGCTCTTATCAGAATATTATTTTGGTGAAAAAAACAGAGTTGAAAGATATATTTGGTGGTTTATGCTGACAGCCTGAAATGTTTATATACGACAGATATATTTTTCCAGAATTTAATTGCCCATAATTAAGGGTGTTATAACACTCGAGTGCGTATTATATGCGAATAAATAAGTCTTGTGTACATTGATCAATCGGAAGGGCTGCAAATTGGGATTGTTCACTAGCCAATATATTAGCAAATATCACCGTGGGCACTTATTACGTCGAATACGGTACATGTAACTACCAGTGTCACAAAGCAATGTTAGCACTATGACTGTCACTTAAACATACACTCATGATAGTCGTAGCACTAATTTTTGCCTTGCAGAACAATCTTAAGGACCTAGCTGATTCCATGGTGTTCATTGGAAGCTGACTGTATGTGAAGACCACAATTATTCAAATCTAAATAATATTTTGAAAATGTGTGCCCGCTTATGCCTTCCTCAACATATATCAAAATGTCCAAAAGCACATCACTACTTACAGCGGGATACATACTTCCACTTATTATAATCAATCTAAACTTTTGTGATCGTTTTCTTTTTCATATTTCATTAAAACAGACTAAAAACTTTTAAAAAGTCTTTGAAATGTCCTAGGATCAGGAGACAAGATTAAAGAGACTGTTTGACTTGTCAATTCCAATTTTTATTTCACCAGCTAGCAATACATACGTAAGAGATAATTTAAAAAAATATCTTTGCAGTTCTATTTTGATCTTAATATAGACCACCAACCCAATAAAATAGAAAAGCTATAGAGCCTTGGTGACATCTTTGTTGTACATGCCACTGCAAGCTCCAACCTTCTATGAAGAATTCCTGGGACTATCATTTACCCATCCTTTGAAAATATAAAGAAGCCCTGTAATGTTCAGAATGCTTGGATGGGCTGATGGAGGTATTCTCAGCAGTACTTCGCCATTGTTGTCAGTCATTATTTTAGAGAAAGGAGTCCCCAAACAGCTTATGAATCAGTACGTAGGTAATCCATGTGTCTTTTTACCAAATATCGTAAATAAATAGAGTCTGAGAGAACAGATATACAACAGTATTACTCCTATCATTCATTATGGCATTAAAGGGAGTGTGTTTATCCTATTGGATTTAAAGATGAAAGCAAATATCATGGAATCATGAAACACTGTGACACAATTTGACTTGTGTATTGTGAGGTCATGCATGATTACCATACCCATGTTTATTGTCACAAAAGTAATGACATCACAGTGTAATTGTTGACATTGTGTTGACCCTGTTAGCTTCTCAGACAGTTTCAATAAAGAAGACTCTACTTCTTCACTACAGCTGACTATAAAGATGGATAAAACAGACCTATACGCTGTCCAGCTTGACAAGTGCTAGCGAAATATGATCCTTGCCACTTCTACTGCTCCAAATGACAAGTACAATAGGTATGATGCACTAGCCTCTAACCTACCTTTACAAATTCACTGGACACATTTTGGCTAAAAAATGACAATATTTTGTCACAAGTAACAACAGTTGAGGGAAGCAAATAATGTTGACTAGTTACTTGTTTTTATAATATTTGAAATATACGCTGCAAAAATGCACCGGTAAATAATATCTCGAGACTTTCCCCATTGCCAATTAGTGTGTATGACATCACACTTGACTACAGTAATGCTTCACACACTTGGCTAGTGGTATTCTTCTTTAACCATATTGTCGCATGTCTATTTCTAGGAATGTCAAGTCCTATAATAAAGAATTTACTGGTTTTACATTAATGCATGTTGTACTGATTTAAAACAACACTTGTCCTGTCCACATATTCTGAGTTTGTTAAATCAGTACAACACACACACACACACTAATAATCTCTACCTGTGAAGGGCATGTCAACTGATATAAAAATGACGAATAAATTACTACACAAATGTTCTTGTTGGTATGTGCCAGAATTATCAAGCCATTTTTCATTCAGTTGACACAATTTTACTGAATATGTCATGACATCTCTTTATGTCTCGAGCAATTCCAACTGTGAATGTTTAACATGGAAAATGGTAACCCATGTATCCTATAGTGTTTTATCACACATGACCATACTTTAAATTAGATGCACATTGTCACATCTCAGCAAAGTGAATCGTTACCATGATTACAGCCTACCGTATTTGACCTAATAAGCGCCTAGGGCGCTCTCAAAATTTGAAATAGGGGGCTCTTTTTAGAATATTATTTTGGTGAAAAAAAAAACAGAGTCGAAAGATAAATTTTGTGGTTTATACTGACAGCCTGAAATGTTTATATACGAGAGATCCTTTTTTCGGAATTTAATTGCCCATAATTAAGGGTGCATATAACAAACGAGTGCGTATTATACGCGAATAAATAAGTCTTGTGTACATTGATCAATCGGTAGGGTTGCTAATTGGAATTGTTCACTAGCCAATCTATTAGCAAATATCGCTGTGGGCGCTTATTAGAGCGGGGCGCTTATTACGTCGAATACGGTATTTATCACTACTGATGCAGGAGTAGAAATTAGAACCTGCCCTCTACCTCTGATGTAAAGGTACACAGGCTAGCTGAACTTCAAAACTTAGAGGGTGGGCTTATGTTAACAACAGGACAGGAATGCAGTATTCAGGACACCTTCTGCCATTTTCGTAAGGGATGTGCACAAGCTCCTTCCTTAGTCTTAAAAAAATAAAAGAATTAGTTCCCAGGCAATGGCTTTTGAAAATATAGTGCACCAAGGAGGTGTCTTTTTTCTTTTCTTTTTTTTCTTTCTTCAAACTAGTATGTAACCAAATAAAGAGTTGTGCAACCAAATAAACAGTTGTGTACAATTAACCTGGTAAAGGACTACATAAAAGTATTCCTTGATGAGTAAATTACTGGAATACAGTATTTGACTACTCTTGGACTTGAAATATTTGAGGATTTTTTTAAGAAAAAAAACCCAGAAAAAAACACGAAACGTGCGGCAAACTTTATGATGATGCAGGCATTGCCAGAGAACCAAGACTATTATTTTTTTAGACTCATGTTGAAGTCCAATTTTTAATACTCATGGATAAATTTGATATACTTTGAGGCTTAACCATATTAAACTACATTAATGCAAGCAGAGTAAATTTTTCTGCTCATTTTGAGCTTTATCGCCCTATTTTTCAAATAGTAACGCTGTCGTGTAAGGCTATATTACTAGCATCAAACAAACAAGGTGGATGTGTGTCCGGAAAATTGCATGTGTATTGATTTTCATATATTCTCCAGGCAAATTTCACCCACCACACAGGTTGTCTTCTTGACTCAGGGCAGGCTGACACATAAACTAAGTCAGAGTGCAGTCGACAGCAGTAACTAAATAACCAAAGTGGCACACTACACATACACCATTCACCCAGTTACGTTTTGATACATGTAATACATTATTCCATCGGCAGTAAATATAAAACAACCTAGAAATGATACATCAATGTTCTTAATCACATGAACATCTCCGAAACAAATTCCAGTATGGATAAACGATATTTAGGTTCTGAGTGTGACAAGATACCTAAGAAAATGTACACAACTGAAATATAGACTTTACCCTCACAGACACTTCTTCACAACATGCCTCGTACGCCCCTCAGTTTTCTATAAGCAAAATATGCTATGCCAATGGCTGAACCTACCCCAAGTAGAAAATAAAATACACTAAACTTAGATTTTCTATTTGTAGGTGAAATAGAACTTGAATTTGCTTGTTGCTTTTTCCTTTCTTCTATCTTTTGCTGAAAGTAGAAAAAAATGTAAGGTTATTACTAACAATTCCCTTAAAAATATTAAAGCACAAATTAGCATGATTACAATTTCAGCTACATTGTATTTTAGAAACCAGAGAAAATCAACACTGAACAAATTGATATATTCTGTTCATGAGTTAGATGGGTATGTTACATCGTTTTCCGCATTGTTTCAGGAACAATACATCAGGAAACAAGAATGGGCATAGTACTCATGATGGGAATTAAACACAGGCCAAGCGTGATGGGCAAACGTTTTAACCACTAGGCTACCCAACTACTCCTTGATAGTGTGCTAAAACATCTTGTCTGGGAGACAGAAGGGATTAGAGGGATGCTGGGGATTAGGGGGCCTGTACCCCTGGTCAGTTTACTCACCAGAATGTACTTCTCTGCTCCACATTGCACCTTCAGTCGAACCTCATTGCCTGCATTAAGAAATGTCTGAACAGCTTCTTGATGACTAACTCTCTCAACTCGAGTTCCATTGATCTGTAAGAACAGAAATTATTGAATAATGATTTGACATGTATATTAGGGCTGGGATGAGTCCAAATTTACTGCCCCAGTACTAAACTCCCTATTACCCAACTCCACCCAGGTACCTGCTGAAGGTCTCAAGTTGGGTACAAAATGTGCAATACGGGAATTGTTTTACCGGAGCCCTGACAAAAACTAGTTAGATAGTACAGTATAGTACAAAACGATATGATCATGCATACACCATATACACTGAATTTGAATGAAGCTTTATCTTTACTCCAACACATAAACACATGATAAAAGTGAGAGCAAATGTGTGCATCATCAGAAAGAAATGTGATTTTTTAAACGTATCCTGCATTACTCCTTAATGCATTCACTGCTTACCTTTACATTACATTACATTACATTACATTACATTACATTACATTACATTATTAGTGACTTTAGTAGTATAACCATGGAATGATATTGTTATTGTCATTAAACAATATATCACATGACTAATCATGGTCCAGGTAGTACTGTGGGTACCCGGGTCCTACTCAGGACCTGCCTTACCCAAGTACCTGATTTACCCATTCCAACCCTAATGTATATATCCTATTCTTTTTCACAATATTTGCTACTTCAATGCCATCAATGCTGATTGAAAACGCTTCATTTCATGCAAAACAAAAAGAGAACTTCGGTCACAGCACCTGTCTGGCTTCAGCTTTATAACTTGTTTTAATGTCTAGACTGTGCATGAGATAACATTAACAGAGACGATTCCATAAAATCGGACATGGCAAATGTCATCACTGGTAATTTTCATATGAAAAACCTGATTTAAGCACTTACGCCAAAAGATAAATTTGAAAATTTTACCACACTAAACTTAGTATAAGAGGAGGTTCCCTGTTACAAACAACTCTTCCCTGATCAGTAGTTTCTGCAAGACAGACCTCACACATACGATCCATTGGATGTAAGGCGGACAAGCTTGGTATCTCTTATTACGCTTCACCAAATCTATCAATTACAACCGCAGAGTATGAGTACAAGAAGAGGAAACTCAAGTCTGTATGAAGGAATAAACATCTGAAGCTCAGCGACTGTGGACACATTGGAGCCAGAAGTCGTGGTAATGACTGAATTGATAGCTGCTAAGTAGGTACACAAAGTGGAATCCTTCAGCTTCCTGGTAGAGCAGAGATGTTGGAGGTATTCAGCTACGATTTGAGGAGATGCAGTGGTTGGAGAAGAAATGTCCCCAGCCGAGCAATAACCTTCAAACGCCTTCCACTTCAGGTTGTACAGAGGTTTAATAAAGGTGCGATGCGCTCCGTCATAGTCCTCGCCACCTTCCGAGAATAACCCTTGGTTACTAGAGATCTTTAGAGATACGCCAGACGCAAACATGAACTGCGTCCAGAGACGAGGCTAGCTGGTCTGAGTGTGGTTGCAGGAGGAGGTCTGGTCGCAGAGGAAGCAGATGGTACTTTCAATTGGCGACTTTAATGAGGACAGTGAACCAACTTCTCACAGGCCAAAAGAAGTTGAAGGTGTTTGGTGGTCATCACCTTCTGCGGGACCAAAGGGAGTAGGCTGGTCCAACGATATGCATAGGCGTGGAGACCTTCCCTCAGTACGGCTAAGGCATCGTGGTCCAAAGGCTGTTGGTCCAATATGGGGGTAACTGTTTGTTGAATTGGGTTATGAAGAGGTTGAGGTCTGGGGTTCGGTAAAGGTATTTGCCATTCGATCGGGGGTGGGTGATCGAGATTGGATAAGGCATCCACTATCACATTCGGGACCCCTGCAAAGTGCCTGGCCTGAACCTTGATGTGAAGAAGATCTGCCAAACGATGGAGAGAATGACAGCCTTGAATTCCAGGTTGTTGGTGCCTTGTCCCTCAACCAACGCCCTGCAATCTGTTGATCTTGAAGGTGAGCTCCCCAACTGGCTGTGGAGGCGTTGACAAAGAAGTGGTGATTCGGTGCAAACGACAGCAAGAAGAATTTGTCGCAAACATTTGACTCCAGAATCCACCACTGAAGGTGATTATGTAGTAGCAATGGGAGCTAAAACTTGATCTTGCAATTGGCCTCATGGAGAAAGGGCCAGGGGAAGCACTGTATTGGTCGCAGATTTTAACTGATTTAACGGTTTGTACCAACATTAGAAGTCGATCCCGTGAGTGTTCATGTTCGACGATCTATTGACCTATCCAAACGATCTGTTGATCCTATCCTGACGATCCAAAGAAAACTGGTGATTGGATGAAAAATGACGATCACTTGAGTGTAGTCAATCTGTATGTTGATCTAAGGATGTGTCAAGATGTCGATGCGTTGATCCAGTGAGTGATGATGATCCGAAGAGTGGTGATCCTCTGAGTGACAATCTGTTGAAGTGTTAATCCCTCGAATGATGGCAAGTAGTTGATAGCTGGATTTGTTGAATTATGTCGATCCGGGCTGCTTTCAAACTGTTGATACCTTGATCGATGTTGACCTGGGATCAAGGGATAACGATCCATTGAGGACTGTCAATCCCCTTGCTCAATGATGGTTCTCCGACACCTGTGAATCCTGTGAGAGCTGTCAGTCAATCGATGGTTGACAATCTGTTGATCCCTGTCTATCTTCAGATGAACATCGATCTATTGAATCATGATGCTGTCTCGAATCCAGACAATCCAAGGCATTCTGATGATGGTCATGACTGGAGAGAACCCTTGGAAAGAACTGTGCCTTGCTCGTCAGTATGCTTGTTGCTGTCTGATGGCTGGAGGGCTGTAGCTATGTCATCAGAAAACTGTAGGGTGTGGCGATCTGTAGAGTCATGCACAGGGGAGGACAGGCGACTCTCCGCTGATGACTGAGGCTTGTCCAATGATGGTGTGAAGGGAACAGTCCTCATAGAGATAAGTAGGGAACCGCCAGTCGACTGTACAGTCCAGTGGTGGTAAGAATACTCGACAACTGTAGGTGACTGGGAACCGTCACGTGCACAGGGCATGGTCTTCGTAGAGGTGGGAAGATCCGCCGTTAGAAACAAGTCCAAGTGTGTCCTCTTTAATCCATAGCGATGGAACGGTCGATGATGTGATCTTGCATGATAACAAGGGAAGCCCAGTAACACTGGACAGCACCATCTGTTTCGGTTTCTTGAAAGATGAAGGACCATACAGGATGGGTGTCATGTGGAGAATATAGTCTCATCCAGTCCTTGAAGAGAGGGCATGACAGCTCCATTGACTCGTGTCATGGTATATAACTTTAGCAGTTGTAAATGGTAGAGACAGAAAACTTCACTCCAAAAAAATACAAAATGTATTGACTGTTCATGAACGTCCTATCCACCAGGTGAAAAGAGAATGAGGGTGCAGGGAATGTCCGGTGATCAGATCACAAGGGGTCGCATCACACGGGAATGAAGTGATGTGTGATCCATGATACAGTGGTGATGATATAGTGATGTATAGGATGTGTTGGGGTGAGTTTTGTTCTAAGAAGTTTTCACACCAGGATCGAAGAATAAGGACAAATGCATAGTGTGAGAGAGGATAAGTTTAAAACAAGGTATTTGTGATTCCTGTTTCCCGACTGACCCTACCCTGGAGCCCTTTCATCTTTATTGTCACAAGCATACATTTGTTGCCCTTCGCTACAAATCCTACACATAAACCAGTCAGTATCTTCATTTGTATAAGCAGGCTGGTACATACTGGTACTGGAAATTACTGGGGGGTAAAACAAATACAACAAGAAATATCCTTCATACCCTATTTTTGAATGGGCTGAAATAGGAAACATATATTTTTGGGCCTAACCTGTTCAAAGTCCCAGGTCCTTCACTGCAGTGTTTATAACATGTATAATCAGAGTTCAAAATTCAGAATGAAAGTGAAAGAATACATGTAACAAATGTTATTTTTGGGATTGAACTTTCTAAATTAAGTACAAATTCTAGTACTGTTTTGGGTTGAGTCCCATTTGGGATTCAAACACACACTCTCAGAGTAAAGCACCTAATCCCCTTCACACAAGGCTTCCACTGAGTGGGTTAGATCGCTGACATTGTGTGCTGGCAATAAGTGTCAAACTCTGAGAGTGTGGCTTTGAATCCTGAACACTAGTCAAAAACCTCATGTAAGAGGCTAAATATTTAAGGATTCTTCAATTCGAATCCCGAATACTTGTCAAAAACCTCATGTAAGAGGCTAAATATTTAAGGGTTCTTCAATTCAAATATAACAACAGATTGCAATTTTTACCTCTAATATTTTATCACCCTCCTTTAGCCTTCCATCTTGATAAGCCGCCCCATTTTCCTTGAGTTTGGTGACGAAGATTCCAGGATCCCCTGGAAGGTGGGGGATATCCACTCCACCACGAATGTTGAAACCAAGACCTGAAAAATATAGCAATTATAAACACAAACACGATCAAGGCAACTTTAAAACAAACCAAAAGTAGTGCTCAGTTATTTGACATATCATCAAGTTGATAACTTTGTAATTATGGTAATACAACCCCTTTCATTTCTACCTTTCCAACTGATCCCATTTAGGATGTTTGAATTATTTTCTTACACCCCATCTGACAGTTACAGTACAAAAAGCGGTTCACTTCTGAATCCTGGCAAACCTACCATGCCTGGTCTGGTAAAATTAGAGTTTTGACACAACATTACATACACAATGGGTGCAGCCCACATCTAAACTTTCTTTCTAATTTGTTTCAGTCGCATGAGTTCTGAACTAAAATTTATGAAATTGACATTGAAAATATAAAGGCAGATGTGTATACTTTCTATCATCTTCTGAATGAAACAGATTTGAATTCCACATTCAGCACCTACTAAAGACGGGAACTGGACAATCTGTTCCCAATCAGATCCAAACCCAAACTTTTTTGTGGACATGTACCCAAATGTTGGATGACCCATACCCACTCGTACCTCATCAACTGGATGAAATGTACTCATGAAAAAATTTGATTTGAAACATTAAAAATAAATAAGTTCAAACATGTTTTCAACTAAGACTTGGTTTGTATGTGTTACATCAGTGTTCGAAATACCTGCCTGCCCGACCGTCCGAGACAGGTTGATTTCAACTTGGGCTGCCAGATTTTCAAATCCCCCTGCCCGACGGTCAGGTTATATTTCATATGTGAAAATATTCTAAATATTTCCCAATGATAAGCATTAATTCACACGTAAAGATGAATGATAAAATGTAACCAAAAAGAAACCCCGTTAGCTTATCCTGAGAAACATATGATTATAGTGGGCAGGCAGGTTTTGATCACGGCTGGCAAGTATTTCAGCTAGCCAGTCCTGTGGTCTGAGTTTCATACCCTGGTTACATATTACAATATATGAGTAGTCAAATCACAGAATGTGTAAACTTGTTACACTGGCTGACTTCCCAGAAGGTAATAGTTTAAATACTAAAACAACAATATGTCACCACGGCCAATTGAGTTAACTCAATTTATTTAATCCTAAGGTTACAAGTATATTAAAGAGGGAATGACTGTTTCGTAGTACTCGAATGTATATAAACAGAGCAGCCAAGGATAAAAATGAAATCATATCAATACAAAAACAAAAATTATGTGAATACCAAACTCACAATAGATATGTGTACCCTACTCACACACATGAGTCCCAAAGAGGGACAGGTCAGCCGAAATTGCTTAGGCAGAAGGCAACCTCTTAAACACTTAATGCAACAACAACAACAACGTTTAGTAGTCATTCATTGTCACTTCGCATTGATTGAGTTAACTACTGAATGAAACTAATGAATGAATGTTTGAAATGTATAATGAATGAATATTTGAAATGTAAAATGAATGAATGAATGTATTATGAAAGAATGTTGGAAATGTATAATGAATGAATGTTGGAAATGTATAATGAATGAAAGTTTGAAATGTTAAATGAATGAATTTTGGAAATATAATAGTGCTATGAATAAAGTGCCATGAAAGTGAAGAATCTATGAGAATTGGGTAGGAGTCGTACACGTACCCAAATTTGGAGAACCTGTACCCAAATTTGGGCACAGGTCAGCCAAATAAAATATTATTACTCCAAATCAGGTACAATCTGATGAGCATTTATGTAGAGGTTAGCCATTTTTGTTGGGTACGAATCTCCATGGGCACAGGTTGTCGAGTGTCCTAAAGGCAGATGATCTTTTGGATGTCTGCTTTGAGGTTCACACATTGCATAGTTACTCCCTTTATAACACTAAATATCACATCAATAAATTCAAATTATGTACACGTAGCTGGTTATATACTTTATCATATGCTTAAATATGATGATAATGCATCCTAAAATGTAAAAGTGATAATTAGTTTTGCTGCAATCAAATTACACTCAAATTATGGGTTTTCCCAGTGTGTGGAAATTATGGAATTTGTTTTTTCTAAAGTATCTCACAAAACAAACTCCCCCTATCTCCTATATCTAATAATCATTGTTGAAAGGATTTGAAGTTTTATCTAACTTGCATTTGTGGGAATCAGAAAAATGATCATGTTGACGAAGCTGAACCAAAGGTTCACCACAGTAGGCTGAATCGTAATCAACAAAATTGTAGTCCGGAGTCTCAAAAGGGCACTCTGTTTCAAGGGCAGAACTGCTAATTACCTGTATCACCACGCAATAAAGTAATGTCAGTGACTGGCAAATCTAGTGACATCTTTGGTTCTTTATAAAGGGTCACCGATTGTTTGAAGGACGGCGTCTGATGAAACGAAATTAAACTACTGTGAACTGCAACAGCATGACTTTCACCGGAAGAATAAGACTACCTAAAGGGAGGTAATCAGTCGGCAATACATTGCCTGCCTCTATCAATTTTTGTTATCGTTATGCCCTTTGACCGCCCACCTCAGGATAAGTCGAAGTTTTGTGAGACAGGTCCCGAGGACATGGCGATCACGGCGATGTGAGAGTGACACTTTTTAAAAAGAACAAACGCGACCAATAGTTACATGTTGACTAAAAGGTTTGTTCATCAGTAGAAAAACAAAAACAAAAATGAATTCATAAAATGAAATACAGAAAAGTGTTAGTTTGTTTGTTGTTTACAGAAAAGTGAAAGTCATTGGTCCATAGAAGAACGTGAATGACTGTTACACCCTACCATAACCAAAATAACGTAATATTCTTTTCAAACAGAGAAGGTCCTCAAATCCGACTTCAAATCCGAGTTTTAAGAGAACACAACATAATGTCAATTTTGGGATAACAGTTATTTTCCTTTCAACCATACCCCCCCTAATTATCCTTGATCTTCCACACAAAAAATCTATCATGACCAAGCTCTTATTCAAGGCTGGATTGTATCTTCTTCGATGCGTCGGTTGTCCTGGCGTTTATTAAGGACGCATCTCAGAAACAGTTGAATTCATTTTCTCTGTCAGGCATAACATACAATTTGAAAAGTTTTACGCGCGGGAAGTTCAACCAGCCGGCAATACTACCCTTGACAACAATGGGTCACGTGCTGTGACGTCACGACAATCACAACCCCGAAGGCATCTTGTAGGCGTGGTTACGTTGTTGATAAGTCTCTGCTTACTATCGGGTCATGGTATCTATTTCCGATCGGATGGAGCTCATCACCGAAGAGCGGTATGTATATTGACAGTTATTTAGTGGTATTAGACTAAGTATTATAATATCATTATTATCCTCATCGTAGTCATTGTAATTATATCACTTCAAACTGAGTGGAAAATCAGCTGCTTAAATAGATAATGCTTGCTTGCTGATATGTAAATCAGTGATAATATTTTACATACGAGAATATATCTTGAGTTTATGAACATGTTGCATGTGTGATTGTTGGACTAGTTCGGAGAATACATATATTATTTGTGGGTACACAGTGAGGGCATGGCAGCCGAAACGCAGGTTCTGTCCCCTGTCCCGGAGTTAATGGAACGGTCAAGGTCCTCTACTCCTGGTAGTGGTAAGTTGATGCACTTCAAAAGGCAGACACACAGAGATATTTACATACGGATAACAAAACTAGTGTTCATACAACTGCATTGAACAGTTACAAGTGTAGTGTTATATTGATGATTACGTCTTTCCCAACATCGTAATATTATTTCTCGCTCGCACACACACACACACACACACACACACACACACACCACACCACACCACACCACACCACACACACTACAAATCAAATGGATGATCCTTAATTTTTTATCTAAACTAAAACAACCTTGATATATTTATTTTCGCTATCTCCTCATCTTATTAATGATGCTAGTACAATAAATTACGATTTCATTTCATGTTTGTCTGCATTACATATGAATATTTATGTAACCTTCCTTATTAAAAACGTGCAGATTTGAATTTTTTATACCGTTCAGATTCTAACAACGCTACACCTGATGCCAGCAGCAGTACTGTTACAACTGACTCAAATACACAAGGTCACATCAACACTTCAAGTGGTAAGGCATCATATTATAATCAATAACCCCCTGAACGGGTTAAATAAAAATCGCTCGAAACAACATGAAAGGTTTTGTTATCTACGAATCATAGCGACGTTTTTCTAAACACTCAGTTGTCTGACATTCATTATATAATTGGTAATGCAGTTGATTCTAAAACCATGCTGTTTGCTTTCAAGTTTGTCGGAAAGGCCCCACTAGCCAAATGGACAAAGAAGAAAAAGGGTGAGTGTCATTGTACTCTGCAGAAATCTGTTACATAACTATGAATACCAAAACGATAGTCATCTTTTAAATAAGCCAGAAATGGTAAATTTAAAATAGAACACCTCAAAATAACACCTTCGCATACATCACCATTCTGTCAAACATGTACATATACTGATGAGAAAAAAAATAGGCAACAATCTCAAGTCAACGTCGGGATATATTCGTTGAGAGATGTCATGGCAGACATATGTTTTCCTTTCCATAACTTCATTCCGTCTGATATTACATTGCTTTCAAGTAGCGAGCTTGTTATCTAAGAAATAACATCAATTTGTATACCTTAAAACCACGCCAACTTTATATTAAACCATATATTTGTCCAATTGTGAATGTAATGACCTCTTCTTCAATGTTTCAGTTTCATGGACCATATCTTCAGCCTCACCAAGGAATACAGCCAGGAGATTCAGGAAATGGGGAGACAACTCCGCCTAGAACGGAAGAGGAACGCAAAGCTCGAGATGGAACTGAATCACTACCGTCTTGAATGCGATAACTACAAACTGAGTTGGATGATGGACCAGGCGGAAGTGGAGGAACTCCAGACCAAGCTACAGGAGATGGATAACTACAAGGACGAGATCAAGAACATCGAGGCTCAAATGAACTGCATGGAAGACGAAAACAAGAAACTTAAGAAATCTCTCTCGCAAGTCCATTTCGATAACAAAGCTTTGAGGAAAATCATGGTGAACATGACGGACATGCGAGTGGATGCGGAAATAAGAGGGGCATTGGTTCCTAACATGCCGCCATGTTCTGTTGAAGGCCGCAGGAGGTCAGGGAGACGACGCCAACACACAAGGAAATCTCATTGTGCCAAGACCACACAACTACCCCCAGTCACTGAGAACAACAGGATTGCAGGCTCCCCACAGCAGACGACGGCGTCTTCACGGGTTACTACTCGCGATTTTCTGGCTCGTCGGGCATCAATGGGGAACATCTGCCCACAGCCACCTCGCAGGGACCTTTCGAGCAGACGACAGTTGCAGAGCGGTGTACCCCTATCTTCAGCTATGTCTGCTGAAAGTGTTCCTCGCGGTCGTGCTCGGCATCTAAGTTCTTGGAAATAATTGTAGACATTTTTATATTATGAACAATACAAAATCTGTATCAAACGTGCTTTTAACACTACAAAATTAATGTCTACATTATTTTCCGGCGTAAAAGGCGTCCGCTATACCTTTAATATTTTTGCTGCATTTTTTAGTAAATGTCAGATGAGCTTGTTTTTGAATAATGATGCATGCTTGGTGCTGTTGAAAACTAACTTGCTAGCTGTTTATCATGTTATATGAAATATCGAATACTTATTTCACAGATTATATCCTGGTAGTATGAATGTTTGTATTAATCTTGCAGATGGTTGTTTTAATGAAATCTTTACAAGTTGTTGAATATATATTATTGCAAACAACGACGTTGTTGGTCGTTTTTCATCCACGGGATACTTTAAATCGGTATAATGAATTTATCATCGAACTAAAGCAACCTATTCTCATAGCAGATACCATGTGAAGCAAATGTAAGCAATCCACGGCTGTTTTTGGTAGGGCACAACACACGTACTGTTCCACGATATCGATTGGTGCTTTGTTTTGTCGGGATTCGTGTCCTCCATGCATATAGATTATGATACATGCACATAATTATGTTTTCAGTCGTATAGTTAATGTTGTAATATAAAGGAGCTATACTTAAGGGAATCCGTCATTTCAGATATAACATTGAAATGACCATCTTTGCTGCACGAGACACAGTTACTGAACGCAAACCACTCAAATTTTGCACATTGCACATGCATAACATGCCGTTCACTGTAACACATCCTGGTAAGTGGCATGTGCCAATAAACTTCACAGCCACATGGTATATTGATCGGGTACAATGGAGGAAATTACATCCAAAAGTGTACATGACAGAAAATGAAATTTGGGTGCAATAGGCATGACTGAGGCTGGCCAATTACAGGATGCAGTAGCAAGACACTTTGATTAATCAAAAATTGTGATATACCGACAGATGGAACAGTATCGGCAAACGGGTGGGGTCAAGATTAGGTTGGGCAGGGTAAGGCAGTTTTGATAGGTACGTTTAGAGGAACATTCATTTCGGCACCAGAGTTGAGGAACAACTCCAGGGCTGTCTCAGGAATCCTACTTTATACGAAACAGCCTTCAATGAGCCTGACTGTGGCACAGAGGCGCCTCAAACAACCGGTGGCACATCGAGACGCCGTGCATGGCTGGTATCACAGTGCCGTAGCCGGTGGGGGGTGGGGTGGAGTTGCCCCCGCCCCCCTAGATTTTTTTTATAGAAAACAGTTTTACTTGAATCATGTTGGGGACAAGTTATACGATACTTGTACAAATATTTGATTTATTTGGGAGCTGGGTGGGCTGGGATTTTGTATCGAGATTACATATGTTCTCAGCTTCAGCGGCAAAACCAGATATTTTTTAATTTAAAAGTATGAGCCTGAATTTTCTTTAAAGAATAGCATCTTGCAATAACGTCATTTTTGTGGCAGGCTATTTCTTTTTTTTTACAAAGGTCTGAAGCATAATCATTTTTTTCAAGAATTTTCAGCGACAATATATTTTAGCTCCGTTCATTCAAGGTATTATTAGTTAGCATCCACCGATCTCCGTGTCATGCATATAACCTGTTCAACATGATTCATAATTATATATTTTGATCAGTATTGTCAGAGATATGGAAGGAAAGCCTAAATATTGACCTATCGTCCGTTTCGTTTCAATATATGTTTCCCACTATAGTTTAAAATAACACTTTGTCATCTATCAGTGCTTTCTAAAATTGCATCTTGTATTTCAGTTTGGCAATTGATATCCCTCACACATGCAGCTTGCTGAAAACAGAGACCATATAAATCAACATCTACGCGCCGTTTGCAAGGTGCGTGTGCTGCAAACAGGAATGACGTAAAACGAAGATGCCAGACATTTTAACCTTCATCGAAACACAATACAATTATCATATATTTGGAGACACCTACAGAAGGGTAACACACATCACTTCCAACGTCGCCGACACGTCAACCATATTCGGTTGGTGCATTTACGGAATCGGCACCAAAATGCCACATTAACCGCTCAGACAATTCGACCGCCTCCCTGGTCTAGTGGTAGAGCGTCCGCCCGGAGAGCGGGAGGTCCGGGGTTCAATCCCCGGCCGCGTCATACCAAAAGACGTTAAAAGATGGTACTTGTTGTTATCCTGTCTGACGCTCGGCATTTAGGGGCTTAAACAAGGACAGGTCGGCTCGGAGACAGTATACTGTGTCTGAGTGGCGTATTCATGTCGTTAAACTGCGGCATGGTATCTCAGTGAACTAGCACTATAAATCGGCATCAGTCCGGACTAGTACAAGCAACCACACACACACATGCATGCATGCACGTTGCTATATAAGTGCAATAAACCCAATTTCACCTCACCTCAGACGATTCCGGGGTTGAGACTAATTAGAGACAGAACTGTACGCAACGCAACCGGTTGAAGGAGCACACCATCTGGTTTCGACGTCTAGTGATACACCCAATTTTACTTCCACGTCACCGCCAGGCACACCTAGGTTAGTGTTGACAGCATCTGAAGTTCAGAAGACAAGACTGGGACAGTATACTGTTCAGAGATGAGTCCAGGTTTCATATGGACAACTGTGATGGTCGTGCAAGGGTCTACAGGCGTCTCGGAGAACGTTTTAGCGACATTGCGTTACTCAGTGTCGTCAGTTTGCAGGGACATAACATCACGTCGCAGCAGGATAATGCCCGCCAACACGTGTTGTAACCGACATTTTGAGGCAGCATAACAATGGCTGCACTGCCATTGCCGGCTGTTTCTCCAGATCTCCCCCTTATAAAACAAACCTGGGATTAGGTTGAACGACGCCAACGGCAGGACCAAGACCAGCCGGTAACGCAAGCTCCGTTGGGCCAGTCTTTGGTTGCTATTTGCAACTACATCCCCTGGCTGTTTTCAATAACCTGGTGTCTTTAATGCCTGTATCAACGCAAATCGTCGTCACACTTGATATTGACATTTTTTACAGCGTGTAGCTCTCTTACCAAGTACGGTTTTAACATTGATAAGACGGAAGGACAAAATATTATGTTATTTTCAATAACATACCACTTACACTACTTTACATGAAGTTATTTTTCTGTTAGTATATATACGAGGGGTTATTAATAAGTTCTGAACCCAGAAAGACTTGACCTTAAGACATTAAAATGAATCCCCTTCAACATTGATACACATTTGCCAACGATGTAGGAGGGATTTATCTCAGTTTTGTAAAGTTCTCCACAGCTACTATGACCTCATTGTCCGAGTCCAAATGGGTTCCAATTAGAGTTTTCTTCGTGTTTGGGAACAGATGGACGTCTGACGGAGCCAGATTAAGAGAATTGTGGGTGCTCAAGGAGTTCAAAGCCACACTCGTGATATGTAGCGAGGACGACTGATATATGCAAAGGCACATTGTCCTGATGGAAGAGCACACCTTTTCTCAGCTTATCACGTCTCGTTGTCTTAATTTCATCCTGTAATTGTCTCAAAAGTGCATTATATGATCCGTATATTTTTCTTTCCTTTTGGAATACCAGGACAAGTAGGCCACAGCCTTCCCAACTGATGGGACACTCTTTGCCTTCTAAGGTGGTGGTGATGTCACTGTTTTGAGTGTTCTGGACTCTCCTTGCCACGCCTAAACTGTGATAGCCATCTTTCTACGGTTGCATAGGAAGGGGTGAAATACTCGTATCGCAATGGATGACTTTTGACGTGGTCAGTTTGCTGCAAGTACTTAATCACTGCACACGTTTTTCAAGTTTGTCCACTTTCCAAAGGTCACAAACCCCAGCATATTTACTTTCTTGTCATGGTAAAACGATTGGTTCAATTGACTCAGGTTGTTGTGGATATGCTTCAATGATAGCATGTAGTGTCCACAACAAAGGATTTCACAATGACGCAATTCACTCTATGTGAGGCTCAGAACTTATGGACCAACCCCGTACCTTTAGTGATGGTTTCGTTATAAACTCAACCTCACGCAGCTGAGTGATAATCTTAGAGCAGACTGAAATCAAAGGAGTCCGAAACAAGTGGTTGTAACGTGAGCAACGACGCTCACCGCCCAGATCACACGTTGTTATAATGTTTTCTGTGAGAGCTATTTTGCCACTATATCCGTGGAGAGATCTCAGAGGAGCTGTTTCTGGCATTCCCCTAAAGAGGTATAGTGTATGGAAAAAGTTGTCTACAAAGTGACCCTGTCGTGAATAGCTCAAATATTGCATGATGCTACTGCCATAAATTGAAACATTATTCACGCATTCACACAATGTCACCCAAATATAAAAGAATGCAAACACCGTTATAATGACTACAGCTTTTGCAGTGCACTTAAATTGAATGATGCAATTTCTGTTCCCTCCCCAATCCTACTAGTTAGTATGTCGATGGTGATTCATCTTCCCGAGGCAAGAGAGTTAACTGACTTTAAAGTCCAGTTTCCACCCTTGCCGAACTTGGCTGGAATTACTGGGCTCGATCGTTGCGCCACCAGTGGCTATTACCAATTATGTCCCTTCTAAACTTCTCCTGTGGACCAATCAGATTCCACCTCTCGTATCACTTGCGTTTGCTTCACACAAAATGGTGGCGCCCAGTCAGCTTGATTAAAAACATGAAAGGATTTAGAAAATATCTGCTGACAACCAGTTGGCGGTGCACGTTTTGCAAATCCTGCAATCGATCGAAATCTGCACCACACTTTACGAACCGGATTTTGATTTCGGTGCGCGATTTTGATTGGACTATGCATAGACTCGTTAGTCCAGACAAAATGTAACTCCATAATACCAGCCTAGTTCGGCAAGGGTGGAAACTGGACTTTTAAAGTCAGTTAACTCTCTTGCCTAAGGGAAGATGATGGTGATTAGACAAGGCTGTTTGACCAGAACCTTATCACATGCACAATACAGTACAGATTCTTGCAATTCTCCAGAATGCTTGTAATGTCATAATGTACAATGTTTGATAACTGTGTCAGCTCGGTCATAAGGATACTTCTGAAAATGCTCACGGCAAGTTTATTTCATTAGTAAGTACATGTCTTTGTGTATGTCGTAAGAGCAAACAGTGCGAACTTGTGCCGAATCCATTTGACTTTATGTGGTTCAATTAAAAAGATATTTCATTCTCTAGTGTCTCTGCCTCTTCAAACATACTTAGATATGCCAAGGAGATGGTATGTACTTGGTAAGTTTAACTTCTACTGTTACTTGAAAGATATTGGTGGGAACCACACTTCATGAAACACAATACAATGTAATAGAACCAGGAACAAATGTTTTATTACTGGTACATTCAAATAAAGGGAATGTCAACATTTCAATCACTCTGATTCTCAGTTATGATTACTATGTATGTTATGATTACTAAATAATTGCAAATGCTACTCCCGTAGGATATTCTAAATCATAAAAATTATTCCTAGAATTCAGAACTACCAGAAGCAAATCTCATACAAGACATATCTTCCTTCAACAGGTACCATTTACAACCCAGTTGTATATAGACCCAATGGCTGGTCAAACTTTATGCAATGCTATCTAATGGAAACTAGAAACTTAGTCTGACACAATCACAAGACCAGGTGGGGTTGACTGCCACTAAACCTGTCCAGAAGAGTTGCTTGCTAGTTTCAAACTGCAGAAACAAAACAAATTTGAAACAGGATTATTTTCCCTGTTATATTGCATATGTTTTAAAATTGTCCTGTGTTCCTAAACATTCATGTAGCTGCCTTTGGATTTCAGCGTCCTGTGATGGGATTTGAAGCTGTCCCCACTGCATTCACTAACAGTGAATTCCCAAATTGATGTGAAACTTACATCTGTGCTCAGGTCTCAAGTTGGGACCATATATGTTATTCAAATTGTTTTACTGGAGCCTTGGCAAAAAGTATTAAGATACACATTTAAAATGCAAAGTTCACTTAAACTTTATCTTAACTCAAACATATAAAAGTCAGAAGGAATGTGTGCATAGTCAGAAAGAAATGCTAACATTTGTGACTTGTACAGTAACCACAGTGATTTTTTGTCACAAAACAATATATCATATGACTAACCACGGTTCGAGGTAGTCTTGTGGGTACCTACTCCGGTCCTACTCAGTACACATCTGACGTGAGTTACCTGTCCCAGCCCTAAAATACATTCCTAAACCGATTAAGACATTCAGAACATGACAATGACTTAAAAAATACAGATAGAAACTTCTTCAAGATCCTAATCAAATTCAACTCCTTTTGCAGCTTTTCGTTTCCGACTGGTTGGGTTTAGCACACTCATGCCTGTTTTCTTTGGCTTTGCCTTTGCTGGATTTGCTCCTTTCTTGGGTCCAAGATCGAACAGAGCACTCCTATCTCCACCTGCTTTCTTCTGTGCTTTGAGATTTGTAATTTGCACATTTGCAGCATTTAGTTGCGAATCAAGGTCAGTTGCTTGGTCAGCCAAACGGAATAGAACTGTCTGAAGTTCAGTCCTTTTATCTGCTGCCTTAGTTTCATAGAGATCAAAGGTGAAGGCTGAAGCTCCAGTTCCCACTGTCAATGTCACTTTTGTGCCACTTCTTGAAACGGACAGATTCCCTGATGCAAACCCATCTCTGAAAATATATATCATAAATTAAACAAACTGACTTTGCAACTAAAATCAATGTCTCAGTAAAACTAGATGTCTCAGTAGAAATATTGTCAAATCCAGGAACGTTTCCTTAAATCTCTGGATAAGATTATGATATATAAAACATTTTGTTTTTATGTAACGGAATTCTTAAATGTTCATGTAAATGATTTATGGTATTTCACAAATGGTGAGGTGAGGTTAAATTGTGTGTGTGTGTGCACGGTTTTATTTGTCCTGACTAGTGCCATTTTATAGAGCTAGCCCACTGATATACCATGCCGCATTTTAACATGAATACCTCACTCAGACACAGTACACTGACTCCAGTCCTTTTTTTTTAGCCCCTTAATGTCGAGTGCCAGGCAGGGTAACTTTCATTTGGATCAAGGTTTCAATAAAATACATCACTGCTAAAAAATAAGGTTAATCCTCGGAAGCAAAATTTTTCGAGGTGAGGTGAAGTGGGGTTTAATGTCGCGTCCAAGAATTGCACTTATATAGCGACGTGCTTGCATATGTGTGTGTTTGTGTCTGCGTGTTTGTGTGTCTGCATGGCTAGTCCGGACTGATGCCGATTTATAGAGCTAGCCCACTGAGATACCATGTCACATTTTAATGTGAACACATCACTCTCAGTACACTGACTCCTCCGACCTGTCCTTTTTTTAGCCCCTGGATGCCGAACACAAGGCAGGGTAACAACAAGAACCATCTTTTCACGTCTTTTGGTATGATGCGGCTGGGGATCAAACCCTGGACCTTACTCTCTCCGGGCAGACACTCTACCACTAGACCTTGGAGGCATCAAAACAAATCCTATAGACTGCACCTGCCTCATGCAGTAGCATCACACGTGCGTAGGGTGTCATTCGTGATTTTGACACTTTCAAGGAAGGTTGATCCCAGTGGACCATTATTTCTGTCAATCTTATGGGTTCTGCTTTTACAGTTGTGATTTACTTGAATTCATTCATTGTTTGTGAACTAGCAATTCAGCGTCAGCAATCCCTGGAGCATCCATGGGCTTTTGGGATGCTGGAAACTGGCAGTGTTCAGTGTCCAATATGTTCAATGTATCCAAGTCTGTGACTAGCAGACTATGGAACAGGTACTAACAAACCCAAAATATTAACGATCGACCCCATTCCGGGTGTCCGAGGTCAACGACAAGAAATACAGGATTGATTGATCCGAAATTGGGCTGTACAAAATCAAGTTCAAACGGTGATTCAAATTGCTGTAAACTCATCAGGCCACTGAGTACAAGTTACGGGTCAGATGATTAGAAATTGTCTACAAGCATGGAGATAAGCTGCTTGCTGTGCAAATCTTACAAACTGTAATATTGCCAACAGACATCAATGGTCAAACAGGGTAACCGTCGCTGGTCACGTGCCATGTTATGAGTCCCGATTCACTTTGCACTTCCTTGCTAGGTGTGGTAGAGTCTGGTGACGTTGAAAATGAACGTCAAACCAATGTAAACCTGAGAACTCATGACAGATTTGGTGGTGGATCGGTTATGGTATGGTGTGGCATCACTATAACTTAACGAATCCAACTCCATATTGTACAAGGAAGGGTCCCTGAACAGTACTATTCGGACAACATACTAACACCCTTTGTTGTCCTGTTTGCAAGACTTGTGGGTCAACGTTTGGTCTTTCAGTGCTCACCATGCAAGAATTGTCAATGCTCACCTTCAACAGCACAACATCCATAGAATGCCATGACCAGCATGAAACCCAGACCTTCCCCCAATTGAGCATGACTGGGACATGATAGGGATTAAACACGGGCCACACGGTCTTAACTTGGCCAAGTGCTGCAAAAGGAGTGGGACAGACTCACTCAAATCACCGTTGTGAGAGTCATAACACAGTATGCCTCATCAAGTGAATGAATATTTGACATATTGTGGAGGTATTACTCACAAAATGTCAACTTTGAATTTCCCATTCTACCTTCAAATCATTGGTGCTCATAACATCTACTGTCATACTTCACTACCAGTTGTAGTGAGTGAGGGAGTTGTGTTTAAGGCCGCTTTTAACAGTATTTCAGTTATATCACAGCGTATCACGTTAATGTGGGAGGAAAGCCTGAAGAGATGCAGGTCTTAGATGTTTACCCCTTTGTTGAAACCCACGAGCATGGGTATGGTGCTGACAAACCTAGAACCATAACCTGGGCGAATCGGGATTCAAACCCACAATCATAGGTTTCTGGAGTGCCCAAGGGACACAACTGGACTTCGAATTGCGGCGTCTTAGGCGACTGCGCAAACCGTGCCCCCCTACCGGTTATAATGTGCTTCCAATTCGTACATTATTATCATAAACTTTTACTAGAACCTAACATCTCTTACAATTTTGGAACTTTATGCTTTTTCCGAGTATCCTGTACTTTTTTTAACAGCAAATGCCGCTTTACTAGCGCCCATCGTAACCGTTACCGTAACCCTGGTAAATCGACCTAGAATATCATATGAAAATCTGGAATAGAATAGAAATTATGTACATGACATCGTTATACTCATTACCTAAATTTAGTCAAGAAGGCACTCATAGTATTGACACCGCTTAGATCTCTGTGTGAATCTAACTCGTCATAGTCGAGCTCCAGTCTCCATACATCTACACCATCGGTTACCGACACAACCCAACTCGGGTCAGCAAGTCTCGTAAAGCAAAGAAACGCATTCTTTGCATTTCTATATACTCTGTGCAATTCTTCAACTTTCGCTTCTGTAATCAGGACTGCAAAATCTGACATCTCTATTCAACGTCACCTTCGGGTATAAAAAAAGGGAGTAGAAAACCGAAACAGCGTGCCTTGCTGAAAAGAGTGTTTGCATTTCCTACTTTCGGATTGTTATACTTTCCTTCCGACAAGTATTCCTCGTTCACGCTCTCAAGTGGCTCTCGGATGAGAATTTATTTTTTCTTTCTTTAATGATATGGTTTCTTTCGAGCAGACTGCAACATATTTTAAGTTGGTCAACGTTCACAACACTGATTAGTAATGACAGACTGAACAGATAGTTTAATGATTTATAGTTTTTCTTTTCTATGATTTGGTTTGGTTTGGTTTGTTGTTAACGTCGCACTCAGAAATATTCCAGCTATATGACGGCGGTCTGTAAATAATCGAGTCTGGACCAGACAATCCAGTAATTGACATCATGAGCATCGATCCACGCAGCTGGGATACAATGACATGCATCAAGCAAGTCAGCGAGCCTGTCCACCCGATCCCGTTAGTCGCCTCTTACGACAAGCATAGTCACAGTTTACGGTAAGCATGGGTTTTTGAAGACCTATAATATTCTACCCCGGATCTTCACGGGTCTTCTCTTCTATGAACGTATATTCCTGCATTTACTTTTAAATACCATTCCATGTCGTCACTTCCATAATGTCCAATTGTCTACATGTTCTTAATTGTGGTTATATTAATAAGTGTCTAATCTTCTCAGGTACATATTTTAAGGTATCATTTTTCTTTTTCCGTATTTTAGTGCTAATCAACTGTGCAGTATGAACTGAATTTACCTTGGGATTATAATGTTTTATCTTATTTGTTTATTGTATAGATATAAAGTATACATTGTATTAGTTTCTATTTATTTGCCTTAAGATATAAAACATACACAATATTTACTTCCATATTAGAATGTGGCCATTTTGCCTTTGGGTTTGTAAAACAATTTAACGTTTTCACACTCCTAACACATGCTTTTTATGATGTCGTTCACCCGTGGGTTGGCAGGGTTTTCACACATTTAAGCGACTCAACCTAGATACTGGAAATGGGCACCGCTGAGCGGGAACACAAATGTACACTTTTATATTTATAATGGTGCCACTTTGGTCTTGGTCGTATATATTTACACATGATATTGTATTTCTATTATTTCGGTGCACTTCAGCGAAATGTCCTATCGCATTTCACACGGGTATGATTTTCGTCCATAAAACAAATGATATAAAGATAAGTCCAATGAAATGAAATGTCTGTTGTCGCATGCTTCTTCCTTAAAAAAACGTATGTCTGTCTTCTCTCCCAACCAACACTTTCGGAAAAGACTGTTTATTTGACACATAATCACTAGACTTCTGCTCAGCGAGGTATGACAGAAATGTGAGTGTTAGGTAAATAGTTTATAACAAAACAGGTTCCCGGAAGTAACCGTCTGCTAAAAATAACACCACGCATGCGTACAGTAGAAATATTCTTGTGGCGGTAGAAATGGCTCGTTGAAACACGTCTGAAAGTGTACGATCTGTCAATAATTTTCACCAGGAATCATGGCTGACAAGACAGCCCCGACGTCTCAACTGAGACTTCAGTGGGTGTATGGCTACAGAGGCCACCAATGTCGCAATAACCTTTTTTACACGGGAAACAAGGACATTGTTTACTTCGTTGCCGGCGTTGGCATCGTGTACAACGTGAGAGAACACAAGCAGAGGTTTTTCTTGGGACACGATGACGATATTGTCAGGTATGCACAGATACACACTCTTGGCAAGAATCACGGACTTTATTTGAAGGAGTATTGTCTGTGGGTTTGTGGTTCATGTGCAAACTGATTTCATGTTATTCTTGGCTGCACTGATCAATAATTCCCTAGTGATAGGCTAGCCTGAAGCATAATAATGTGTTGACATCTACACTAAGCCTGGGCCTACCGGCAATAACACATGAAAACTTATTAACTATTTTGCAAAATTTTTTCATGCTAGGCCTGTGATAGTTTGATATTTCAAAGTTTATGTTGGTCATTTTGCTTAAACATTTTGCCAAAATAATGAAAATACACTTTGAAAAGTAAATTTATACATTTAGCTGTTCATGTTTACATGTTATGACATGTACATGATGTAGATGTGTGGATTTACCTATGCATTGCAGTACTTGTCAATATGGCATGACACGTATGATCCCTGGATCTGCTAACTTTACTTTTGTTGTTGAAACAATTCACTAGTATGTTGTCAGCTGGTTATCAACATTATGTTATACTTGACGTTTGGATATGACTTCGTTCTGTCCTCATTGTTAAAGTAAACAGCAATTATTGGTCTTAAGTTTTGTCAGAACATCACTTACATGTTGAGTTTATTTTCCAGCTTGGCACTCCACCCTGATCGCACACTGGTTGCGACGGGTCAGATAGGCAAGAGTCCCTACATCTGTGTGTGGGACACAGCTTCAACTGATACAGTGTCAATACTCAAGGAAGGACATCAACATGGGGTGTCTGCAATGGGGTTTGACAAGGATGGAAGTGTGAGCCTTTAGTTGTGTCAATCTTTCCACATACATGTGCCATTATCTTTCAGCTTCCTATTAGGGATATATTTGTTAAAATGACAAACCTAATTGTTTTCAATTTCAAGTGACTTCAGTTTAGTTTATGTGGAATGCTAGTATAACCAATGATAATTGATAACTAAATATTTTCGACTCCACTCCGGTGTCACAATGATTCAGAAGGGTTATTGTGTTAGGTCTGTGTTGTGGCAATGTATCATGTTAGCAGGGTAACTTATATCAGATCAAAGTTTTGTTACCATAGTTACTCCTCATTACTTAATAACATGAATAACTTGGAACGATCAATGATATGTCAACTTACCAGGCTCAAGTATATGAAATTATAAGCATGATAAATGCAGGGCTATACCTTGACTTACAATAGTGGGGAGTTCAGGGTATTATCTTAAATTAACAGGAGAGCATTGATGAGGTTTTACTGTCATGTGTTTTATTTGCATCCTTTGTATAATACATTCCAACAGGTTAATAAGTTTCTTTTGAGGCCCATCTTCCTGAGGCAGTTAACTGAGAGTTAACTTTCTATAAAAGTCCAGTTTCCACCCTTGTCGAACTAGGCTGGTATTGTGGAGTTATATTTTGGCTGGACTAATGAGTCTATGCATAGTCCAATCAAAATCGCGCAACAAAATTGAAATCTGGTTCGTAAACTGTCATGCAGATATTGGTCAATTGCAGGATTTGCAAAACATGTGCATCGCCAGCTAGTTGTCAGCAGATATTTTCCAAATCTTTTCATGTTTTTAATCAAGGTGCTCACATGATTTGATGCATTTCTCGATGTTAGACACGTTTTATCACAATATAGATCTTGATTATAGATCAGATCGTCCTGACTGGGTGCCACCATTTTGTTTAAAGCAAATGCAAGTTGTATGAGAGGTGGAATCTGATTGGTCAATGGGAGAGGCTTACAAGGGACATAACTGGTAATAGCCACTGGTGGTGCTAGGATCGAGCCCAGGAATTCCAGCCTAGTTCAGCAAGGGTGGAAACTTGATTTTTTTAGTTTTGCCGATATCAAAATTATCATTGTTTGATAGAAGTTACCAGATGATTAATGCATTCACTGGTCACCCAGATTGGATTGCCCACATTGGTATATGTGAAGTTTATTCTTGGTGTCTCCTAGATACAGGTTTTCTTGAAACTTTTATACTGCACTGTGTATGCTGATTGTCATGTTTCTATGTTTTAGAGGCTGGTGTCGGTGGGGATGGACCAGCATGCCACCATCAATGTCTGGGATTGGAGGAAAGGGAAAATCATATCTACTGTCAGAGGTCACTCCGACAAAGTAAAAGACTCTACATACACTTATATTTGACAAGACTTTGAACATGATGAAAGATTTATTTATATGAGCTCAAGATGATCAGGTTTTTCATCGATGCATTTGCAGTGTGGCTAAGGCAAAAGAATCTACATCTGTCATTTCAATGCAGGGTCAATTTGAAATACAGTAGCAAATTTCATGACAAAGTTTCATTGCATCCTGAAGTTTTATGTCAGGTTGCTCCTGACCATGACCATGATGACAAGTCAACTATCTGAGTAGTCATGGGGCACAGGTGGTCCGGTCGTGTAACATGACACTTCACTGTGTGTCACTGAGGCATACCAGAAACCTATGATTGTGTTTTTAGATCAAAGATTCTCTGTGATAAAGTTTCTAGGTTTGTCAGCATCAACCCATACTTGGGGTTTCACCGAAATGGCAAGAAACTAAAACCTGCTTCACTTTTGTGTTTCTTCACACACCCCATTAGGATTCTGGGTTGGAATAGGTTCCCAGCCAGCAATGCTGGTCGTACGAGGCTACTAAATATATCAAGTGGTTAGACTCTGTGTCATTGGACCCTGACAGTGTCTGGTCCAGACTTGAGTATTTGCAGGCCGCCACCATGATTTATATACCAGTAGCTGGAATATTGCTGAGTCAGCATTCGCAGGGATTTATGTAGGATTCTGAACTAGATGCTATTAGCAGGCAAACTGGGAAGATCTTGTTATTTTGTTCTAAATTTGGAGTTTTACAGCACTTATTTCACAGGCATTTTAAGATTTTATTGTAACATTGCATTCAATGTAGAAAATAAGTGCTCTTTCTCTTTACTGATCCTGTTATCAGTAGAATACAAGTCACTACTGGAAAGCCATCACATTAGTTATAACTTTGTTAACATGAATTGGAACCTATGATCATGATCATCTATAACCATGCTAATCAAATGTTGTTCAACCCTACTCACACTCTGTGCAGGTGTTTGATGTCCAGTTTCACCCATTCCAAGACAACACCATTGTCTCATGCGGTGTGAAGCACATCAAGTTCTGGTCTCTGTGTGGCAATGCTCTCACTGCTAAGAAGGGCGTATTTGGTAAAGTTGGGGAGATTCAAACCATGATGTGCCTTGCCTTCGGACCCGACAGTCAGACTTACGCTGGAACATTGAGTGGAGACATCTATGTCTTCAGAGGCAATACTCTGGATCGAGTTATTGCTGGTGTACATAATGTATGTTTTCCATTAAAATTAT